TAAAACATAACGATTATCCTAAAACGTATCTGTAGAGAGGTGACGTGTAATACAGCTCTAAAATATCAATTTTAGGCATTACATCACCTCCGACAAATCCCTAAATAATGCCACCCGCAGAAAAAACTCAACATCCACTCAAACTATGATTCACCACATTTTAATTGGAGTGAGTGTGAATCACACATTGAAATTAGTGTATGTTCAGCATTAACTCATTTTTAGGAATATTTTCCTTTTATTTATATTGACACTTGACACTATTCCCTATCTATAGTAACCTATGCCAGAAATACAATCAGTTTTTTCTTTGTTTCTTGGTTTAAACGCTTCTTTAATCTCTTGAACTGTCAGACTTGAAAAATCCTTATGGTATAGGATAGAGGATTCATTGAGGAAGGTTATAGAAACTATAGGAGCTGAACAGGGACCATAAATACAGGTGAAATTGCGAGGAACGGCAAGTAACTAATAAAGTCTTTGTATCCATTTTATTAAGCACGAAAGACTATAAAGAAATAGCGGGGTCACACTCGTATGAGTTTATCTTTGGTATAAATTCAGGAGTTATGGTATCCTCGCGTGACTGAAGGCTAAAATTTCAGCTGCCAGTCGTTTTCATAATTCAAGTTTCCTTACTTAACGGATAATATACACTGGCTGGTTTTTGTTGTCAAAGCTTCTGAACTATGTTTGTATATACTCTTAAAATAACGAAGTATCTACAGTCAGTAAGTTAATATTTTATGAAAAACTACATAAAATTAATGAGATACTTGATATGAGAAAAAATTAATCTTAAAATCAGGTTTACATAACTTTATATTTCAAAAAATCGGTGAAAACTGAAAAACGGACGAGGTAGCGAGTACCTACCATAATAATGAAGAATAATATAATCTAATGCCATATTTTCACTTAGGGACGTTTGTCCCGCGACTTGGTTGACTTTGCATCACATCGGAGGTCATGATGCCGGTCGACGAGACCGCCATCATGAGCTCCGTTGAACGAACGAACACCCGGGTATTTGGTATTCTTCCACAGTCACCCGAAAGCACTTGATTAATGAGGCCGTGTGCTCACAGTATAAACATCAGAATTGCCTTTTATTCTACTAAACATCACATTGCACAAAGATTCATGCGGAAGTCTTTCGCTAACAAAAAAAACTCGACAATTTAAGGGCTCAGTTTGAACAGCAATGACAACCATAACTATCTCCTGTAAACACCATCTCAGTTATATAGCAAGTCTAATGTAAAGTTTAATATCTTGCTGAAATGTTGTCTCCTGCAAACTCAAAATCATTTGATTTAGTTTAGGATGGCCTAAGCATATTGAAAAGTAATTTTAAGAATCAACTGTTGGGATTTTAGTTTAGTTTTTGAAAGATCTGCCGCACATTTTATGATTGATTACTGTACTTAAGCAAATTGTCGCAAATTCTCAAACTCTACAAATAAAATTACTTCCCTTGATTGACGGATTTATCAACGCACAGCCTAAAACGCTGGAGCTACGAACTTGAAATTTTAGCAACTGATGCATTTTATGTTGTAAGCTAAGAACGGATTTTTGGAAATTAGACCCCTAGCCAAATTTCCAAAAACCCTTTAACGAAAATAAAGGATGAACGGTTGTATGAAAGTTAGTCATTTTCAAAATTAGAAACACAAAATAAGAAATAAATACGCGATCGAAGCCGCGAACAACAGCTAGTACATAATAAACGTCTAAATATTACCAAGTTACCACTTGCATGTTATAAGTAAGGCATCACGTAACGGTATATTTTACGATTTTTATTAAATAAAAGAGCATTTGTAATTCATAGCTTTATAGTGTGCTATGCTGCTATTACTACTTTAATTACCGGTAAAGGTATTGTCAGCGACATGCTAATTATTCCTGACACTTAGTATAATGTGTTAAACGCTGTGAACGTAATTGCAGTAGACAGGAAACATTAAATTATTTCACAATTAATGAAATAAAAGTATAGGAAAGAAAGAACCATAGAGTAAACTTCGGTTGTACCTAAAATTTATTTTAAAACTAGTATTTTAAGTCTCGAAATAGGCGTATCCAGTATTTTTTCCTCATATGATGAAAGTAGAAGTAGTTGTAATTTGCTAGTAGTCTACCAAACCATATATAAATCACAAACTTCGTAAATAACATAACATATTTATATGTTCAATTAAGATAAAGGATAGATACTAAGATACCAATGACTTAGAATCCCTTCGTAGTTTTATAATTACCTCACTATATTGAAAAAACACTATCAAACATGGACCATGTAGAATAAAGCAAAACTAGCAGAGTACGAAAGTGAAATTCAGATAAGCCAATGACAGTAGATCGCTTAGGAAACAGGAACCGAGGGCAAATGATAAAATAATCGGAACACTCGCTTGGCCGCTCCCGTACCCAATAAGCGTTCGATGCCGTCTAATCAGTTGTATATGTACACTTCCTGACATTGTTTTAAAACGTTCCTAGCGGCCTCCGGTTTCACTAAACAAGTTGTGTTACATCAAGACAAATGTATAATACGGTGGATATTAATAAATAACATAATCAATACCTATAACAAGGTATTGTCACTGAAAGGCACATGCTCAAACCGGTACTCTACAGATTTGTAATTAGAAAAAGTTTCTTGACTAAGCGAAATGCACTAAAGATGCTCGAAGCAAGGTTGGACATAGGGTTTAATTAAATAGGGTAATACTTAAACTTCAGATTTCGCATTTATGAAACAATTGGTACTTTCTAAGAACAGGCCTATGTCTAGCAGTGGACCACTAAAGACTGTTGTTGATAATAATGATACAATTATTTATAAATAAAAACCGAACTTTGGTACATGCAGCTATATTGTTAAAGTCAGATTTGTTCGAATGTCATAATGCACATTGACATGGATTGTATCGCATCGTTGTTCATTTATAGATAGGCTGTAGAGATAACTATAGTGAAGATAACAATTGGCATTTAATATTTTTCAACTTATAGAATATATAATATGCTCAAAGATCTCGCACTACTCAATGATTACAATCTTATAACGAATGCAGTGCAAACAATAGTAAATGTCATTTATGTATATTTACCTATTATTACATTGTTTACCATATTCGATAACTAATTTAATTTGGTGATATTTTGGCATGACCTAATTATTCGAGTCGTTAGAGTGAAAGCTAAACTAAGAACTGTTACAATATATTCGTTTTATAATTGCATATTGCTTGCATCCTACCATTAGTGGTGTTTCCTTATTTACAGTTAATAATTTGAAGATAGAATGTTCTCTACTTTAAATGGAACTTTAGTAACTAAATCATTGAATTGCAATAAAACAAAAGAACCAATGAACTCAGTTTTCAAAGTGCGAAGATAATACATACATACACACAAAGGAAAAAATAATATCCAATGGAATTAAAAACTTTAATAGTAGATATGACAATATAGATAATATCATAATTTATCAAACATTCAAGAATTTCGAACCTCGCAAAAGTACTGAAAAGAAAGTTTAAGCGCAAAAGTTTACATGTTTCTAAACCTAAATTTTGAAGTTGGAAACGCAACTGAAATGAAAACAGATTGTTCATTAGTCAACAATGCAACAATCTTTTCTGGATATGAAGGATTTGTCAATCAGACGATTAGGATTGCGGTGGCATAACGCCATATATCAGTGCGGAAACTGCCCTTTGCTAGGTATAACTTGAAACGAACCAAATTATACATATACTATATTTACCTCCTAACAGTACTCATTTGATATCCAACATCCAGGATAATATTTTTGGAAATTTGCTATAAGCCAATTAAAATAGGTTAATTAGACATAACGGGGTGTGGTTATACTAAAACACCTTAGGGTCCGAAATTGGTGGGGCCATAGAACATAGTAACATAGTATAATTTTCTTTATTTTATTTCTTTAAAAAAAAGGAAGCTTCCGCATTAGGAATATATCCTGTGTCGCGAGGGACTTTACAAACATACATGAAACGGACACAATGAACACCCAGACTCGAACAACAATTTGTGGATCACACGTGGGGTTTGAACCCACAACACTCGGTGCAGTAGGAAGCGGCGTGGCGACCGCTTAAACCACTACGCCGTCCGTGCAGTCAAATGGCCTATCTATTTATTGAGGATTGGTCAAGTTCTGATTTCCAAACCACGCAAATACTCCGATATCTTATTAGTCCGATAGTTCAAATATGCTTTGTAATATTGATGATAATTTAATCCTCACTATGGTTTTGTCACCAAGACTTAGATAATGTGCTATCATTCGTCTCGTTATAGAAGTATGTTACATAAAACTTACAAGGAAATTTGGCTATTCGCACCTCGCACAAGCACCGTGTACACTATAGCCTTAGTTCAGTACTTAGTAGTACTTATTTTAAATATAATACTCGTGTGTTATCGAGTTGTTTTACTGCATTCTGGTACACACAATACCTAATTACAAAATACAAAGTTGCAATCGCTCATTCCTTAAAAAATTCTGCGAATTAGGTCATGTCAAGCTATCACCAAATTAAATTAATTATCGAATATGGTAAACAATGTAATAATAGGTAAAGACACATAAATAGCATTTATTATTGTTTATACTGCATTCGTTATAAGATTGTAGTAATCGAGTAGTGCGAGATCTTTAAAGCATATTACATATCCTATAAGTTGAAAAATATTGACATTTCAGACCACTAATCCTAAACATACAGACATAAAATCAAAATAGAACACGGCGTTATCTATCATCCAGAATCCTAAAATCTGCAACTTCTGACGCTCTGCTCTTTACAATCAATCACTTAAAAACCTTTTTACTCATACCATAAAATTCCACGCTCGTTCTTGCTGCTATTTCTTTATAAAATACTTTCTCATACTGTGAATTAATCTATTTCGTTTTTTTTGTGGTAATTAACACAGCTATGTTTCTATTGCCATAGGTGGTGCCAAGACTGCTGGGGTCACTAGTAGGGGGCTCCATGAGTCCCACGCAGCACCTCGAACAACAACAAGCACTGGTCAAACAGTTCGCAGAAATACTAGAGTTCGTTCTGAAATTTGACGAATACAAAGTAAGTATAGATGTACAGTACATAATTATATGTTATCCTTTATGTACTTATAGTTCCTATCTATAAAAATATCAACTGACCATACAAACGTTATCTTTAAAAAATAACGGTTTTCTGACTATATAACAAGAATTCCTGAAAAAATGTAATTGTACGAAATGACACGAAACGTCATCTGTTAACCCTATTCACTCTATGTAGTAAGTCTGAAGGTGATAAGCTCAAAAAGTACCAAATGGATGTTTCCTCCAATGGGAACAGTTGTTCAAGGTAGCTAAGGTAGATTTATATTTTAACAAAGTTTCGTAGCTCTTATGAAATAAACTTATTTTCTTTGTTTCTTTGATATAACTTTAATAAGACATGACGTTTGATTATTAAATATTAAACTTTAAAGTGTCACTTTACTAGTACGTTAGAGTTAAGTGTTTTTGCAATCAAAACTAGATTGCTGTAAATTGCGTTGAAAATAAAAATAAAGCATAACATTTACTTACCTACATATAACGGAGTAATAAGTAAAAGTACCACACGTAATTTAGTTCTGGTATTTAAAAGTAATAGTCGCCCAACTTATAAAATATACAATATTGCCAAATTTCATTCACAATACAAAATTTTTCTTTTTTAAAACAAGTAGTATAAAACTACTACGCATTTAGTAGGCTTTTTCTTCTTAAAACATTTAAAATGTTGATGTGCTACCGGTGGTGCTGGTATCTTATAAAACTGAATACTAATCTAAGGCTTAACTCTCCTTAAATCGGCTAATTTTAACATTTCCCACCTAGGTGCTTCCTTGCCTGCATATCGTTCCGTGTGGTAATTACACCGACTCCAATTTACTTCGCATCTATTATTCAGTAGCTGTTGCGTGCAGTATACTTACCTCGCCTCTTAATTCTGCTAAACTTGATTTCTGTTTATATTGTTTAACATTTTTGATGTGAGAGTGTTAGAGTTACTCAACATTGCTATTTGCGGGTAATCTGAGATCTAATCTTATCGTCGTGTTATCTGTCAGAATTTCTTTTATTATTTGAGTTGATATTTGTTATAGTACTGGCCATTATAACCTTTAAAAATAAAGATTTATCAACGTATAACTGACTATCGCGACTAAAACCAATGTAACCGTTTCCCCAGTTCATATGCACTTAATGGAAATATAAATATAAAATATCCACGCATTGCGCACTTGAAAGTGTCTCTTGTGATTAATACAATGAAGACCGTTGTAATCCGATGTATCTACAGAGCATATATTCTAAATTACATTCTCATATTTCTGCGTTAATATTAGATATATTCTCATTCGTAAAAAGTAAGTCAAAAAGGTAATAAAATAGACATCCTCTCCTGAAATATCCTTACTTTATAAATGCCGAATATGTGTTTGAGTATTTTTATACTCTTAAAAAAACAAGCGAGCATTATCTCTGCCTGATAGTGATCAGTCACCGTAAGTCATCAACGTTTGTGCCAACGGTGTGCATCCTTAATGTACTGACGGTTATTATCTGGTACTTGCAGTAGTGTACTGGGTGATAGTCTAGCCCAGTACAATAACATAATTTGAATAAATTACCCCTAACCCCTTGGCACTACCTCTACATATAAATGCATACATAAAAGTTAAAAATATTCTAAATTTGACAAATCTTAGTGCACGGAATTTAGTGCGTACAAAATCTTCACATATTAATACATGTCCATCTATATGTAGATATTTCGAAAGTTATGACTGTCACAATCACGTAATAGGCACTAACAATACAGATCTTTACGTTTAATTACTAAGAAATTCAACGCTTATCAATTATTGCATAACTATAATTTTTTTAGTTAGTTTAAAGATAGCTTGTGGAATTTATGCAAGATTTTTTTAAAGTGGCTGTTTTTTTATTAACCTCAGCTTATACATCTAAAACAATATATGGTATTATAATTTTAAATCAAAATGTACGACCCAGACTATTTACTAGCTCCTCAAACTTCTCAGAAATTTCTAAGAATGTTTACCTTAACCTTTATTCATTGTACATATTAATAAAACCTTTACCATAGTAAAGGAACTAATAATACTACAACAATGCTTCAATTCATTGTTCAATAACAAACAAAGAGTTACAATTGTATAAATAGAGTATAGAGTCGCTTCGACTGAATGAGTGCATATTATCTAAAAGGGCTTAACGCTTAAGTATTTAATTCAATTGGCGACCTTTTGACCCCAACCTTGCGATGTCGTTGCTCCTAGTTTATCGTCTGCTATTAGTCTCGTAAAGCACAGGCTTATCTAGAAACTCGACAGGTCAAGACTTGACTAGACAGCTTGGTTGTAAAATTCATTGCAGAAATTTATTTCATAAGCTGGTCGTAACCTTGCGATGTCGTTCATTCGTCGTCGTTCTTAGTTTATCGACGTCTGTCTGTCTCTTTTAACACTAGTCAGTCAGGACCCTAAGGCAGCACTTGACTACGCAATGCTTTTGCAAATTTAATTACGAAATTCGTTTCATAATCTATTTAGTCTATTATTATCCTGCCTTTTTTGCACCTCAATAACCAATTACACTTTATATTTAACTAGCTATGTCATGCCACGCTTCGCTGTTGCACATTGTGGTTTCATGAGAAATTAGGAACATAAGTGACGCGAAAAAATAGATAAAAACCATATTTGAACCGGTTTATATATCGTGTAAAAATTAGACCTCAATCGGTGCAGCACTTTTTGAGTTTTTGAAGCGTACACAAACCGGCTTATTTTTTTTATAAATGAAGACACACACCGACACCCGCCTGCATGTCGGTTATCGCGGTAGCCTTTGTTAATCTCTGATGATGTAGCTTTCCATTGGTGAAAGAATTTAAAAAATCGGTTTAGTTGTTTAGGCGTAAAAGCATAACAAACAAACTCACTTTCAAATTTATAATATGGATTACCAATTGTTTGGAGGATGTGTACTCGTATAAGTGATATACAATAGAATTTAACACTTTGGATACTACATATAAGATAAATTGGTTTCTCGTATATCTTATTCCCTTCGAAATTCTCATTATTGAAACGCAAACTTGACCAACTATCACACGCCAATAGAAACAGAATAGTATTCACTTACGATCTCCATGTAATTTATAAATATATCCAAATAACGATTTCCTCCATTTAAAGTAGGTAAAATATATGTGTTTTATACTGTATTTAGTTGCATATGAACATGAAACTTAGAGCAACTTTAAGCATATGTTCGGTTGATGTGACTAAGTTTCCTATTAAATTATTAAAAGTAGTGGGTGAGACATTTTAGTAGCATTCATTCACAGACAGGATGCGAAGATTACTATATAATGAATGTCTATAGACATGAATATATTATACGCGTTGTGGCTATTCTTCTAAGGCGACTTCAGTACCAGTACTTCAGATACACCTCATAGAAGAATAAAATATAGACAGGTTCTCTCGATTAACACAAGGGAAGCACAGCATATTTTATTTAATAACGTCAATATTAGCGTTGACTCATTCAAAGGTCTTCGAAATTATAATACTAACACTTTACAGTTTTCTTTTTAATCAAAATAGGTTTATTTAGGAATGAGTTTATGTAGTGTACGAGATCTTGTCGCAAGTCCATCACCTTAACCAATACTCTATTGTGTCCCCCCGATACCAACAATAACTCTGAACTTTGATTAATTTTATATACACTTACTAATTTTAAAATCTATGTGTGTGAAGTGTCTTTTTTGCAATTTTTTTTAGCAGATTGTTAGTCATTCTTTGTCCAATCATATCACAGCCAATCAGACGTGATTATATCTGATCGTTAGTCAGACACAACTATGAGATTCAGGGCATTTGAAGGCATTGTTGTAGAAAGCGAGGCTTGGCTTGACCTCGACCGCACTGAGTCACGGGTTTCATGCATTATATCGTATTTATTTGTATTATTTTGTAATTGGATTCAGATAAAATTCGATAACCTTTGAATACTTACCGCTTCGTGTTTCGAATTTCAAACTGTGTATGAAAAATACGGATATTATGTTTTGTCTTTGTTTACAATTTACTTTATATGTTGAGGGTTTCATAGACTGGGATGTTTTGTCTACATGCAAGCAATACATCCGTGCAAATCAAGCACAAGCAGCGCCATATCGATTCTCATAGGTATTAATGTGTGCTTAGAGTTTCGCCTATAATAATAATTTAAACATTAAACTTTCCTACAAAAAAAAACTATTTCAAATAAAATAAAATCGTAACCGTAAAAAAACCGTAATTATCATTCCCAAAATAAATGAACTTTAAACTATATAACTCTGTGCATCTACGTAATTATATACATCAATCGTAAAGTTCTAAGGCACGGCTGACAATTTGAGGTTTTTCAATGATCCTGAATGCTAAGGCAGAAGTTGTGGGCTCGACTTCCATTTCCAGCCTAGGATAAATATTGTGTGATGAGCACAATCATTTGTTCTGCGTCTGGGTGTTATGTAAGTGTTTAGAAATATATAAATATGTTTATGTAGAAATTAGACTTGCAACGAATATTCGGTTACTATTCGGTATTCGGCCTATTCGGCTGCTTTTATTATATTCGGCCGAATACCGAATATCTACATATTATTCGGCCGAATACCGAATACTTAAATAATATATTTTGTCATTGAGAAATAATTGGTAAAATGAAAAATTAAAATCGATTGATTACGTATATATTCATATTTTCATTTCTGTTATAATCATTTAAGTAGTCATTGGTGCATAACACAGGTATATAATCATCTTCTGAATAGCAAAAATGGAGGATTCTATGTATTTGAATTATTGTGGTAATCAAAATTTAGAAGGGTAAGGTTCTCATTTCTTTTATAATCATTTATTAAGTAGGCATTGGTACATAAAACAGGTACATAATTTAATTCACGTCTGTACAAGTTTTTGGCGCTAAAATCCAGCCGAATACTTTTGCCTAATATTCGGCTATTCGGTCAGGGGCCTCGCCGAATATTCGGTATTCGGTATACTGCCGAATATACTATTCGTTGCAAGTCTAGTAGAAATACATCCCGTAGATGTCGTAAGAGCCGACTACGGGGGCATACTATGCAGGACAACAGCACTGCAAAGAGAAGGAAAACTTGAAAAACCCCTATACCAACCCGTCTGGCCCTCGTGGTATAGTAGGCCAAAACCTCTTTTCTAAGGAGAGGCCTATGTCCTGCAGTAGACTATTGAAGACTGTTGATGTGATGTGATGATGATTTAGAAATATAGGTTCACGGTTGACAGCAGTAGGCTCGAGCCCTATAACTTATGTGGTTACAAAAAACTATAGTCTGTAAAATATGTTTTTATATATGGGTAATTAAGACGTGAGTACATTCTATCCAATATTCTAAACAACACTTGTTGGAGTGTCAGGAATTTTATTTAAAAAAAAATGAGTAGGGAAGATAATCTTACCGGCTATTAATGTACCTAATATGATAACCGTAATAGCCTTGGAATATTACTTTTATCTGCACAACTACGACTTATTTTATATTAGTTTAAATTGTTAACGTTTGGATAAGGTTAACTGTAAGGGTTAAAGTTAAGATAAGGTTACATTAGACCGACAGTTGTGTATCTTGCAATATCTTTAGTAAACATGTTAAATTGCATTATTTTTTAATTATTGTAGTGATAGAAAGAGTCCCTGAAAATGTAGTTAACATGAACCATTAATTCACTCATATTTTCTTTTCGCATATAACAGTGCCAGACAAAAAAAACTATTTCAAATCGTTCAATATTCAATTAGGATTTTGTGATTATTGTGTGTAATAATAGAGCGTTTATGTTTGGTCTAATTTGCTCCATCAATCGTAGTTTTTTACGGAGAACGTACACAAATATTATTCATAACATTATCGATCCTTTTAAGATTATTTTCATATTATATCACCTTTTTTTGTTCAGCTTTGTAGAATTGTATAAGTTTGACGTGTGTATCTGCGTGTCTGACTTTCTTACAAAATACAAAGAACTGTGTAATCACTTTATATTTTAAGTAAATTTAAATTAGTATTCACAAAACAAAGCTAATAACAATATAATAAACTAGAAATAGTGATGACATAGTTCGAAAACAGTTGCATTCATAATAATAATAACTTCAAACACTACACATGGCCCTCTGATCTTAAACTAGGCAGAGCCTGTACAATAGTAATCAGACTGCTGGGCAACATTCATGTATATTATGAAATACATATATATAATAGATAAATTACACCAGAAAACAAAAAATGGACGAGCACACGTAGTTAGTATTGAAGTCACCATTAATCATCATTCGGTATTTGTGGTCGTTATGTAGCGCTCCTTAAATTTTCTTCTGATTAATGTTTTCAGTTGTTTATCATCATCATATCATCCGTGTAGTGACGGATTAAGAGTACAGAGTGTCATCACCACTATTCATCCCGCGGGTGTCGTAAGAGCCGACTAAGGGAGAAAACTACGCAGAACAACAGCACTGCAGAGAGAAGGAAAACTTGACACAAGCCCTATACTAACCCGTCTGGCCAGCGTGGTATAGTAGGCCAAAACCTCCTCTCTAAGGAGAGGCCTTTGTCCTGCAGTGGACTATTAAAGGCTGTTGATGATGATGATGAGTTGTTTATCAGTTTTTGCACCTCGATTTAGCTATTAACCAGAATGAAGAAGCAGCTTTTGCAATCGAGATTCGGTAACTGATACATCATACGGCTAAAATCCATAAATATAGACTGATACGTCTATTTCTAAATAAAGAAAAGAAGCTTCAGGACTTATTTTTTTTTTGTTCTGTTCCCTGTGCTGATAATAAATATTTGTCTTATTCACGCAGATGAAGACACCGGCGATACAAAACGACTTCAGTTATTATAGACGAAGCGTATCCAGAGGTGGACTGATCAACGCTGAACTACCTCCGGGCGAAGACCCTCACATAACAGCTGAGGTTGCCAACAGAATGTCGCTGTTCTATGCACAAGCCACCCCCATGCTCAAGGTTTTGTCTGAAGCCACTAGCCAATTTGTGAATGATAATCAACAAGATTTGGAAAATACGACGGAAACTCTAAGTACGATGGCTAAAGTTTGTCTTCGGATGTTAGAAAACCCGTAAGTAAAACCCGTTGTTTAAACATTCACATACCTCTAAAAAAAGCTTGTTACATACAAACAACAAGCTTTATTTGGATATTGTTTACGTGTATCTTTCAACTACAAAAAACCTTACTTTCCAAAAGATATTAAAACGCAGGCAGGAAAGTGAACTCAGAGTTATTGACACAATTTCCTTTGCTGTTTTGTTCCTAGCGTTCACAATTCGCTAGTTTCAGCACAATATAAACGGTGCCATGATCAAAAGCGGCCACAGTGTGCACTAGTTCCGAAACTAGACCATTGCAAAACACGCCGATCCCAAATTACTTGCACTAACTATTTTAACTTCTCATTTTACAGATGTACCTTTGTACATGCAAAGTCAGTTTTTCCTGAGTCCCCGGAGCCTTAGAGTTTGTACAGCAACAAGTCTAAAAGCGGTCTGAACTTCTTATCTAACAAGCGTATAAGTAACACGAAAACTATTCTGTAATCTGTTAATAGAAAGTAATTATTTATATAAACTAAATTCCCCGTAGTTCTACACAGTTATTCGGCTAGCTTCACCTGTCCATTTATCTAAAAGCTTTAATCTTCGCGTTACTTGTTAATATATTGTCTTAAATAGAACAGAAGCTGTTAATGTGTTGGAAATCTAATCCAGTGTACACATACATCCGCGGTTAGTCCACTCCCTATCCTTGCAACAATGAGAGCGTATAGATTACAAGGATCGCATGTCATACAACGACACACTCGAGATCTCGAATAATAGAGATAAATCAACTGTCGCTTGTGAAGACACGTGCCTCTTGAAGGCCAAAGACGGGTCGCATCTTCATAACGTTCAGGCATCATTTTGTCGCCATTATCAATTACTAGCTATTGTCCGCGGCTTTTCTTATTTCGCGTTTCTAACTTTGAAAACGGCGAATATCTATACTACCGTTCAATTTGTCGTCCCGACATGTCGTTTACCAGATTTTATCTTAAAACAAAGATAAACTCCTCCCTTTGTCTTATTAGGGTGAAAATAAGCAATACGGTATTAACTTCCAAATAGAAAGCAACTCAGCATATTGCTTCCGAGAATTCTCATTCCACTATCGGAACTGTATCGAAATAGCTCTGACAATAAATCTCTTGTCATTGTATTTCTACCACATGTCTTTTGATAATAAAACATCTGTTTTGTTTATCATGATGAAATCATTTTATTCATTACACATGGCTATTGTACTCATACCATTCCGTAAGCATCGTAATCCTCAATAGAGATGAGAAGGGTTTATGTGTCATGGTGTTGCCCAATTCCAAAGCTCGTCGGTAACATGTTGCCATAACAAACGCCTACGTTTTTTTATTCTCCTTCGTAATGTTTTCCGCCTACAGATCTTGAACTATGCTTTTGAATTGTGTATAGTGTCGGAGCGAACTTTCCAACAGACTGGAAATATAAAAAGACTATGCCTCGCAAAATATTCTCTCACTTTAATCAATCACTTTACTTTTCATTTTGAAAAATGGAATTACCCAATAATGACGTTTTTAAACTTGAGCTATCCACCGAACAAAAAATAACAATTTAATTATTCAATAGATAACAATTTCCTCCTTGAGTTTCCTTATCAATAAATAACTATAGTGACACAAGCAGAGCGCATGATTACGGCTACCTCGCCTCATTGAACTACTGACTGACTGTTTCCGTGTCACAGAAGTTCGACTCGACATTCCTATAGTTTAGTTATATTAAAATTGCACTGAATTTATTTTTGCACCATCTTAAATGTAAAATATTATAAAAATCCTAATTACACATTAAACTTTAACTAGAAAAGGTGTTATGGAAAGACAACTTCTTAAAAATTATCTTCGAAGAGAAAACTTATTCGACGTAAACATAACAGACAATTGAATCAGATTAAACAAACAAACTAGATGTGCGCGAAAAACAGCGAAATACCTTCCTTGGCAGTCGGGTAATAAAAAGGAATAGAAATGGGAAAAAGAGATGAAGGATTACTGAGGCGTTATTTGCGAACCGCGTCATAATCATCTTTTTTGAGAAGTGTAAGAAATAAAAGATGCTTATTTACAAGTCAGTAGTAAGTCAAGTAGTAGAGTATTAACTCCTTTTTTAAATCTCGTACAATACTATGAAGATGAGGATTACTGTTTGCAACACGATATTTTTTGTTTTCTTTTAAAATTATATTTCAGACAAGTTAAGGCAAATCCGAAAAATGCTTTTAAAAGTTGTTAAATTCGAAGTTGCTAAAAAAGATTTTGAAGAGAAAATCTTAAATGAAAGAGTATAAGTTACCTTTTTTTTCCGTGCGGAAATCCCCTCGGATACCACCTATCGGTGGCATGTCGGACTCGAACCGACTAAAACCGCACGCCGTCTCAGGTACTAATAGCCGGGGAACCAGGTATACCCTAGAAAGGAAGTATAAGTTACCTAACTTCAACCACTTCGACTCGTCGATTACGTCGACAATGCTCTTTGACTGTTTGTTAAAATACTACCATATTCTATGGAGAAGAAGTAAATAAAACTTTACATTTTCATTATAAATCGTTCGTAAAAGTACAGTTTAGTCCACAAACTTGGTGCATGAACTGTACTGCGTACGGGACAGATGCAAGGCGTGGGTGAAGTGCGCGACCCGAATCCAAGCACGGTGCTGCAATCCCACATTGATTTATTACATCGTAAATTCTATAAACATAACACATGTGACCCAAAACTAACTTTTTAGTTATGCATGTACGATTATATGACATATTACAATATACAGGCGGTAAAAGAAAAGTGTAGTAACATTTTTTTTTTATAAAAAAGCAATGCCCGCTCTAAGAATAAAATTCTGTGTCGCGGGGGACTTTACAAATATACATGAAACGGACACAAGTAACACCCAGACTCAGAACAACAATTTGTGGAAGCGGCGAGGTGACCGCTTAAACCACTACGCCATTCGTGCAATTCGTTTCGTCCTAAGTTATTCATGGGGATGAGAAAGAAGCCTGTCTAAAGAGCACTAATTAAAAATGTACACTAACTTAAACATTTTACTAGTTTATTTAAAGGTAAATAATTATTAATTTATCCAATGGAATACTTATTATATTATCAAATATAAAATCAATCAAAAAATAATTAGCATTAAAATAACGTTTGTTACTGAGTAGATTTGTACTTGCAATGTGTGTGTAAAAGTTTGCCGCTATCATATCTATTTAATCGCAATGCTATCTTGTCTGCTGAAGACATCCTATATTTCGAAAAGCATTTTTCCAAGAAAAACAAGATAACACAATGCTTATAAAATTATTAGAATACATCAATATCACAATTATTATGCACACTATGTACCAATCCATGTATCTTCCAAACATCTACATTCTACATTTTGCCAAAATCAAATGAAAATAAAATACCATCTTTTTGTAACACTTGTAGATATAATTAACTATATAGGTGCCACGTGGAATTCATCGAAACATGGGTTACGAATTTGTCATTTACGCAACAAGAAATTTAAAATATGTAAATGTCCTTTTCCAGGAAACTCGTTGCACAATTCAGTCGCGAAGAGACGTCCCTCCTAGTCCTGCGTGTGATGGTCGGATTGATCATACTTTACGACTGGGTCCATCCTTCAGGTGCCTTCTGCCGCTCATCGTCTGTTGACGTCAAAGGATGCGTAAAGTTTTTGCAACAACAGCCGCCAACAAAGGCAGAACCTCTCCTTAACGCGCTCAGGTATACGACGAAGCATTTAAACCATCAGTCGACACCAAAGAATATCAGGACATTGTTGGCGGCGTGAGGACAGCACTCGAGCCTTGCATGTTGCTGTGGGGAATGATGCGACAATAATTACCTGTGGGGATATCTCGTGCATACCTTTAATTTGCTCCTTAGCGATACCAAACTAACATAGCACTCTCTCATCATCAACCACCTATTTCGAATATCGAATTTTCGTAGTCTATACTAACGAATCCTCGAAAATCTGTCAACGATGCCTATCTTATATATTAAAAATACAATCTATTGCTAAAAAAAAGGGTGATCTTCTGCGCCATTTACAGAAGAGTAGGTATGTGAAGAGTTGCCTAAGAATGACTTAATTACATTTTAATTGCTGTGGGTTAAAAAATACATAATCATTATACAAACCCGAGAAATTCGATAAATATTACGTAAGGGAAAATAAATATATCTATTTTAATATTTTTATGTGCAAGCTTGAAAAATATATAATAAATAAACAGCAAGTATCCCTACAATCCCACATTTGTGCATTCGTGCAAGGTTTCAGGATCCTATCGACACAAAAATTGCTGTCAGTCGCAACTCGTAACGATAGCTTTTACAACTATGTTAAGGAAGCTTAGACACCTCTAATGTGTAACGTAACTCAAAAAAAGTATTATTTACATTGTATCCTACTATATAAAACTGCCTTGGAACGTATAATTGGTTACCAGTTTATTATTCAATTTGTTCAAGAGTACGAAATGTTATTGTTTTGATGAGTATGAAATAATATATCCTTCGCGACGACCTAGTAACATTGAAATTTATTTATAGACATTAAGTCGCTCTTTGTTTTGCTTGGAGTAACAATCATTTTTGCATCCAAAACACTGCAACGGTGGAGGATAAAGTATATTGAATACTCATCAAATAAAGCCAGTGTTGGAAGCTATGAATAGTTATTATAAATTTTATATTATAGCATAAATTTTATTAATCCTCTTGCATCTCATTCTGGAGGTTGGTGAAAGTATTTGGTTCCAAAGATTAAAAAAAAAAACATTAATTAGTATTCCACATAAGTACATTATTGGTTTGAATTTTTAAGACTGAGTTAACAACACACGCAAATATTTTATTATTTGTTTATACAGTTCCAGAATCCTAGTTAAGAAATGTAATGCCTTACTGAATAAGAAAAGGTGTATCTAGAGCAAAAATATATTATGTAAAAGCAATGCCTTTTCTAAAATTATTATAAATAGTTAAGTATGTCGTGTTAACAATGTTGAATTTATTCGTGTACCCACTGCCTTGATGTTAACTAACATAATAATTTTAAACGGAATTTATAAGTATGATATGTTTCACTATTGTGTATGTATAAACTCAAATGTAAGTATAACGGTTAAGGATGTATGGTTTATTTACAACATTATAAGAATATATAAGCTGTTTGCTCTAAGTACCCAACTTTGTACATGTGAGTTCAGCAAAGATTCAGAAATATGAAATGACATATTTTATAAATATATTTTAAACCCTGTGATTAGGCTCATAACAAACATAAACATTAATTTTATTCCACTCCGTTACATACACACTATTAAGAACTCAACTTATTTCATGAGATAGAAATTAGTGTTTCAATAGATTCTTCTCTCCTTAGGCAAGCCGAAATGATCAGTTATAATGTAATTAGTCATAGATGCTCCTTGTTAGAGCCCTAGGGCAGCCGAGAAGCTAGCGCCCATGTATAGTTACAGTAGCACAATATTAAAAAGTAATGCTCACTTCAAAAACCACCAGGTTGATATTGATAAATTAAGGTACCTACAATATATCACTCTTAATAGGCCGGTTTTGACTAAATAACTAATGGCTAAATAAATTTATTTTGTTACATAAATAGTTTTGCTAGAACCTTTCGCTATGCATATATCGATAAACTAGCTGTCAATAATTCACTCAAGCACAAACACTTGTCTTTTGTGTATAGTATATTAGTATTTTAAATAATCTAATTGCAATTAGGATAATTACATTACATGCACAGTCAGCACAACAATTTGTTATAGTTAATATATTATAATATAGTATTGTTGTTGAGATTTGTCTTGTAATTGCGACTGTTGCTTGGGAGGTTCGTCTCAGTGGGCACTATGAATTGCATTTATTGTGAGGAATTGAATGTTTGAATTATAAATATCATACCCTAACACTGCCCAAATTTAGAAAATTTGATACAATATTTTTTTATAAATGATAAGTTCCAATCACTCCATGTTGAGTCTAAGCGTATGTTCAGCAGTTAGTAGTATGTAGTTGGGCGAAACAAAAGTATGGATTGCTTATGATTGTAGAAGATAAATGGATAAATAGATAAATCTATAGAGCCACAGTGAATATATGTCTATACTTATTAACCTGTTATTAATTCAACTTTAATTACAGCACTGGTAATTTTGTTGCAATTTAGTCAATTCTTTAGTAAATTCTTCTAGTATCAACTTATAAGTAAAATAATGTAATATGTATTAGTTATGAAAATCGTTGTATGTAATTATTTGAACTGCAACTTTATTGTTATTGTTTAAGGTGGTTTTGTATGATAGACCTATTTTTTTAGTTATCATTTATTTATTGTATATAATAAACACACCAAAGTTATAAGTAATAAATAAACTTGGATAGATTCTTGTAACCTGTTGTTTTATTCAATAAAAGATGATTGAACAATCAAACAAATTTATTCTTAACTTTAAAATAAAAAATATGTACATCAATCTCTAGGTGTTGGCAGGTCGTGGCTTGAGGATCAGCTTGCCTGTGTCGTCACACGACATGTTGAAATCGTTCAGTACGGAGCGCGTCCGTGCCGTAATGATACTCGGCGCTACCACCTTTCTATGTACACCCACCATGAACAGTAAAACTAAAAATAATAACACTTGGTAAATAAACACCAACAAAACAAAAAAGTAGAATTTTTTAATTTATACTTTGTCAATACGATCTCTATCCATCTGATGATGAATAAGGTCAAGTAAAAGTTTAAGGCCACCAATAAGAGATATGGTCAATATTATTTGTAGTTTTGATTGGGTTATCAAAACATGTGTGAGCAATTTACTATATATTTTATATTCTTAAATAGTTTAGTAGTTTTTTAAACTTAAATATTTATGTATGTATTATATTCATTTTTTACTAGAACATTAATTAAAAGCACTACTTTTAATTTTTTCTCAAGTAGATTTTACTTTATGCATGTCTGTATATACTTTACAAGTGGCATGTTTTTATGTAAATAATAAAATAAATACACACATAATGGAATATATATTTATACTATATTTTTAAATTCAAAAGAATGTCTTTAATCTAAGTATCACTTACCAAGAAAAGTGGAAATGAAAGCAAAGAAGGGATGATTCCATAGAGACTGTGTTAATGAGACTACCGGAGTCAGTGGGTCCATTAGCCAGTGATATGCAGCAATAGCTGTGCAGACTGACACCACTGTCAATACAACTGAAATATTAAGTTTTACTTGAAACTAAGTTTTTACTTTTATTACTTTGAAATACATGATATAGTATTAAGTTATAGGTGCATATGACCACAGTATGATGTAATAAATTCTATGATCTCTTAGAATTGATCACATCATGGTATATATCATGTGTATATAGCACATCATCTGTCTAAGAGACACCTCACCTCAACCACAATTTTTTGTTAAAATTAGAACTATGTGGAAAATTAGTGTTTATATCAGTGAAAATATAGGATAGGATGTTGTAAAATAGTTATATCTGTTTTGTATATCACATCTAGACCAATTATGTTTTCTTTTGCTTTTAAAATAAAATAATTGTTGGCTGTTAAATGATACATTACACTACAATGCAATTTTTTTTGAAAGAGAATGACTGGAAAGTGATGACTGCCACCCGTGAATGCCTGCGACTCAGGAGTACCAAGCATTTTAGGATCTCTAATAGAAAATATGTAATACATTTTCCCATACGACTACAAATATTTGACGTAATCATTAAGTAGTTGTGCCTTAAACTATCCATATGTTATATGCTCTTTACATAAAACGGTTGATTACATCATGAAGTGATCATTTTCCAATTCAGCTACAACATACATACTTCAGTGATTAACAACTTATTATGTAATTGGAGGCTATTTAATGGATATCAGGTTAACCTTAAGTACCTATGTGTTGTGAAAACATTAACAACAACATTTAATACTAGAATAAAAAAGAAGAGTCCACATATAAGGCTTCCTCATATGAATTTGCTGTATGATATACATGGTTACATTACGATCAACTCTAAAGAATTATTATTGTAGAAAAGGCAATAAAATTACACCTACTTCTCCATCTCATCGTAGCAGGTTGTAAACATCCTATTACCTCTGTCAGGCGACGCTCGAATGCCTTTAGGTCTGGAATATACATATAAATAGTGCACAAATCATTCCATGGTCTAAGAAGCAAAATATTATGAAGCTATAATAATGTACATTTCGCATAATTTCGAAAAGGTAGATACACAAACAAATAATTAAAATGGTTCAATTGTATATTGTACACCAACCGTCACAAGCCGTTTGTTCCAACGACATTTTATTTTCACGAGAACCAATGATAAACATAGATCTTGATTTAATGTCCAACTACATATTGAAATAAACTATTTATCAGTTATAAGGTAAAATATTTGAAGACTAGGAAATAAAGTTCATAAAGTTGATAACGATGACATTTTTCTTTTTTCACAATTTTTGACCTGAGTTCAGTGTTGCCTTCAATTTTTTGCTAAAGGATAACGAAGAAAAATCCTAGATTCATTGTAAAGATTTCATGGACTTTTAAGTCCTATCCGGCGACGAAAATAAACGTGCGGCTGTTATAGTTCACATTCCTCAACGTAAACTATAACGGAAATCAATATATATTTTTTTATAAAAATGAGGGCAAACGAGTCGGGACGGTCATCCAACGATAAGTGACTACCACCGCATGTATATACCTGCAAGTCAACTGAAACAACTTTGCCGCCCTTAGGTCGCTTCTCTCCCCGAACTCCCTTGAAGGGAGATCACATGCGGAGTTCCTCAGGGGTCGGTCTTAAGACCCCTTCTGTCTAATCTCTACTACACGGACTTCACTCTGGTACTGGTTGGGGGGCTTGGCTTAAAGGTGGTCCTGGAGCTCGCTGGGTTTGGGATCTGCGTTTGAACGCGAAGTCCTGGTCGACCAAATCGGATGAGACCTGTACCTGACCAGTAATCATTGCTGTCATACTGGCGCAGTGGTCTCTTTCTGTGAAACTGTAATGATACAGAAAGAGACTGCTGAACGGGATCTTGAGGATCAAATCCCGAGCGTAGAGGACGTCGGCGATGATACCAGTTGAGTACGAACTATAATTTACAAAATAAATTTACAGTACCTTTTTGAAATTTCATTTCATCGGAAATATATAAACGATGCAGTTTTTGATAAGGAAATAATCACTTTATTTGGATAACATAAAAATGCTCTTCTCACTTCAATTCCCTAACTTAATCCCCCCGGGGACTCTACAACATTTACTATTCCACTTCGGCCCCTGTTCTGGGGATTCCACAAGTACTTAATAAATAATTTCCTTTTTAGTCCCATCTAAAAATAATAAAATTAAACTTACTTCCACACTCCTTGTAAACCAAAAAGAAAAGGTTGATTAAATATCATCATCATCATCATCAACAGCCTTTAGCAATCCACTGCTGGATAAAGGCCTCTCCTTAGAATTGAGGTTTTGGCCGACTGTAATCAAAACAGATGATTCCGTCTCATTTTGTTTATGACTTTTCGTTTTGTTAGAGGGAGATACAATCTCCCTCTAACAAAACGTTGATGTTTCATAATACTGTCGTTTTACTTATTATGTTTCAAAGGTACTTGGTCTACGTGCGTTATTTATTCTATCAAGCCCATAAAAATAAAAAACTACATTGCTGTTTGCCAGGTTGCCTGTTTTGTTTCTAGTTACAAAGTCCAAAACCAAGGTTCAGAAAAGTCAACGATCGAGTTAATTAAATATTGAAGTAGGTTTATATTAGAGTTTAATTTCCTTTAAATTAATATAAAGAAATTTATTTTCCTTTAAATATTATTAAAGGAAAATAAAGAAAGAATTAAATTAAAAAAAATTAATCTTTTTATGAAATGTATCTGCTATCCACTTGTTGAGTGTAAGATAAATGTCTGATTTCTTTTGTTTTGCAGAATGTTTCCTTTAAGGCAAATTGTGTCAAATGTTAGAAGAGTAGTGCCCGGTTTTAGAGCTATGTCGAGCTCTGGGCCACTTACTGGACTAGAAGTAGATAATGAGGGTATAGCAACTCTTACAATGCAGAGACCACCAGTAAACAGCCTTAATCTAGAACTGTTACAAAATTTAAGCAAAGCATTTGATGAAGTATCAAAAAATAAATGCAAAGCTCTAATTTTAACCTCGGTAAGTAAATGAAAACTTAACTTATTATGTATTAAAAGAAAACCTTTAACAATAATAGTTAACCATGTCTGATTTAGTTTTAACTTACTTTTTACCCGCAACTTCCCTCCAACCCAACAGTCAAGCTAGGTGGCTATTATATGAAGCTTGTTATCACAAATTGTTCTAAAAATAATATCATATTTAAGTTAACTTGAATACCCTTGTAATTTAATTTATGACATCAAATTTTGACTATTTAATGAACTATTTTATGACTGTTTACTTGGTTTTATGATATGTCCTAATTTTAATCTTAATTAATGAAGTAATGTAATAATCTTTTTAAATATTAATATTTTTATTTATTTTTAAGTAAATTGTGATTGATGATATGGTTTAATGAATAATTGTTTTTGTATATGGAACAAGTTTTCTGAAATAAATTATATTATTAAGTATTATAATGTCAATATTTTATTTTAAAAGAAAGTTACATATCTCCTTGATTTCTAATTCTAAATAAAAAAAATGAATATCATGGGTAAAACATTTAGATTGACGAAGTGCACAGACTCACAATCATTACCATATTTAGATGTTATTAAATGTGTATGTGTCTGATGTTTATTTTTATGGATAACTTTATTTTCTTTAATGAGAGTTGTTACTTACGTTGAGTAATATTAAATATGAGGATGGCCCATAATCTGTGAATTTAATAATTACAGAATTCCCCTACAGTGTTCTCAGCTGGCCTAGACATAATGGAGATGTATAAACCGGACATAAAAAGAGCCGAAACATTTTGGACAACTCTACAAGAAGTTTGGATCAAACTTTTTGGCTCCACTTTCATCACAGCTGCTGCAATTAATGTAGGTCTAAAAGATCTTCAGTTTTATTATATTAGGTTTTAATTTTGTACAAATTGGTCTCGTTTTCATTTAGTACAATTTGGTCTTGATACAGAGGGGCTTGTGGCTAAATGGTAACACAGTACATTAACACATTCCAAACTTAAGCAATCCTAGCTGACTTGGCTATTGGTCTATGTATGGGTTACCATTCTTAACACATTGAGAGATTGAGATCTGTCCGTGCCCCGAAGACCCGTTGGTCCCTGTTGCTATACGAACATCTGTAGCATTCGTTATGGGTAGTTGGAGACTTTGAGAATAGTCTTTCTACAGAACTTTGATATTGCCTAGTACTTGGATTGTGGAGGTTGGCAGTAGATTTAAAGCCAACCCCAAACTAGTTGCGGAAACAAGGTCACAGGATATATAGTCTTGATGATTCATGAAGGGCCCAACCTTTAAAAAATAAAACGAGCTAAAGTGACTTTTTGAACTTGCAACTGTAAATATAACAGTATATCAAATAACATGTATGTACACCCTACTAGGTAGACCAACTACTAGTAGTTCAACTAGTTGGTCTCCAAGCACACTTAAGATGGCATCAGTCTCACCTGTAGATAAACTTATTAAATTTATCCTTTCGTACTATTATTAATATATGCCAATAATGCATAATGCCTGAGTTGTGGAGGAGCACATAATGGCTAACAGGGATTTATCCTAGCATCATGTGAGACTTGAAACATAGATGATAGATTGCATTAAAGTCATATAATATTTCCACTTTCAAGGGGTGGGGGAAGCATCTACAAGTTCTCAAAAATGTAGAAAAAAAATTAAGTGGAAGTACTTCAAGCGTGTCAAATGGGTTGATTGTCCTCAACATGCCTCTGATAACAAATCAGATAAGGTATGCTAATCTTCCATTTTGTACGGTGGGGGTGGGAGGAGAGTTAATCGTTAACACATATTTGGTTGTGTCAGATATTCAGTGATCTTAAATGAAATGTAAATTTTCCTGTTCAAAAGGGCTGACGATTTAAAAGTGACAAGAAAATGCAAAATTTGAAATTTTGAAAATGCAAAAAAAAATGCACGAGTGTATCAGATTTTTATACAGACGATGAAGCTTGATGTCCAGTCATGCTAGCCACACATCTGACGTTACCTCTGACTTATTTAGGGGTATTTTAAATTTGATGGTTAGAAATATATTTTTGTTCATAAATTGATCTCGTAACAGTAAGATAGTTCCGGCTGACACTGCATTCAATAAGCTTTTTTTGTAGCGGTAGCCGGTCCAGTTAAATTATGTCGGGTATTAAAATACACACTTCATCTTGCAATTAACCCTCAATATCATATTATCATTTTTTTACTAATCTGATCGGCTACTATCGCTGTGCCCTGTGTAGAGCTTAGCCTATATATGGTGGAGGTATTCAACAGGGTGTTAGGTAATCCTCATTGTTAACCTGCCGCGCGCGAGTTAATACCAAAATCTTTTCTAAGACTCCCTTGCTGTAAATTTGGTGTTAGCAACTTTATCGCTTCAGTATCAGTACATCGAGTATATATCCCAAACCTTGACAAATCAGTGGTCTCCCTTGCAACCTCTCCTCCATTTCATGTTTTATATCTGTATAGGAAATCCAGCACACATAATTATTGGCTTTTTTTACCGAAATTATGGCTGAAACATTTGTTTTCTGTAACCAGAAACTAGTCGAAGGGTCGGTTACTAGTTATAGGTATACGCTAGACGCAGTGGCGTAGCTAGCGTAGGTCGCACCGGGCGGATATTGTAGGTGTCACCTCAAAACCCAATCAAAACTTAAAATAAAAAATGAAACAATAATTTATGTTTTATTGAAATATTACAATTAATTATTATTATACAATTTTTTTATTATTAAAGAACAATGTGTGTTATTTTTAGTAAAAAATTCATATTTCAACCTAGTAGCTTTAACACTATAGCAAACTCCGAAATGACGTCATCAAAATTTATATTTTGTATTGCAAAATGCCAAGATCTTTTAATGTGATTTCAGTCATTGTAGCCTGCAATTTTCTTTTTTTAATTAATTTTAATTTGCTGAAACTCCTCCCACATGTAGCAAGTGATACGCAAATTGTTATAAATAACTTTACCTAATATAATACCTACCTGTATAAATAACCATTAGATTCGGAAGAGATTCTGTAAAATCCCATTCCACAATAAATTTCAAATAGTCCAGAGTCTAAATGTCTTCTCAGTCTTGGTATCAAAATCAAAATCAAAATCAAAATCAAAATCATTTATTATTTGCATAAAACAGGTATAAAGGTGGTAGAAGAACATCATATAATACATAGGTACGCTGTAATATAACCTCTTAAAGGTGTGCAAATATTTAGTCATAGATATTTAAAAGATTATTATTTAGACGCTCAACATTACAAACACAATTTGAAGAATATATTCATGTCATAAATTTATTCAGAGAATTAATAATGTCAAGAGTGTTATGAATGCTATTAAGTCAGATCAATATAATAAAACCAAAAAATAATAATAAAAAAAAAAAAACAACAATAATAATCAAATAGTCAAAATAATAAAAATAAAAAAAAAAATGTCACATTGTCATGTTCAACATAAATTAAATAACAATGAACGAAATTAATTTGATTTACAATTTGTCTTGCAGAAAATCATTTACATTATAATAGCATTTTTGGCTCAGAATTTTTTTTAATGTCTGTTTAAAGATAGTCGGATTTGACTCCTTTATATTCCTAGGCAATTTATTATATATTTTTGGAGCCATGGCGAAAACACTGTTATGCATTAGAGCAGTATTTGATTTACACAGGCATAGCCGGGATTTATCTCTTTGCATTCGGCCGTACGCATCAGAAGACAAAACAAATAAATTAGGATTTAGTTTGGCAAACATAGCTACCTCGAGTATATAAATGGATGGTAGTGTCAAAATATTATATTTTTTATAATAGGGCAGACAGCTGTCGGTTGATTTTAGAGAGAACATTGCCCTCACACAACGTTTCTGTACCTTGAATACTTTATCTTTATGTACAGAGTTACCCCAGAAAATTATACCAAACCTAAGAACTGACGCCACCATACCATGGTATGCAGTCAGAAGTGCATGAGTATTAATTACTTGTGACAATTCATGAAGTGCATACACTGATTTACTGACCCTCTTGCATATTTGTTCTACCTGTTGTTTCCATGTTAACTTATTGTCTATTATTACACCTAGAAATTTTGTGGAATCTACTTCATTTAAAGATTGGCCGTTAGCGCATATCTGTAGGTTTTTAATACTAGGAATACGCTGACTAAAATGCATGAGCATTGTTTTTCCTATGTTAGCTCTTAAATTGTTTACATCTAGCCAGTCGAGAACAGAGTTTAAAGCGTTATTTATATCATCATTATATGTATCCTTATTATTACATTTAATAGTAATTGTACTATCATCTGCAAATAGGGCTATTGGGTTATGGGTTACATTAGGTAGGTCATTAATGTATATTAGGAACAATAATGGTCCTAATACACTACCCTGAGGTACGCCATATTGTATTTTACGTGTTTCAGATTGATAGTATTCTTCTATTTTGGTAACACTATTAATTTTAGAAATTTGAGTATATTGAGTGCGATTTCTAATGTAAGACTCAATCAGGTCTAAGATATTGCCCCTTATGCCATATGAATTTAGCTTACTTAGTAGAGTATCATGACTTACATGATCAAATGCTTGGGTCATATCCATATATATGGAGCAAACAGGTATCTTATTGTCAACATTCTTCATTACAAATACAAGAAAATCATATATGGCCATGTTTATTGATTTATTACCTCTGAAACCCTTCTGTTCTTTCGCCAGAATACAATTCCCTTCAAGGTAATCATTTAGTTCCCCATATATATATTTCTCAAATACCTTAGAGAAAATAGGTACCAGGGCTATAGGTCTATAGTTTTCTATATTGTCTCTATTTCCTTTTTTAAATACAGGTTTTATGATCACTGCTTTCAGTTTGTCAGGGAAAGCTCCAGCTGCTATACATACATTTATAATATGACAAATATGATGACAAATATTACCTGCCACAGATTTTATGACTCTAGTACATATTCCATCATACCCTACACTGTTAGTGTTCTTTAGGTTTCTTATAATATGCAATATATTAAAGGGTGAGCAAGCTTTCAAGAACATCGATTTCTGCCTAGAGGACACATACTTGGAATAAAGCAATTTATTTTTAGGATTATTCGGGACTATTCTATCTACAAAATAATTATTAAAAGCACTACATATTGCATTAGGATCAGTTAGGGTTTGATTATTAAATTTTATACGGGCTATTGATTCATTTGGAACGTTTTGTTTTGTGTTATGTATAATTTTCCAAGCAGTTTTGGCTTTGTTATCTGCTATATTAATAGAGTAAGTGTTTTGTGCTCTCTGGGTTAATTTGATAATTTTTTTATAAATTTTTGAGTATTGTTTAAATTTATTTTTGTTAGCATCACTGGGATTTTTCCTATATTTCCATAAAAGGGTCCTTTTTTTTTTACTACATATCTTTATTCCACGCGAAACCCATTTTTGTTTTTTATGTGCATTTATAGTTATAAGTCTTGATGGGAAACAAAGATCGTAAAATAGTTTAAATAAATCATAGAAGGTATCGTAAGCTAAATTAGGGTCTTCAGTAGTGTACACCTCAGAAAAAGTCAATTTGCTTATACACTCTTTAAATTTCATCTGGTTTTCCAAACAATAGTCTCTTCGTCGAACTCTCCAACGTTTAAATAGGCAGATTTTTTTAACACGACATTGCAGTATTTGCGCTGTGTGATCTGACAATCCGTTCTCTATGATACTTGATTTGCAGTTATGGGGGAAATTATGAGCAAAATTATCTATACACGTCTGACTAATAATCCTAGTAGGTTTCCTCAGCACTAGTTCTAAGTTATAATTAAGGAGTAAACATTCGAATTCCGATGTCATACTGTTTTGCTTTAGAATATTTATGTTAAAATCACCTGCTACTATGATATTATGTTTTTTGTAAGTCTTGTTAATGTACATTAATACCTTATCTAGCCTATCAAAGAATATACTCAGGTTGCTGTTATATGGGGTTCTATATATACACACAACAATAATATTATAGGTGAGCAATTCGATCGCACAACATTCAAAACTACTTGATACAGAGAATGTTGCAATTTCAGGAATTGATTTAAAAAGATGACCTACTTTAACCAGGATACATGATCCACCTCTGCTGAGATTACTTCTACTATAATGTGCTGACAAGTTGAAATTAGGAATTACGCAGAGATCCTCATGTCCCGACATGATATTGTGCTCTGTCACACAAATTATATCTATATTAATACCTTTATCAGATAACTCTTGCATACATACAAAGAGCTCATCAGATTTACTTCTTAAGCCCGCAACATTCTGATGCATTATATTTAAATACTTATGTCCGAAAAAGCTGTGACGGTACTGTATTAATTTCAATCTGTTCTTTTTGTGGGGTTTTACAGACTGCCAAGTTATGTTTAATATCTAAAGTTAATTTCTGGAGATCCTTAAATACTATTTTCATACCATTATTACTTAAAGCGCCTGATTTTCTAAACATACTATTATTATAAATTAAGTTACGATTTGAATCAAGGACATAGGCGTATTCATATGTTAGATTGTCCAGATATAATAACTGGTTAAACATATTTACTCTACAGTTATATAAATTACAGTAAAAAGCATTTTTAAATGTAGGTAGGCTAATAATAATGTTTGTGTGATTATTAGCCTGTATTATATTTCTCATGTTGGTTATGACTTCAATGTAATCCTTTGATACTCTAAAGTCGTCCTCACCTATTATTATATTACAAAAATCGTTCATAGTAAATGTTTTTATTTTTTTGCTAATATCCATTAATAATTGTTTTATCCCCACATTAGGTATTAAGAAATGACATACATTATATTCTTCACCAAAATAACGCTTTGTTAATGATAAGATGTTGTTATTTGTCTTATTAGAGCTTATAATATACATTTTATTTTTAGGTAATAGTGTATCTTTAGACAAGTATCCTATTGTAAACTATTGGAAACTAAAGAAATAAAAACTCCTACAATAAAATAGGGCAAGGCAAGTAGGCACCTACATATTATTGTTACATAAATTATTTTATTAGTGGCGGTTATGCAATCTGTCACAGTTTTACGATTTTTTATAGGAGGCACTACTAATGTTTACGGTCGCCCCTCCCGCCCCCACCTAGCTACGCCACTAGTTAGACGTTCCCGGTGCGTTCAATGCGGAATGGGGAAGTGCTAGCCCTTTCATCCCGTCTTAAGGCGATGTAGGTTATTAACGAAAACTGAACATGTTAAGGGGATCTGCCAGTGAGACAAGCTAATATTAAATTACTCTATTCCTATTTCATATGAATATTCATATGTACAGAGTGTTTTAGGAATCCAGACACAACTGATTGTTAAAATGGTTTAATTTGTGTTAAATATATATCTTTTTTAATTGGCTAATATAACATTCATAAATGCATAAGGTTATCTATTATATACAACACAAACCATCAATGAATTCTTATATTAAAGGATCAAACAAAATATAGGAATGTACAACAAAATTTGATATTAAATATCTACTTTTCGCACATTTTTTAAAATATGGTAAAAGTATGGTTACTATTCCACTCCAGGGTCATGCTCCAGCTGGAGGCTGTCTATTGGCTATGTCATGTGAATATAGAGCAATGGTGGGCGGCAAATATAAAATTGGTCTTAATGAGACAGCCCTGGGTATCGTCGCACCAAAGTGGTTCATGGACACTATGACCAACACTATATCCCAGAGAGAAGCTGAATTAGCTCTCACGACTGCGAGAATGTTTAGTGTTGATGAAGCTTTGAAGGTAATACATTTTTTACTACTACATATATAATTTAATAATTTGTTAATATTATAAAAACCTAGTATTTATAAGAATAATGACTACGATATATGGGATCGTATATCTCACTACATTGTATGATTAAATATTTTATTTTATCGAAATCAGAATTTTATAAACACGATAAAATGTCATGTAAAAGAACCCTTTAAGATCCGCCAAAAAGTAATGGATAGGGACATAGGTACATCTCGATATACGGATACAGATATCCAGCACATCACTAGTAAATGTCCTAGAAATGCTTTACAGTAAACTTTTTACTAAATATTTGTAGTCATACATACATATTTTATCATTTTCCAAAAAAAAAACAAAAGTAACATTTTACTCTTTGCAACTTTTTATGGCAATTATTTTAATGTAAATTTTTCAGCATTTTTGCCGTTTCAAAGAATATTTGTTTTCTTAATTATTTTAAACAAGGTTTTAAATTAATCAATAAATGTCGCAGGTGGGTCTTATCGATGAAGTAGCAACAGACAAGGCAGATTCAATTGCGAAGTGCAAGGACTTCATCGAGAAGTTCGACACGATCCCACCTCTAGCCCGAGCCATTACTAAACAGAGGATTAGGGAACAACCTTTGGCATGGATGAAGAAAAACCGCACACAAGATACGCAAGAATTCTTAAATTACCTTCAAAATCCCAAAGTTCAACAGGCACTAGAAATGTATATTCAGATCCTGAAAATGAAAGCAGCTAAGTAAATATCAATATTTGTACTTTTATTGAAGTGCCTTTTTAGTTTTGTGTTTTATCTATAATGTTAAGTATAATGAAATACATATATTATATACACGAGTTAAATGTTGCGATTCATTTTACGAAACCCACCTATTTAATTATTTATATTTTTGTGCTAGTCATTCATAGTATCCTTCGCTTTCCCTATTAATTAAATTGTGGTCTATTACCGAGAATTTCAAAGATTTGTAATGTGAAGTCGTGAAAAACCACGTTTTTGTGCAAACACATTGCAAACGCTGGCTAAACGTTACGACATAGATCAAAATAATGTACTACAGAATTTTATGTCCTAAAAAGATCTAAAAAAGGCCGCGATGACATATTTCAATCTCTTAAGGATAACCCACAGTAGCAACTTTTATATTTTACTCGTACATATTACAAAAATAGTAGGTTATGTACGAAGCTATTTTGAACAATACACTATTATTTCTTATCAAAATAAATACGTTAGGTACGTTGTGCATTTAATGTAGATCAAAATGGCCTTAACAGCATATCATTAAAATGAAGAGAGAGAGAGATTTAAAATACTGGTGCAAAGCGGTCGTCAACGCGGGAGGTCGTTACTTCCGTCCTCTCTCCTCTCCTGCCGGCCGCTGCCTGGGTGGCAGAGGACAGAGGAGAGCGGGCCTATAAATATTGTATAGAAAGATATAGTATAGTATAGATATCTTATAGAATAGTCTTATCATAATAATAGTAAAATTAATAAGATCTCACTGACACCAAATGGATTGCCAGTATAATATAAAAATATGAATCAATGATATTCACATATTCAGAGAGAGAAGTGTCACAACCGTGTCACATTGTACATTATCACAAACACATGACCACAGATCACGTATTGTAATTAAGCGTGTTGTGTATGTTTTTCTTTGTTAAGGAACACCATGGAAATCATACCGTCCTATATAATTAGAACTTCAAATGAGAAATAGAAATGAAGGAAAAAAACGATAAAATTATTAATACTGTTTACGTAATAGTACTATTTTAGAAATAGAATTTGTAGCTACAATTTTTTTTTTGTTTTTCTTGTCTTTTCTTTGTTTAAAAATACAAGTATAAGGAATATATACTATGAAGCGGGGGCCACAACAAACAATAACACATGACACGGACACAAAGAACACTCACACTCAAAAAAACAATTTGTGGATCACACAAAAATAGCGCAATAGATAGCGGTGATATGAATGCTTAAAACACTACGCAGTCCGTTCAGTTATACAAAGTCAAAGAGTCTGCACAAAGTCTAAGTTAGAGTGAAATGAGATAATAAAATAAAATGACAACGGTGCTAGCCATTTCAGATTTATTGAAAAGGATACAGTAAACTTTTAAATACTCGGGTAGAATAGGATTAAAATTGTATCTTCTTCCAATTGTTTTTTTATCAAAAATCGTCGCCCAACAATGCTGCGGTTTCGGGATCAACAGATTCGTTCAGTGCCATTTGCAAATCAGTCCACTCCTCGCGCTGATTGTCTAAGTAGTAGTTAATCTCTAGTATCCTGTCCCTATTGCGCTTAATCTCGTTACTGCAATAAGTGTGTGATAATAAATTTTATTACAATATCTGAATAGTAAATAATAGCCTAAACATCGTTCGCCAAGAATAGGAGGACCGAAATTAATTCGAACCCATTTTATTTTATTTTGTTCGGAATACTAACAGCACAAATAACGCAAGGTAAACCATTACAATAAAGTAACAACGAAGCTATTTACATGTATTCGCAAATAGATTCCCAATGTGAAACAATAGTTCAAATAACTTACCAACAACAACAAAAAAAAGTACATTAAAAAAAAACAAAAATTACTTATTAGGACTCATTTTTGGAAACCATCGCCGTTAATACCTTTAACTATTTAAGGAGCTATTCATAAATTGCCTCCCGTCCAGCTGATTTTTACAAGAAGGGCATCAATAAACTGCCAATGCGTTGGCAAAGATGCATCGATTGCATGGGTGATTACTTCGAAAACAGAAATAAAAAAGTTTGAAAAAAATAAGTACTTTCACTTATTGCATACAAAACGGCAATTTCATAGGTAAAGACCTATTATATCTTAAAACGCGAAATTAGAATTACAACTTAACAGTAAGCTTAAAAAAAATCCAGTTTCGGAAAGGCGAATTAAATAATTTGGAGATATAAAATTGCAAAATATGTGACGCCACACTAGGGAGCGAGGGGGGAGGGGATTAGTCTCGCAATGTGACCAGCGTGTGACAAGGACGGGGTAGTGTGTCTTGGGCCTTAAACTAAGTTTTTCTATCAAAATAAATAATCAAATTGTTCGTTACTCGGTAGTCCCCTGCACTAGTTCGTCCCGCCAATGGTTCGCCCGCGAAGTCAGGAGATCTTCACGTTCATCTATAAATCTCATGTGGTTATCAGATGATTGCGCTACCAAGTTCATCATATGATCACGGTCCATCATTGCCTATAAAACCGAAATGAAAATCTCTTTATATCACCAAGTCGCATAAGGATCGTTCTGGTAATTAAGACGTAACAGCTTATTAAACAAATATACTAAGTATTTTATGTTAGAATAAACAGAATAAAACAGAACTCAATAACCTTTTGCTAGGCATTAAACGTATATGCACACGTACACAGGGGGTACAGTCCCGTCTGAAAACTTTCAGGGATTGAAATGCTCAATGCTTAATATTTTCAATTTCTGATCAAGACGTTTGACGTTCTCTAACAACAAAGAAGCTATTATAACCAAAATACTATTAACCTCGTACAATTCAGGCGATGCGTCAATAAGCATGTTCTTATTACCCAAATGTTTGGATAATGTTTCAAACTGCCTCATCGACCAAGTACCGTCGTGTTCCCGCCATGCACCGAAAGCGTTTCGAGAGACTTCTAGTAGCTTCGTTATCTTCTCCGTCATGTTCACTGCAAACTGTACTCGGGACTCCTGCCACAAAAGTATGTCCGTTAAGTTATTGGTTACATGGAATTTTATAATCCGAATTCTCTGTAGAAACACTGATCATGATCCACTAAGAATTAATCCAGATACACTAGTTTTACTAATAACTAAGTTGATATTTACACCCTGCACACCTCCTCTATGGTAAGCGGTTAACAACGCCTATTAGTTCTTGCAAGTCCAGTAGTGTCACTTATAGATTGCTAACCTGAAAGAGAGTTCTACATTTTGTGGACTGGATTAGATTAGACTAGTAGTAAAGTCACTCTATAGCGAGCAAAAGTCTGCTATGTCCCAGGTTTTCTTAATAACGGTCATGATGACCACAGTTTCGAAAGACTGCTGACACGGTAAACCCCGAAATTGTCGTTAAATCTCGTTTCTTAGAGAAGGTCGTACCTACAAATTTTAAATTTGGTGGGCACACAATTTGGGACTCAAGGGACACGAGTAGTTTTTTTTTAATATTTTTTATTTTTATTTTGTATTTTAAATTAGTGTATTATCACCGGTCCTCGATATATCAACAAAGTTTGAACGAAATCTGGTACTTTAAAGTTAGTCAAAATCACGCCCAAAGGTGTCGGTTACAAACATACATGTGATGCTATAAAAAGCGTGTAAAAACTACTATATAATGGCCCAACATACCTCGCACTGTTCAAATAACTGCATCTCAATTGTCATAAGATTTTTCCATAGATCATATAATAGATCGTTGTACCGTTCACCGAGGTCTATAATTATTGGCTCTAGCTGCTCTATAGTGATCTGCTTTGCTTTGAACTTCGTCATATGCTCATTCATTTTGTCAATAAAAGGCTTTTTATTCACCTCGTATTCGCCTACCTTGCTGAAATTTTTTTGTTTATTAAAATCATGTAAAGTTTTATACTTTTATGGAATACGTTTGTATATCCCTAAGTAATATATAGCTATTTCTAAGGCTTGACGTTGTAAGAGTTCATACAAAGAAAATAAGTATCGGTTCCTAAGTACTTAGAATATCAAAGCTAAATGTGGGTGGACTTATTGATGAGTATGTAACAAAATAAAATTTGTTCTTTAAAGTGTTCCAATGGAAGAACTTCTAGGCGCGCAATGCTACAGAATATTATGTGACAATCTGAATTTGCGTGCGTTTGCTAGCAGTAGGTAGTAGGTAAACGGTTAGCGTTAGGTACCTTGTTTGTTTTTTTAGCATTAGTTGAATTAATCTAACACTTGAAATTTTATCATTGACTAGTTAAACTATACTTACTCTTTACTCTTTTGTACGCTGGCCTCCAAGGCGGAGACGACAAGCTCTTTAAAAAGCCTTATTTCCTCCTGTCTGTCTGTTGTTGCCTGCTGCGCAAATTCCACTAAATCGGCCATGACTTCCACGTAAAGCTCTTTGTATCTGAAAATTAATTGTCATTATTGTAACACAGTTCTCCGTTTGTCATGTATCAGCACAACTTTTTGACTTATAACAAAGGAAACTACTTCGAAACGCATTATTACAAAAATATGCATTTTTAGTTTTAACCAAAAATGCATATATTTTTACTTTTTTACGTGGGAGAGCCATGCTGTGGAGCCAATGCGCTGGCTCGATAGGGATAACACAGCCTCACTACTACCTACGTACTTACTGTTCATAAAAAGGTATTAATTCGCCTCCAAAGGACAACAATATAGTGCCATCAGGATCTTTATCAAACATTCTCTCTAACAGTTCAGAACCACTGAGGTATTCGACAAAGGACATAGCATAAAACTTGACTTGTGATTCGTATTCTTCCTTTGCAAGCCTTTGTTTTTCGGATATTTCATCAGCTTCATCCATCTTACGGAGCAGACCCCTAGAAAATCAAAAGGAAAAACATATTTAAGATAAACATTTTATTTTACATGTTTATACATTACATTATACATTATATACCGTGTGGTGACGGATTAAGAATACAGAATGTCACCACCCCTATTCATCCCGTGGGTGTCGTAAGAGGCGACTAAGGGATCGAACTACGCAGGACAACAGCACTGCAGAGAAAAGGAAAACTTGACACAAACCCTATACAAACCCGTATGGCCAGCGTGGTATAGTAGGCCAAAACCTCCTTTCCAAGGAGAGGCCTATGTCCAGCAGTGGACTAGGAAAGGCTGTTGATGATGATGATGATTATATCTAAATTAGGTAGGTATCTACTCGTTCTCTCTTTACATAGATTCAGATGATGCAATTAGATTAAAACACATAGGCAACATTTTTTGTTAAGACTCAACCCCTTGGAAACGGGCGGTTGTAGATCGGCACAAGCAAATCATAGATTTTGTATGAGTTTAATTTTGTTTAATAAATAAATTTGAAAAAGCAGATTTATACTGGTTTATTTAACCACCATCAATTACCACCTGTGTGGTAATTTTAACCCTAAAGCTGGTACTGTCTATTTACCTTACTTATAAGAATTGTCATTGTGACCAAAATAAAGGAAATGTTTCAGAAATATGACTTTTATACACGAATTGACAATTCGCTTAGTAATAAAACACTTTTTTCTATGTTTCTAAGTATAATATGACTGCACGTATGACGTAGTGGTTTAAGCGGTCACCTCGCCGCTTCAACTGTGCTAAGTGTTGTGGATTTGATCCACACAAGGGACAACACTTCAGTGATGTGATGAATTATTTTTTTAAGAATGTTACCTAAATAGTGCTCTTCCATCTTCCCTTTGTTGGTCAGTGATAATTCTATAGTCGAGGTAGGTGACCCGAGGTAGACCCGCATTGAGAAACTGATACGCCATTGGGTCATCGCAGCAAGGATTGCCTTTAAAGCTGACCGCACGCAGTTTACGGAATCTGCGCAGGTACGCCATCTAGTTATAAAGGAACGTGAAGAGTTATTTCCACAAATTTACTGTTAAAAAGTGGAAACTTTTTCAAAAATGATTACTAAGGAATCAATTAGGAATTATCCATAATAAATTAGGAATTCACTATCACGACGATCAAAAGATGTTGCTCATAAAACCAATGTACAATTATTATTTTCTTAAATACACAATTAAGTTTCTGAGATATAATATTAAACGTATTCTAAATAAAAATTTGTTAACTATAGTTTATGTCATACATTTTGGTAATAAAAAGTGTAAGACTTACGCTAAATACATAAAAAAGATATAAAAAAAACCCGACCTCCTTAAAGTCTTCTATCAAATTATCCCCAATACTGAACACCAACAAATTCTCTAAAGTCTCCATATTTTCTAACTTTCTTATTCTGTTATGGAACAAAGTTAATATTTCTAAGTTAACTAAAGTTTCCAAGTTTTCAATCTTTTCTATTTTGTTAAAAGATAAATCTAACTCATTCAGACTAGTTAGTAATTCCAATTTCTCAATTTTTTCTATAAGGTTGTGAGCTAAAGTTAATTTAGTTAGTGAAGTCAGCATCCATAGATGGTCAATCCGGAGAATATTCTGAAACTCAAGACGAACTATCGTCGCCTCATCTAAATGTACACCTTCCTCAGCAAATAATCTCCCAGCTTCTTCAGTAGGACCTGGATGTAAAGAAAAGACAGCTTGCTGAAAATACAACTTTATGCATCATAAACATTATAGCATAAAAAACCAGTCAACTGAGAACGGCTCCAACGATTTTCATAAATTTAGTATGCAGGGGGTTTCGGCAGCGATTAATCGATCTAGCTAGGTTTCAGTTTTAGAAAATTTACCATTCGGTCATCTAGGTACTATTCATTCTACGTGAGTAACACTGCATAGAAGCCGATCATGCAAATGCAAGCAAGCTGAAGTGGCAATGGGCTGGCCATATTAGTCGCAGAACCGACAACCGTTGGGGAAAACGAGTTCTTGAGTGGAGACCGCGTCTCGGCAAACGTAGTGTAGGACACCGACAGGCCAGGTAGAGTGACGATTTGCGCAAGATGGCTTGCAGGAGCTAGATGCGAGAAGGCCAACATCGATCTAAGTGGCGTGCAATGAGAGAGGCCTATGTCCAGCAGTGGACTGCGATAGGCTGATGATGATGATGATGCAAATGCTGTAGTACTGCACCAGATAAATTGTGAGAGTTACGGATATATTTACCATAGTCCAGAATGCAGCGTATAAGCATAGCATTATCTATTACGCCTGGCTCAATATCTGGGTGAATTATGAGGCTATTCAGTGATTTCTTTTCGGTTTTTTTCTCCTCCATTTCCATGTATCTATTTTACTGAAACATATAACACTATACAACAATGTAAACAATGTTATTAATCCTTTATACTTCAAGTTAAAAGTTAACTTTTAAAATCTCAATTTGTTTGATTACAGCAATCATATCAATAGGCCGTTTCCATAGTGACAGGGTGCTTTAGTACGTTTTTATTACTGTATCTATCTATATACAAGGAATAAAGAGTGTTTATTACAAAACAACGTATCAGTTGTTAATCAATCTAATTTGATATAAGAGATGGCAATAGACCGGGTTTAAATCTTTCAGTGGGTTTAAACCGGATTTAAACCCATTTCTTCCCTCTCACAGGGATGTTATTGGTTTTAATAGCAATGAATAAACTTTCAACAAATGTACACGTTTGTGACTCCTGATTTGCAGACGTTCATGGGCGGCGATGGTCACTTTCCATCAGGTGACCGGTCTGCTCATCTGCCCCCTCTGACATAAAAAAGAACTACTATGTACTCTTTTCTACTCTCATATCTATTTGTTAAATTTTTGTTACCTGAAATTGGCCATAGCGGACGGATTATACCGCTAAAGTAAGCTTCTGGAACAAACAATTTGTTTGACGTTGCCTTGGGGAAATTGAACCAGTTGTATGGTGGAAAGACCAGTTCTACAAAATTAAGTAGATAGATAGATAGATAGATAAATACTTTATTTGTAGCTACACCTATGTTTTACAGACATTATACAGTAATTAACGACCGATGTAATGTACAAAGGGCGGCCTTATCGCTTAGTGCAATTTCTTCCAGGCAACCTTTGGATGGATTCATTTTGAAATGGTGATAGGTATACATAAATTAGAGAAGTAAATAGGGTCTTAACCTATAAAATTTTTTTTTTTTCATAGTCAACTAAGTAAAGTGGGTGGGCTGAAAATCGGATATATAATTTTTTTTTAATAAGAACGTAGTCGAAAAATTACAAGAATTGACTAGAAATGCTTTTATGACATCGATAAAACTTAGCCACAAGAAGGGGAAGAAAAATTAAGGTATCTGCCGGTATACGCAAGGCTCTAATTATCCAGAACCGGTTATTCATTAACTGGACCTCCTGTCCGGTTAGAGACTTTACGATGGTGACCAAATTCTTCTAGTGCCAGCAGTACGGGCACGCAGCCAAGATGTGCAAAACAACGACCTCTACGTGCGGACATTGTAGCGAAGACAGTCATTTCATCCAAGACTAAAAAGGCAGAACCACCTAAATGTGCAACATGCTTGCGCTTCAAACAGCCAAGCAACCACAAGCCGGAAGACGCCGTTTTTTTTTTTTGTAAACATAAGACCACCACGCTGGCTAGACAGGTTGGTATAGGGTTTGTGTCAGGATTTCCTTCCCTTTGTATTTGCTCCCTTAGTCGGCTCTTACGACATCCACGGTAAGAATAGGCAGCTGAATATAGGGACAATATTTCTATTGATTATGAAGGCGCTTAAGAGCGCCGCATATTCGCTTGTATATGTATGTTCTCATCTGAAAAGAATTTGAAAAGCGCTGCCTTAGCGATACGCGACTGCAGTCCATGACGCCTCGGGCTCGATTCCCGGACCGGGCAAAAATTTATGTGGTTTTTCTGAGAAGAAAATAGCCTAAGTTACTGCTTATATAGACAGCTACCTGGTAGTAAAATGTTATTAAAATCGGTCCAGCTGTTGAGAAGAGTACCCGGAACAAACAGACAGATAGACAGACAGACAAAAAAATATTTTAACTGGTTTTTAGACATAGGTATCGTCCAAATAACCGTGTGAGCATGAAAAACCAACGAAAAAAAATTAATTATTTTGACATTACAGACATTTCAATTTTATTTATAGTATAGATCAGGGATTCCAAAGGTGGTCGATATCATTCCCTAGGGGTCGAAATAAACTAAAACTGATTTTGGGGGTCGACATGGTTTAAAAATCTACCCCTATTAAACAACACAACACAAGTTCTTATTTGAAATATTCTTTCTAATATTCTGCCATCGCGCTTTTTTTACTATCATGAGTAGGTATGTCGTGTCAAAGGATGTTTGGTAAAATAGATGTAGGTACCTACCTATTCGGCACCTATGTCTGTGGAACGAAAGAAAAGGGGCCTCGCTGATGTGACTTCGCCCACAGCCACCCACACCCACGCCCACATAATATATACCACAATGATACGCCACTGTTTTTACAAAATATTGACTTCAATAAAAGAATTTCGAAGGATGACTAAACAAATATCGACCTATTAATCACAACACTATTGATACACGTGCTGTCATTAGACAAAGACAACAATTGTAATTTACGTAATGAGTGAAAGGGACATTTCAACGAATGCTAAATTGTTATTACTTTGCTCCATTATAAGTTGAACTCCGGTGCATTTGAAATAGGTTGACGTGATAAGAATATAATTAACTTACCGATGAAATGTTATAATATTTTTTTGATTACTAGGGTGTCTCTTTTTTTATGTTAGGTCTAGCCGGATTAGCTGACTTGCCTCACCACTTCACTATACAAGAAGCCGTTTCTAATATATTTTGAAATAAAACTATTTTAAATTGTCAAGAACTCGGATGTGCGTACGGTGCACGAACTTGGTCATTACTAATGTCGTGATTCTTAGAGTCACGTCATATGCTGGCTACAGCAAGTATGTGTTGAGCGCCTTTGTGGCCCTGTATGCGGAGTCTATTAGGGGATAATCTGTGAATAAAACCCATCGTCAGAACAGGATTTTGATAAAAATAGGAATAATCTCTTTGCATAGATATCTTTTCTAAAAAAATGGTTCGTAAACGATAGAGATCATTCAGGCGGCGACAAAAGATATAAGCATTAAATAAACAGTGATTCTCATCATTTCTTAAAATCGGTTTTAATGTAAGCTACCATGCCTATGGAAGCGTCTTTTTATTGTTGCATTATAAAACACTGAAAATTTGAACACGGTGATTTCAGGTGAAATCGAAATTCGAATCGAATAATATATTCTTTAAGAATTTAAGGTCTCATTTTATCTTATCAACAACAACAACCAAAATTATTGTTCCGTTCTTGTTCCATCTAGAAAACGGAACATTCCATTTACTCTTACAAAAACTAAATTAAAGTTACCCGTTTTAACGGTATTAAAAAATCAAGTTTCTGAACGTTTAACATTTTGAATGACTGTATTTGACAGCGGAGCTTGTTTTTATCTATCTTGTATGAATTACTTTTTGGTGACAAGAGAAATCGGTGAAATCATTTTGATAAATACTTGATTATTTTCGTAAGATGTCTTTCTTTGGTGTAGGAAATCCTTTTTCTACGCCGGTGGGCCAAAAAATAGGTAAGGATCAAATATAAATAATTTAGTGGCGTTATTCATATCGGAGAATAATGTCGAGCCTGATAACTGTAGAACTAAATTGTTTCTTAATGTTGCGCACTAGAAAATCTTACTGGGCTTTGTTGTTTTGTCATTGTAACTTGACTTCATTTAGGAAGTACGGTAGGTAGATTCATATCTTATAATAATATTGTGAAATATTTTTAGTTGCCTTGACCCTTTCATTATGTGATGTACGTATCAAATTATTATTCCAGAACAAGCTACAGATGGATCTCTACCTTCGGAAAACTGGGCTCTTAATATGGAAATATGTGATATTGTGAACAGTAGCACAGATGGACCAAAAGATGCCATAAAGGCGATCAGGAAGAGGTTGACACAGAGCGCTGGCAAGAACTACACAATAGTGATGTATACACTGACTGTGTTGGAGACGTGTGTTAAAAATTGTGGAAAATCTTTTCATGTTCTGGCTTGTAACAAGGAGTTCATATCAGAATTGGTAAGTACCTTTACTATATTGTAATTTTCTTGCATCCATTTTTGCATATATATTAATAATCTTTGTGTAGTGGATTTCAATAATTGAATATGTCCAGATTTTAAACATTCATAAGTAGCATATCCCACAACCTGTTTATTGGATTCTAATAAGTGTTGCCTTTTAGACAAAATCTTTGGTTAAGGTTTTGTCTATATTTGTTCCATTTGTTGTATATTTTAAAATATAGGTAAGTTAATGGAGTAATCTTAAATCAGGCTATGGAGTTCTATTATGCTCACCTGCAATAATATTATAAAATACATTCTTATGGTTTAATCTATTGTAAGTTTTGTCTACATTATTCTATGAAATAGATATGTGTGTTTGTCTGTGTGAATGTGTATGTGTGTAAATTTGAATGTCACATATAATCATGATTAAAGATTAAACAATAGAAGTGAATAAGATCTACCTTATCATATAATCTGTTGATGTCAGTGAACTTTGAACAAAACAATTGTATTTTATGTCTGATAAGATTTGTTTTCACTGCAATTTATGAGAAATTTAAATATCTCTTATTAAAATACTATTTCTTTGGCAGATATGCAAGAAAGTTTTCTATTTTTGTGTAAATAGTAATTTTACTTAGTTCTCTCAATTGCCATGAAAATGCTCTGAACCTAAATCTTGACAGTATACTAATACATTTTCCTATAAATCAATGTATTTATGTAATTAGCAACATCATAACAAATCTTAATTACCTAAAAGTCCTTTATTGATAATAATGATTAATGTTCTGATTTTAAGAGAAGAATCACCTTAAGGAAATTAAAAAAAGAATATCTTTGGTTAGCATATGATATTTTCATGATCAACTAACTGTATCTTCTAGTTCTCTAACTTATATATAATGTGTATGTTGTCATGGTAAAAAGTAGACCATGACCCTCCTCAAGAGTCAAAGTATCTCTATGCTAAATATTATTAAAATCTGTTCAGCAGTTTAGCTGTGAAAGAGTAACAGAGTTACTTTAGCAATTATAATATTAGGGATGCAGATCAGACACAAACACCACATCACAACATACCATTACTTAAATGATTGTAATCCAAACCATTGCAATAAAAATTTGTAAAAGGCCTTGCATTCTATTGTAATATCTGTTTATATGTTGAAACTGAAATGCAATAATGGAAGTATGCAGAGTACTAAAATACTCCATATTTAAATACCAAGTTTAATAACTATTAACTGGTAAAAATGTATAATTACTTCCATTGTAATTAAAATGTAAAACATAAACTAAAAATATAACAAAACTGCAAACACTAACCCACCTACACTATTGAAAACTTCACAATTCAATTAAAACAAATTTATAAATAATTATGAGTGATAAATATTATTATGCCTATAAGAAATTAAATTAATTAAACGCCAAAAAATCAACAACACTAAGTCATTGTAATTGAGTTGTATATGTTATTACTGTGTGCTCGACACAGACACATATTTGTGTTTGGTGCTATACACAAGCATATTTGTATTTTGGACATTTCAGTTATTTCAATATAAGATAATTTAAAGAAAATGAGATTTACCATTTATCAGTAATCAAACATTTTTTGCCCCACCCAGTCCGACCTTTGTTATCTAGTCTACTTTTATTAATTTAATTTATTTTTGTGAAGAGAACTCCTGCACTAGGAATATAATCCTGTGTCCCTGGAGACTTTACAAACATATATGAAACAGACACTCTCTGTGTCCGTTTCATCATCCAGACTTGGGACGACAATTTGTAGATCACACAAAGTTTCGTCCCATGTAGGAATTGCACCCACAAAAATCAGCGCAGTAGGAAGCGGCGAGATGACTGCTTAAACCACTACTCTATTCGTGCGGTCAATGTCAAGTTCTTCTTAGAATGATTACGACCCTTACCTTAATGTAATAAACACTGCTATTGAATTTATTTATGTTTGATTCTCAAGATAAACACGACTATACAGAAATAGAGAAACAATTTGGTCAGTGTCCATCTGAAGAAAAACTTAAATTTTTACTATATGCCTATTACAGGACTAACTGCCACAGAATTAATTCGATTGTCTGCAGTAATCTGATAATGCTTGCCATTCTTAGACTGGAGTCTGAATGTCGCATATGAAATTTACAGCTCTGCAAACTCCAGAGTTGCAATTAGTTTACATGTATCAGCATTATTATGTAATAACTCTCATATGTTAGATTATATTTAAAGTTAATGCAACTCATGCATTCAAATTATATAAATGAGAAAGTCCAATTCATTTGGATATGAGAGATAATGTGTAACACGAAACATATATACTCACGCCTAAATGGCCAAAGAAACAAGCACAGGGGGACTGAACACTAACATTTTGATAATAATAGATTAGTCCCATTTACGTAACATTAGGCTTTTTGGGAATGGTTGATGGCAAAATTGTAAGTATATTAACAGGAAAATGTTGTTAAGATGGAAAGAGATATTGGTTATATAGATGGATTGGGGAGCGATTGGTGATTATGCGTGTCACCACCCCTATCCATCCCGTGGGTGTTGTAAGAGCCGACTATAATATAAGGAAGCAAACTATGCAGGACAACAGCACTGTAAAGAGAAGGAAAACTTGAAACAAACTCTATACCTACCCTTCTGGCCAGTGTGGTATTGTAGGCCAAAACATTATTTTTGAGGATAGGGCTATGTCCAGATATATGATGACGAGGGAGTGTAAACAAGAGCAAGAGCAGGTCAGTAACTCGTAACTGGCTGCCGGGAAGTTAGAGATCTCTTTTTTGTGGTATAAGGGGGAAACGAGCAGACGGTTCAACCTGATGGTAAGTGACTACCGCCGCCCAACGATATTTGCAACTCAAGAGTCATAAGGGTGTTGCCGCATTTGAGTCCCCCCTCCCAGAATCAAGGTAGGATTAGGTTGTTATCCGGTTACCCCACTCACTCGAGACAAAAACAATGAGAGAATTGCTAAACACCAGTTTCCAGTGAGGGCGTGGTATCATTCCGATGAAGATGGCCGCCCAGTTGTGCCGAAGCAAGACTTACCCTCTTTAACAAAACAAACATATAAGAGCGTACTCCTCCCAACGCGCTTGTGACTCCTCACTTTGACTTCCGTGCAGTCGTAGTGGTTTAAGCGGTCGCCACGCCCCTTACTTCTGCGCTGAGTGTTGTGGGTTGATCTCCACATAGATCGACACTTTGTGTGATCCACAAATTGTTGTTCTGAGTCTGGGTGTTCTTTGTGTCCGTTACATGTATTTGTAAAGTCTTCAGCGACACAGGATAAATTACTAATGCGGGAGTTGTCTTTTTATTAAAAAAAAAAGAAAAAAATGTTGCAAGCGTTTATGGGTAGGCGGTTGTCTCTTTCCATTAGGTTTGTTTGTGCCCTCACCCCCCCCCCCCTCCCATTTCCATAATAATAATTGTTTTATTTTATTTGGTAAGGTAATTGTAGTACACAATGGTTAACACATAAATTAATTAAGATATGCATACAGTCAGTGGTCAAAGCGTTGTCCTCCTAGCTAGATTAAACTGTATTAAGGAGTAACAGTCCCAAACCCCTTTCGGTGGCAATTATTAAAATATAATGTAATTTTTTACATTTAAACATAATTGAAGAAATGGGAATCGATTTTCATCAATGTGAGCATGTGATATGTAGAACCATAAGGTAGACTATATCAATCTTGCAGCAAGAGTTTGGAGCCTCAATTAATTATAATGGCTTAATCAACTGACTTGATATCACATTCGATAAGGTCACCCGACATGTAAATGAGTCTGCATATTAGAGAAAATCATTTGTAACATTATAGATGTTCCACATAATAATACACTGATGTTGTAATATATCCTGCTCTTACGCAATATAATTTTGTCACCGTATTCGTATATTCTGTTTGAAATTCATTTAATATGTAGATAATAGATAATATGTAGAGAATAGATTTTATTTTCCAACTCAACTGATAGGAAAGGAATCCTTTGCCTTCCGTTCTCTGCTTACATTATGTCTCTTATCTATTTCTTAGCTTGGTAGCCAATAGGCAGAGACATGGTATTAAGCTCACAGTTATAATATCTATCAACAACCGTTAGTAGTCCTCTGCTGGGCATAGGCCTCTACTCAGAAAGAAGGTTTTGGCTTACTATACTCTGCTGGCCAGCCGGTTTTCTATAGGGTTTGTTTATAGTTTTCCTTCTCTTTTTGTTATTTTTCTCTTTTCAATATAGTTTATGTATTAGTATAACAATAAGGAATATTAACAAAATAGCTAGGAGTCTCGTGCATTGTTAAAATAATTTTATGAGTCATAAATATGTAGGTGCATTAGCCGTCTAATATGCTTGTCAAATTAATACTATAATAAAAATAAAGGATGAACTGATTTAACAAATACAATTTAAGATCAACTTCTTGTACAACCAATTGAAGCCCAAATCAATTATAGCCTAATCAAGTAAATGGCTATTGAAGAAATTATTGAAGCAGGAAGTAATTTATATTCCCATACATCGAAGTATGTGGCAAGAAATATCAAAGACACCAGATATCTCACGCAAGCCCGTCTGATCCCAAACTAGGCAGAGCCTGTGCTATGGTAACCAAACTGCAGATAAACATACTTCAATATTTCTAAATACACACATATTATAGATATCATTCATAATATACATATACAAATAAAGTATAAAGAGCAATGAAACTTGTGTAACAATTGTAAGTTGCCGAGTGCCGACGACGTGTGTTAAGTGAAGCTGTTTAATACATATTAGCTACCACGTTCTAGATATCATTTAGGTACGTCTTTACTACAATTGTCGTGACACGATTGTTATTATCACTTAACACAAAATACATACTATTAACTTCTATCTATAACTCTTTATGGTTAAAACAGCACAAGATTGTGACTGCTCATCCTATTACATTCAAATGTTAATTATTTAGGAGATGTAAATGGTTCGTATTTGATAGTAATTACGGTGAATTTTCTCCATATTTCCTATTATATGTAATGGAAAAATGTAGGGAAACATATTCATCTTCTTATAAGGTTAACCAATCCTAATTAAAAAAGCTATATTATCTGAGGTCATTATACGAATCACGTGTAATCCGTAATTACTCGTAAGAATTAATTTCTAGATCAAATGCCTTAGAATTGTTTTCCTATTTCCGTATTGTAAATAAAAGATTTAAGTTGCTTAAAATAAAAAATCGCATCGTATAGGTATATGTCAAAAAGACTATTCCATTCTTATAAGCATCATATCCTTATTTCCTTCTTAACTAACTACACTTACATTAAAATCAATTTATTTTAAAATAGAAAATGGCGGATATGATTATGAAACATACCCCCAATTTTGCTGAATTCCTAAAGTGCCGAATTATTAGTATTACGAGTGTGGTACCAAATTCAAATCACATCACCTCAACAGCCTTTAATGGTTCACTGCTGGACATAGGCCTCTCCTAAGAAAGAAGGTTTACAGTGCTGTTGTGTTTCGTAGTTTGCTCTTACGACACCCACGGGATGAATAAGAGATGTGACAATCCGTACCTATTCTTAATCCGTCACCACACGGACGGTACCAAAAAAAATGGGTCTTTAATCCACACGTCTGTTTCCCTCTGAGTGGTTGTATCTGGTATCTGTCGCATTAATTGTTTTGTTTTTCAGGTAAAACTAATTGGGCCTAAGAATGATCCACCAACAGTTGTACAAGAAAAAGTTCTCAGTCTTATCCAGTGTTGGGCTGATGCATTCCAAAATCAGGCCGACTTACAGGTAATTTATTAGTTAATGTCAAATTGTTTTCACGTAATTCCAAATATTATGATTTATTTCCTAGTGGTTAAAGCTGTTTGGAGACCTGTTTTCCTGCTGCTTCGGAGCTGCTTGGTTCATTAGGATTTTAGTTTTTCAATTAAATAACTTTGAAAGTGACTCAGTTAGATTAAGCGTGCTGCAAAGATGGTGTTCTAATGTACAAACAGATGTTTTTATAATATATATCCATAACTAAATTATAAATGGGAAAGTAGGTTTGCTGGTTCTTGTGCAAAAGCTAATGTATAATATAATTATTAAAATGTCCGTATAGAATTGTCGCTTTGTAAACTGGTACCTACGGCTTCGTTCGCGTACGCACGGTACGCGACTGTAGTCCATGAGGCTTCGGGTTCGATTCCCGGACCGGGTAAATATTTATAGGGTTTTTCTGAGAGGAAAAATAGCCTAAGTTACTCCTTATAAAGATAGCTACCTGGTAGTAAAATATTATCGAAATCGGTCCAGCCGTTTTGAAGATTAATCGGGACAAACAGACGAAAAATATTTAAACTGGATTTTAGGCAAAGGTATCGTGCAACTAGCAGCTCACACAGCATGAAAAAAACATATTATTTGGTAATTACAAACAGACTTTTCAAGTTTATTTATTTGTATAGATCATACAACACTATGTACTAGTTATGCTACGCTTGAATTCTAAACACACTTTCAGCCTAATTAACATTTGAGAGATGATATAATAAATGATAATAACCTTGTAATAGCATCTCTAAATTGGATTTGACGCCAAATAGATAAACATGATAGAATATTTGTATAATTTTGTTGACAACCTTGATAAACATAATTTGTTTTAGACTAGTCTAACTAATCCGCAAGTGTAACGGATGAACTGAATTTATTTATTTCGAAGAGTCAGCGCTCTGTTGAAAACTGACTTTTACTATATTTAAGCAATAGGAACAATAACCATCCAAAGAGTGTCAGCCATATTTTTAGAAATTCATGCAAAATGCGTTCGTAAAAGTTTTATATATACACGGCAAATTTGCCTTGTACCACCTTAAGTACTTACCACCTGATCAACTGCAACAAATAACGATAGGCTGCTGTGAGTGTTGTGGGTTCGATCTCCACATGGGACACCACTTTGTGTGATCCACAGATTGTTGTTCTGAGTCCCCCGCGACACAGGATAAATATTCTTAATGCGGGAGTTTATTTAAAAAAAAAAATTTTTTTTTATATAACTTAAATCTGTTTACAATTTTGTAATTTTGTATACAATTTTTTTTTAATCTGCCTTTTACTTTGAAATTGGCGCCTTCAAATATGCCTAGCTTTAAGCTGTATTTTTATTATTATACTTACGTTCTTAAACAAGTATTTCGTATACGCGAATTATCGACACCTTCCGATATTTGATACGGCAGACGCCTCGTCTAATCTCATTTACACCTTTAACTTGAACCTATTAAAACGTAATTCAATTAATGTGATATTTGATCAGTCAGTAGCAGGTCATACTTGGTAGTTGACATTTAGTATTGCTGTGGTAATCATATCTTTAGACTGATTCATTGATAATAAAATGTAAAATGATTCATTTATAATAAGTTACACAGGGTTTGAGTAAATAACTTTATAAAATAATAATAATATATTATTTTATATAATTCATTCCCTGCAAAAAGAATGAAACCAAAACCAACAGTGTACTACTAAGGGCTGTTGATGATGATGATTCTTTCTCAATTTTTCAATTTTTTTCAAATTTGAATCTGGCAAACCGAAAACCAATTTGTAAAATTATTACTTGAAAGGGTATACCCCTTTCAAGTAATAATTTTACAAATTGGTTAAAAACAAAACAGCCGAAGTGTAAACCTTTACCTTTTTTTTTATTAAGTAAAAAAATTAAGTAAAATATCAGAACAAGACCTTAGTCCAATTTATACTTATCAGTAAAACATATTAAACACTTTAAATAGAGAAAATCGATACGTAATGAGGAAAAAGTCTAATAAAATGTTTAATCCTGATTTGAATTCCATTATATTGCTATCGAAAGTAGTCTTTATTGCTTTATACATAACGTAGCTTTCTTTCAGTCAAAAAAATTTAAAATATTTTGACCGTATCGACCACCGGCCGATCGTATCACTAATTCAGAACATTATCAGCTACTTTCAAACCCAAAGCTCTCTATCTCGTTATAATAATAGCATATAAAATAGATAATCTAGAAATAACTAGAAGTAATTTATTTTAATAGAAAACGCAAAAAGAGAATCTTTTTTATATTTCGGGGCATGACAAGCATACGATCGGATTATTTCAATTAAAATATAACATTAAAGTATTTTCTTCTTTTTAGCAAACTAACATTTGTATTTTTATTTTGAATGAAATCTTGATGAGAGGTAAAGGACGGACGACTTTCTGAAATATTTTTAAGGCATGTAGCTTTATATCAATTCATATATTTTTCCATCAATTACATAGCTTTCGTAAACATACTTAAACATTATAGTCAAACCTATGTAGATTATAACACTTGTACATGTCTTTTTAATTGTTACTGTTAAAATTTGCAATTGAATTTAAAAAAATATAAAACAATCAGATTAAACGTTATTAAACATTATTAAAGGAAAACTTGACACAAACCCTTTACCAACCCGTCTGGCCAGCGTGGTATAGTAGGCCAAAACCTCGATAATATATTGTCAAAAACGTTTGTATGCTTATCATGTTGAGATTTTCATCTGTACTAATATTTTAAAGCTGAAGAGTTTGTTTGTTTGACACACTAATCACAGGAACTACTGGTTCGAATTGATAAAATCCTTTAGTGTTGGATAGCCTATTTGTCGTGGAAGGCTATAGACTAAATAACATCACTACGACCAATAATAGCCGATCAATGATAAATGTTGCAAAAACGGGTATGATTTATACCTTTTGAGAGACGCGGACGAAATTACTTATCATGGAATGACAGGATGGTTGAACGAGAATATTTTATTCATAAGCATCTACACCTTGAGAGACAAATGTCATTCTTATTACACAAGTGAAGCGTTATAATCCACTTATCAAAATTATCGCTTACTTGTTTATCATTTTTCGAATGACATGAACCCAATGCTAGTGCACTGCTCTGCTCCTAAAGGTTCTTGCATGTTGTAACAGGACCTATAATTTTTAAAATTTTACCTAGTGTTTTTAAATCTATACTAATATTATAAAGCTGAAGAGTTTGTTTGTTTGAACGCGCTAATCTCAGGAACTACTGGTCCGATTTAAAAAATTATTTCAGTGTTAGATAGCCCATTTATCGAGGAAGGCTATAGGCTATATATGATCACGCTAAGAAAAAATAGGAGCGGAGCACCAATCAAGAATGTTTCAAAAACGGAGAAAATTTATTACTATTGATAGACGCAGACGAAGTTGCGCGGGTCAGCTAGTATGGTATACTAGTAACAAGAGTTACATATTACTAGGCCCTGGGTAAAAGTCTTTTCAAAGATTTGCATCAGCATTTAGTCTTAGTTGTATACAATCTATGATACATGTCGTCGTACAAGGTGCAAATTTGCCACATAACACCTTTTTATTTAAACATAAAAGAATAGTTAACTAAAAGGACACCATGTAGGCTGGCCTCTTAAATTATACTATTTGAATTATATTATTTTTATAATATCATTATGTATTTCACGTAATTGATCAATCGATTTTGATTATGACTGTTGATAAGATTTAAATGTTACGTATTTATATCGAACATCCTTCAACTTATGATCGTTAATGATATGCCAGTGTCAATATAGTCGATGCTTGTTCAATATATTGGTCAGTCTAATGTCTCATTTTAATGCACTGACCAGTATAACTTGAGCTATTATTGTGTAGACCTCTGTAGTCACTGACAGGCCAAAATATACATAATTCTTATAAGAGATATTTTTATAAAAAGGATAATTATCTGTACTTCTTCTACATAGGTAAAACATTAAGTATTCCAAATGTGTTACTCTCACACACTAAATCTGTACCCGTAAACATCTTCCGTAGTGATGTCCTACAAGTCCTACATGATTATACCATCGTCAATAATAAAATAGGGTATAAAAAAGTATAAAAAACATACATGATTAACTAATTAATTAAGAAAACTTATTTAAAAAAAAGTTATATAATTTTACCGTTTTTCAATGTTGCAGGGCGTTGTACAAGTGTACAATGAACTACGAACTAAAGGCGTTGAGTTCCCGATGACTGATTTAGACGCTATGGCACCTATATTTACTCCGCAAAGGGTAAGTAGTAAACTATTTTATATATAATTAGTAAACATTTATTATTTTTGTGTAAACAAAATATAATATAAAAATATTTTCAATACAAAAATTGTTAAGTCGTTCCTATCGTCTAAGCAGATTTGACTGCACGGATAACGTAATAACGGTTTAAATTATTATCGAGAAATACCAAAATAAGCCACTTTCGTGCTGTAATATCTTTTATTAAATATTTTCTTTTACTTGCGGCGACGCAAGCTCAAAAGTAATTTTGTATCTGTATCCAAATCATGAATTTGTATCCAAAATTTAATGATAACCGGATCAGACCGGATGGCCTAATTCATGGGATTTTTCTTCTGAGAGTTGCAGTATTATTTCTATTTAAGACATCTGTTTATCTTTATCAATCTTAGATTGCATTTTAATTACTGACGTAAAAAGGTGTTACAGAGTGTACCGGACGGTGGCGAACCCATTTTGGGTTCCCCGCAACGTACCGCTATGCCGCAAAACTCGCCCAGCCGCCCCCCTATGGAGCAAGTTTCTTCAGCGGTAAGTAGACCCACCTAAAAATAACTTTATTTCAAATGTGATTATTCTTGTTATATCTGTCACAAACTGTAAATTGTTTTATAATATTAGATCTTTACCATAAAACGTTATAATTATCTGATATCTTAATTGTATATTTTGTTTTTAGAATAAGGGTATACTAATCTTATAGGACTTCTTTTCTTAGGTGACTCTGTCTGAGAGTCAAACGAACAAGCTCCGTGCAGACCTGTCTGTCGTGGACGGCAATATGACTGTTATGAACGACATGCTCAACGAGCTCACCACTCAGCCGCACACCGCACACCATGACAGCGATATTGAACTACTAAATGTCAGTACATATTATCATAGTATTTTAATAGGACATTGATTAACATTTTAGAGATGTATGAAAGAGGTGTTATAATTTGTAGTGTTTGACAAAGGAATTAATTATTTTAAATAGTTTAACACAGTTTTGTTGAATTTACTTGGCAAGTCTATATCGATTTCTATCTTGTAATAATAATGTACAACCTTAACGATCGCAAGTAAAGGTTAAAATATCTATAAATGTTGATAAAATTAACATTGGCTAATGTTTATTTATTTATTATTATATAACCGAATATAATTATTTAATTAATTGTTATCGATTTGCAAGAGTCGTTAGACTTGTTAATCAAATTTTATTTAAGTTAAAGTTGTTTTGTAGTTATTCTTTTTTTTTAAAGAGCAAGTGTTAGGAACGCGGGTCTCACATTACTACTATTTTATTAAACCCTAAATTTAACTTTTAGCAGTTCGTTCGGTGGAGTTTGGATGCACAACCACTCAATCGAAAGTCCTAAGCCTAAACTATGATGTAATGATTATATAAAACAATAGTATGGTGTTGTGTGGAGTGCAGGAGCTGGCGGACACGCTGCGCGCGATGCAGAGCCGCGTGGCCGAGCTGATCGGGCGCCTCGCGGGGCAGAGCGCGCTCACGGCCGAGCTGCTGCACGCCAACGACACGCTCAACAACCTCCTGCTGCGCCACACGCGCTTCCTCAACAACAGGTACGCTCTCTAACCCTGTTCGTGACCCCTCGTGTGTTCAGTATTTATCGTATTACCAGTATTACCTTTAGTATTTCTCGGTTTTACTCTATAAATTCTAACATCTAATATACAAAATTCTCGTGTCACGGTGTTAGAAGTTGAACTCTTCCGAAACGGCTCCACCGATTTTTGAGAAATTTTGTGTACATATCGGGTAGGTCTGAGAATCGGCCAACATCTATTTTTCATAACCCTATTTTTTTTTGTCAAATTTGAAATAATTTATATTTATGGCAAAACAACGTTTGCCACCTAGTAATGTTATAAATGCGAATATAAGTTTAGCGTTACGATTTCACGTTTTAAGTACTCAAATGATCATTATGAAAGTTTTCTTGCAGTTCTCAATGACACAGGATAGCTTTCATTTGAGTATTGATTCTGGAGAGTAAAAAAAATAATTTTGACGCAACCAATGCTGCGAGCAAAGGGTTATAAAGTATACAAATTCGCATCAGTGTGAAAGTTTATATATTCAAAATTGCATTAAAATAATAGTGACGCATCGATCAATCTCTGCCCCTGACCAATCAGGCTCCAAAGAATTTTCTTAACGCTAATAGACTAAATTTGGTCGCATTTAAATTTCCAAATTTAATGTGTAAACTATAGATTTTTTTATCACATATTTTTGTAATTACTCTTCATTTATAGGAACGCTGCGACCGGCGGAGCGACCCCATCGGCCATTTTGGGAGCTGCTATGGGGGTACCCGGGACTAACGCGACTGTATCACGTTAGTATATTTTATACCATCACAAATACCGGTTAATAGTATAAGTGTACAAAGTCGCAAAAATATCTCCTGAGGGAATAAAACACTATGTTCAGAGCAAGATAATTTATTGGCCTAGAAAGTAATGCATTGCAAGAAAATCTTAACATCGACATCTTAAATACGTAGAATAAACCCACCCCCCTTAAAGGGTGATTTGTATCATGAAAACTATCCCATGTCCTTTCCCGGGACTCGGCCTATCTCCATACCAAGTTTTATCTAAATCGGTTCAGCGGTTTAGGCGTGAAGAGTTACAGGCAGACAGACACACTTTCGCATTTATAATATTAGTATGAATAAATACTATAAAACTAATAAATTTAATGTATCTGTCATTACAGCCCAGAAGAATGACGACGATGCTTTGATTGACCTTAGCGACGATGTGCCAGATATTGCCAAACTGAGTAAGTGTGATTATCATTTTATGAGAGAATTATATTTTAAGGAATAATACGAACCAACATTTAAGATACTATTTAAATATTTTAACCAATAGTAACAATACAATATTGCAAAAAGATTTTTTTCTCTTAATACCAAAAATAATTACACTTCTAATTCTCTACTGGGGTAGACAGAGACGTTAGAGGTAGAAGCAGACTAAGAACACCGTAAGAAAGAAAGAGAAGTAGGTATTATAAGGTTTTCGTTGGTTGAATTTATTTTTTCAAAGGAAGGATAAAGGATTTTTAAGTACCTTGCCTAACTACCTTGATTAAAATTATTTATTTGGTAAAGAATAACATGATACGTTCGCTCTTATCTTACGACTCTACCTGTCTATGGTAAAACAAAAGCAGTAATCGTGGCTTCACTATAATAGCTTTAGATACAGCAATAAATACACAGCGATAAACATACGCTACAATATTTATGTATCATAATAGTTTGCGCAGAGCAAGCAATTAATCAAATCAATATTTTTGATTAATTGGGTTATGTTATAAGCATACTTTATTGGGTTATATCGCAACTAAACGTTATGTTGTTATATATTTTCAACTATGAAGCTAAATATTTAATTATACAATAATAAATGAAGATTTCGTTTATTGTTTACAGGATCAAGATTTTGTAATTTATACAAATGTATAGACAATTCTTGAAATAGACTAAGTATGTTAATACTTATCGTACGTAGTTTGATGTGTGCTCTGAACATTTCAGGTGTGAAGGACGCACAACCCGACAAGTCCCCGAGCAGCGCCAAAGATGAGTTTGACATGTTCGCACAGTCGCGAAATGTTACTTATGAAAATTCTAAAATTGGGTAAGCGTTGGATTATTTAAATATTAAGTATACAAAACATTGGTTTTGTAATATTATTTATTTATCAATAAAAATTAGATTTAAAGTTTTAGGGATGTGAGAAATTACTTCATAGAAAACGTACCCCTTTAGGAGAGGGAAGTATGAAGAGTTTATTCAAAATACCACGCTTGGACACAGGGGCGATGTGGGGGGGGGGGTTCGGAGGAAGCCGCCTGAGGGATCTAGCCTCACGATAGGAGGCACTCGCATCGGCATCGAGCCCTCGATCAGGTATCTGGGGCTCGTACTCGATGGCCGATGGGACTTCGGATATCATTTCCGAGGTCTGGTCCCCAAGTTGGTTGGGGCAGCGCGTGCGTTGGCGCGGCTGCTGCCCAACATGAAGGGACCCGATGACTCCTGCAGGAGTCTCTACTCGGGGGTTGTGCGGTCCATGGCCCTTTACGGGTGCCCAGTATGGGCGGGGGCCCTGAAGGCCAGCAACGTCGCGATACTGCGACGACCGCAGCGAATGCTGGCCATCAGGATCATAAGGGGGTACCGCACGATCTCCTTTGAGGCGGCGAGTCTCCTGGCCGGAACTCCACCGTGGGACCTGGAGGCGAGAGCCCTTGCGGCTCTGTATCAGTGGCGCAAGGACAGTGGCAGGAGTTGGGTCGATGCCCCGAGATTCGAGAAATCGATGACCGGAAATCCCAACTCCGCCAGGTCATCATAGGGGAGTGGAGGAAACGACTCGGGCAACCGAGCGCCGGGCACGCCGTCATTGCGGCGGTAAGACCCGTTATGGAGGATTGGCTCGAGAGGCGTCACGCGACCCTCTCATACCGATTGACGCAGGTGATCACTGGGAAGGGATGTTTCGGAGATCACCTGTGTCTGATCCGCAAGGAGCCAACGCCTGAGTGCCACCACTGCGATGGCCAGACCGCGGACACGGCTCTCCACACGCTGGCAGAGTGCCCGGCGTGGGTTGAGCAGAGGCGAGACCTCGTGGCGGCCATCGGAGTGGGAGTTCTCTCGCTCGATAGCCAGATTGCGGCTATCGTGCGGAGCGAGAGTGCGTGGAACTCTGCCGTCTCCTTCTGCGAGCAAGTTATGCTCGCGAAGGAGACGGCGGAGATGACCCGAGGTATGTCGGGGCACCAGGGATTTCCTTTCTAGGGTATACCTGGTTCCCCGGCTATTAGTACCCGGTGACGGCGTGCGGTTTTAGTCGGTTCGAGTCCGACATGCCACCGACGGGTGGTATCCGAGGGGATTTCCGCACGTAAAAAAAAAAAAAAAAAAGGGGCGATGTGGGGCCTAGGTTTACGTCAACATCCTCTAGGGAAATCTCGTGCTTTTTTGAGCTATAAATACGGCGCGCAACGTTTAGCACTTTTATGATTAAACAAAGTAAAGTAAACCTACAAGGGCAACTCGCGCATAAGCGCTATATTGACAAATATGAAACAAATTAACTCCATGTTAGCACAAAAATGATTTAAAGCTATATTCATAAATTATAGTTAAACCGCCGTAAGCTTGGCCCTCCTGATGGTTTGCGGAACGCGGGGCGGGTTATGCGCTCGGCTATACACGACACGATGTACTAACTCGATATCTTCAGATTTATTTGTTTGAGATTTAATCTACACACGATGTAATAAAAATCGAATTTATTTCCATGTATTATAATGTCAGTGTATTGTAAGTTTTTATGATTAATTGTAAAATTTAAAACTGTAAAATAATTTTAATAAAATCACCTTATTTTCATCATGTAAATTATATTCAGATACAATTTAAAAATTAAGTAAAATAATAAATATTCTTTATTAGAACTTTAACAGTAGAACCTCCTTAAGCCGAACTTCAAGTTTTTAAATCTTTTTGTGACGCAGAGTCGGCAGATTATCCATGTTGCAAAATAATACCGTTTGTAGCAGTCTTAAGAAAAATGACACGTACAGCCATGCTTTCACGTCAGTCACTGCCGGCGGACAGCGACACACTAGCTAATTGGTTGAATGCACGTAGTAGTGCGTAGTACGTAGTGTATGGGGTGTATTTCGTAAAATAAAAAGGGTCAATTAGTATGAGTACCTTTCCATTTCAGAGTGTGGGATCCGCTTTTATTTACTCATCCTAAAGAAATATTGGTTACTTTATCTAATTTCCAGCGGTAGCAGTTACGCCGATAACATGGAGGAGCAGACGTCCGCCAGTCTCGTGGCTGCTGCCAACCAACGTTCCACTCAAGCGCAGGTGCCTTTGGTATGAGTTTCACAACTAAATAACTAAATGCTATATTTTAATTCTATATTGTTAATGTGTTGTTTATATATTTTTAAATATTTATTTGGAAATAATTTTTATGTTCTGTTTTAAAATATTTTTTTATGTTCCAACACTGTTCCATAAACACTGCATTGTTTGTTTTTAAACCTCTAGTGACGAGTTAGTCTCTTTAGTAAAGTCGCTGAAAACAAAATAATCTCTCGCGTCTAGTGATAAGATACCTAACAGATTGCGTGTGATAATCATAGGTATCGTATATAAGCATCCGTACACCTACACCTATCATATTATTATTATTTTTTGTTTTTATTTATACTTTATGCACAAATGTGCATAAAGCTGTACAGACTAGTCCGACCCTGTACTATGGTTGCTGTAAATGCTTATATGTTCTAAATACGTACATATTACAGATAAATACCACTCAAACGCAGAAAATGATCTTGCTCATCCGACTTTTTTTTACCCTAGGTTTGTGCTTTAGACCACAGGCTCAGTAGTCATAATCGAGTAATTTGTAAAATAATGAAATTAGAACTGGCACAATTGATAGTTACTTACCTGATGGTAAGTGACTACCACCGCCCTTGGACACTTGCAACTTAAGGGGCACAAGTTGCCCCCTTTGAGTGTCATGATAAGCTACCAAATGATACTTAATGTGTTTTCTGTGAGGCCGTGGAATCACTCCATTAGAGCAAGCCTCTGGACACTTCATTCTGCATGGTTGTTCATTTTATTCGGATTTAGATTCGTCTGTTCTGCCCCGTTATTGTAAGTACTATAAATCAGTAAAGTACTGTATATATTACAACGGGGGCAGAATTAGATCCGATAGTCAACCTAGACGACCGATATTACAATAGTCCCACTCGGTTAAGTGGTGCAGGCTGCTATTGCTTCCCCTATCGCTTGTCACGCCTTCACGACATTCCAATTTCACCGCTTAAAACTGATCTATTGCAAGTTTAGATTTCTAAAATATAAGATACCAACAAATATGTACAATAATAATAAAAATATTAATTCCTGCCGCAAGGATGGCAAAGTTACCCAATGACCAATGTTTAAACTTACAGTCACTTTCAGATTTAAAAAACAGCCCACTCTATAAATGCCTATATTATTTTCTTCGTAGTTATTACTTTAATATTACTTTTGACAGCCAACGGGCATGGATCAAAGGGAGATCGATGAAATAGCCGCTTGGTTAGCTCAGGAGAAGGTGTGTTTTATATTTATTTATTATTTCTCTTTTAATAATTTCATTCAGTTATGCATTCATTAAATCAAATGCTAGAATATATGGTTATATTATATACATTGTAAATATTTTTGCTTAATAATGTGTCATTATTTTGTTACAATTTTTGTGTTTATCCAAAACGCTTCAGGTCTAATCTTGTGCACAATTCTAACTGCAGCCTTATAATCTTAACTAACATTATAAATACGACAGTGAGTTTTTTTCACACTTTTATTATCTAACCAAATCATATGTACACGGTAAGGAAAAAGACATAGAAAAAAATACTGTAAGGGGCTCAAGGCCGTGGGAAAATATACGACTTTCTTAACTTTAGATTTGAAGTTTCAGTCCTAACTTCTTAAAAGGTTTTCTACTAGATATGGTTAACTAAAACATTTATCACATCGCAAAAATAATATAATTTTTATTTAATTTCAAAACTATTTTTTCTTTAATTTGACTTATTATCATGATCTTTCAGCCACTTATAGTTTTACCAATTACTCAAAAATACTGTTCTTTATAAATGATAGTAATTGCACTTATTAAATCAATTTACACATGTGCACTTTTATACAATAATCATGTTGTGCACTGGTCACATGTGTTCATGATGTATTGTCAAATTTTGTAACCATCAGTCAACATAACTTTTAATATATTATAATGTAGATAATAATATGTAACCTAACCTAATAATGTTTTGAAGTATTATAGCGTCATTCAAAATAAACTTAAAATTCGTTTGAATCTAAATAAAAGTATCTAACAGAACCTAATGATCTAACTTAATAATATTATTAACCTGTTTTATGGGCAAACGTGATTTTATTTATAATTTTAGTTAAAATTACTTGTGTATATAAATGTATGTAAATGTACTTGTGTTTTTTTACTGGTTATGTGTTAATAGTAAATCTATGGCGAAAATCACAAATTGATTGCTCGAAGATGCTAAATTTAGTCTCGTGCTATAATTATCGTAAGAGACTAAATTTAGTGTTCCAGTAATTATTGGTAATATCCGTCGTTTTCAGCCTTTGTCGATGTATTTACTCTGACAGTACTGATGACCAATAGACAAATATGACAAAACAACTACTACAAATTAAAATAAAGAAAATAATCATATGTTCTGCCACAGTACAGGTAATGGAGGTAGTCCAAATTGTGCCTTCACAGAGATTTTGGAAAGAAAATGTATTCTAAGGGGTTTTTACACGAAATCATCTCCAAGGTCGAACTGAACGAAAGGCAAATAGCTCGAGCACTTTTAAAATGTATGCCAGTAGTATTATAGCCGAGACGACAGCGGCATACGATATTCAACTGTCTATTATTGAAGTTAATATTTAATCGACATTTTAAAAGGACGCGAGCATCTTCAGTGCAATTTTCATATCTAACGAGTAGCTGTACTTGTCCAGGCCAATTCTGAAGCCAACGGAGCCCAAGAGAGCGTGACGAGCAGCGACTTCGACAAGTTCCTCGCCGAGCGCGCCGCCGCCGCCGACTCGCTGCCCCCCGCCCCCGCCCCCGCCCCCGCCTCCACCGCCCCCGCCCCTACCGACCCCACCCCCCAGCACACCCCGCGACATCGACAGATCAACAAGGAGGAGCAGGACTCTATGTTCGCGCTCTGATTGGCTTCGAGGCTTATCTAAACACCCGCCGCTGACGCAGCGACTAGAGTTGTTGGGCCGAGGTAACGTTGGCTACCTGTTAACTTCAAAAACTAATATTAGAAGAAAAAAACGTACTACAATACACGTAACATACGTATATTATAATATTTTATTTTTAAAGAACCGTACGAGACAAAGTAATACATAATAAATTCAATTGGACAACAAACCTACTACATATTAACCAGTATGTTAGTGGAAAAAATAGCCTTTAACTTAACAAACGTAAATGATTATTGTCTTTTGCAAATATTATATGTAGCACAATGTTAATGGAAACGAAAATGTTCCAATTATTACTTTAGGAACTTATAAAATGTTAAACTTAAATAGTATCTTTGAGTTTCAAATAAATGTTATCTACTTTACTAATTAGACGTTACTGCTAGCTATACACTTTATAGTTGATTTTAAAGTACAAACGATAGACATTTAGTATAAAATAAATTATAATAAAAACAGTAGTAATATGATAAAATTATGATTACCAAGGTTTCTTGTAAGATATAAAAAAGTTTAGAATGAAACTTTTGTGAGTGATTTATCTTTATTTATTGGCAACCCTTATATCATAAGGATCAAAGCAAATCCTCAAACCTTCATTTTTTTTTACTTCTGAAGCGTAGTAACTACTGCGTACCGGATGTACTATTCTCTCACTTCTATCTTTTTCATGTTCTCATACTCTGATATAATATATTATTAAATTTTATGTACTTTTTAATTAATTATAAATGTATCAGCATTTTGGTGTATTGTAATCTAAACTGAGACTATACAATCAGCTAGACATAGCCAACTAAGCTAAATATTAATGAATGAGATTGTCCGGTCCGTATCTCGGCCCAGCGCTGAAGCTCGCTGCAATAGGACCCCGCTCCCGCTGCAACAGACGACCGCAGCACGTAGCCGTTAGACGTTCACTTATGTTTGCATCGAACCGTATTTATATCGCGTCGATTAACTAATATAATCGTGATACACATATACCCAATATGCCGTTTGGTGCCTGGCTTTTTATAGCGATTGAAATATTTTAAGCTGAGTAATCGACTTCATCTACTTACAAATATGAATAATAAATTTTTACTAAAGTGTTATCGTTCGAATCGAGATTCTTACATTTTAGATGTTATACTTAGTAATATTCGAGTTTTCTTCAACTTAAAATACTTCAATGTAAATGTTTTTGTAATATCGTGGTATAATTATATCGTACATATTACGGCCGCGTAAATGGAAAATGTATTACATTAGGATAAGGTTATAAAATAAGGAAAATTTCTTTAATATATTATGACTTTGTAGAACTCACTACACCACGGGAGCATTTAATACAAGACCACTGGCGTATTATTCGATTACTTGCTTGTACATGTGACTTTTCAATCGTTTTAATTTAACAGGATTATTCTTTCATAAAGTTATTTAATTTTCATTGTTTTTTTTTTAAATTGCTATGTAAGAGATTTAAAAGTTACATTATTTTTCAATCATAAATTAAAAAAAAATACAAAGTATGTTGTTCAGCAATTATTTTACAAACAGTCAGTTTATAAAGCGAATGAAGTCAGATGCATATGAATAGTATTGAAAAGATCGAAGGGTCAAGATTGTGATATATATTGTTTTATATAGATATGTATATCGTGGTACTTTTATTTATTAGATTTAGTGTTTACTAAGAGTAAATCAAGATATTTGTATATTAATTTAATATCTTACAGCGCATTTTGTTTTTGTTGACTAATGTTATGAGAGAATAGATGGGACACAAATTTGAAGAGATAATGTTTATCTACGAGTGATATAAGAATACGAAATAGAAACCGCACACGAAAATATAATCAGTATCCATTTTGTTACTGTTTTGCCGTGTATAGATATCAATCATGTTTATCTAATAATATCTAATCATGAATTCACTGTATCAGTTTTATGTTCTTATCAGATCTCAGAGCAACGCAGATATTATTATATTTCTATTCAATTTCTATTATTAAAAGATCGTGCGGACTTTTTTCACAGATTGCAAAAAAGAACTTCTGAAGTAATGTGCAATATTCAATAAGCACTGTCAAAGCTGTCTTTATCGATCGTTAAATACCATCAGTGTTTATTTTTTGTTTATAACACAGGTATTCTCATTCTAAAGAACTAATGTTACCCTTAACTTAATCATATTTACCAAAGTGTTATCCATTCACTAATAAACAAGCCATTCCACATTGTCTCAATTAAATGTTCTTTTGGTATTTATGTGATAATTTAAAGAACAAGCTTAAATTAATAATTTAAAAGAGTTATTTTATGTTGTAATCGTTGTATTTAAGATAATAAAATAATTACCACATTCTTTTATTGTATTTACTGCATATATCAGTTAACAAAACTGAACATATCGCGGGTTAGTGACCCAACCCGCGATATGTTCACTATAGGAATAGGGTTTGTTTCCTCTATTCGAATATGTCTCCAGTCTACTGCCTTTAATTAACCGAGGAAAACCTAGCTTAAAAGTTTAAATGCTTCACTAGGTTTCGAAGCAACGATTACTACTTTTAAAGTATCTGACTAATAGAAGGTACCTAATAAGGTAAAAAAGCGTTTCTGTAGAAGAGTCTTGCTGGTTTGCAAAAGTAAGTAGTTACCTACTTACATTTTACATAAATAGAACAGACCTTAAAAAAACTATATAATTTATTTCTAACCAATTACCTAGTATTGGGATTTTTGAGTTATTAGGAGTAGGATTCAGTCTAAGTCAGTCGTGAAACTAGTGGCTGGTTCTAATCTAATACGCACATCCTATGGAGAAGAACTGATAAGAAACGAGATGAAAACAATATGGGAGAGATCAAGGTTATTTTTTTTCACTTCCACAGTATTATGAAAAAAGGAGGCGCAATTGGAGTTAGCAATCTTTCTACTTATTACAGCAGGTAAGATTTTTGAAACCACTAGGATCCCCTATTTCAATCCTCTAGGGGATTGTAAAACACTTGCTTTTCTACCAAGATCCCCCAGGGAATTCTTATGCAATTAAAATCCCCTATGGCAATGATAACCTTTTTATACATAAAGGTCTCTTTCATTTCCGCGTAAGTCAATGCATCAGTGCATCTTTAAAACTCTCTTAAAAAAGAGTCACGGTCAATAGTCAAACACGAAAGCACAGTACTCAAAGTACTGGCCCAACTTATCTATACATGATAATGGTTATTAGGTGCAGATGAAAGACTGATTAGGTGGTTCAACTAAATGAGATGAACGTTGTCCGACGAAAAGTGGATCCTGTATCCACTTTTCGTCGCAGGTAAGAATTCGATCCAGAATTCTCTCGTTTCTATGCCGATTCAGTAGTGCTATGCATGCTTCGACGCGTTAGTCTCGTTGATGGTCGCTTAGTTCGTGTAGCATCCACTTATCAGGCTTTTTTATCATTGCGATTTCATAAAGCTATAGATTGCATAAAGATAAAGCTCAGCCATAGTTAGAGTTGGATCTCCTTCCACTATCGCCTTCAATTCATCGTTGTCGACTAGGTATAGGCATATGTACATTTATTCTTATTTCGGCAACAAAAGTTTTATTATGTAACTTAGTTTCAGCATTAGTTGTTTCTTCATGATTTAGGGCTATTAAATAAAAAGTAAAATAGTTAATTTTAATTTTGTTTATTTATCAATTTCTGTATCCACAATAGATACAAAATTGCAGATTTGGCAGATACAATTGAATATTTACATTAATATAGACAGAATGACCTAATATACGTAGAAAATTACATTTTCTCAGATCATCATTTTAATTTATGAAAATAGTACTTATTAAGTGAGAATGCCGTACTTACTTGTACTATCAAACTTAAGAATTTTAAAATAAAAAATCGCTACAAAAATACGATAGAACCATATTAGATCCATTTAAAGTAATTCTATTTGTTGTGATGAATAAAAATGTACAAGGGTAGAATACAAAAATAACGCCGGTATCTCACTAACAAACTCTTGTTCGATGTAACTAAACTTGTACTAAGGAATGTGAAAAACACTACACCATTATGATACAGAAATTATAAATACATTCATATTATACATAAACTAAGTTATGCTGCTGTTTATGCAAAATAAATTATGCTTTTAGAAAATAAATAATTTGGTAAATGGGCACTTGTACGAGATCCGAGCGGCTCACAGTCATGATACATGCTTGGAGCGCGTCCATTCAACCGAGTATTGCATCGTCAACGTCATACAATGCGCACTATAACTTAATCAAGTACAATCCAACCCTTAACACAATTTAGAGAACAGTCAACAGTCTAGCAAATGAAATGCAAACGTGTTAGTTTAAGTATAAAAGTAAATAATTATAATCTATACAGTTATTCTATGGAAGTCTCATAAGAGTGTACTCGCCGACGAGCGCTTATAATTCGTCTCTGGCCGGCACCTCGTCCTCGTCCTCATCTTCGCTCTGTAATTGAGAATAACGCACATTATATTTTAAGTCAAAAAGAATTCAGTGTAACTGCAATTCGAACATTGAAATAATATACAATAACTTTATCATTCAGATTACAAAGTAACTGAACAAAGGTCAGAAGTTATCTTATTTCAGAAACTCATAGGTTATGTAATGATACAATATCAATCTTAAATTTTCAGACATGACTCATATTCTACTGGATGAAGTGCATGTGCATGAGTGGACTGAACCTGACACGTCTAACCGATAATTTGTATTATGCTGTGCATTCTGGTAGAGCAAATCTTTTGAGTACTCACAAGTTTATTATTATAAAATGAAATAATAGTATAGTAGTAATTAGAATGTGATATAAAGAAGAAAAATGTGTCATACAAGAACTACCTGTAGTAACTAATTTCTTTTGAAGCAAACAGTTATACTGAAATCATTTAGTAACATTTTGTATGATTATTTTTGTTTTATAAAACTATATAAGGTCATATTTTTATCTTACAAGTTAACATTATAAACTTTGTGATTTAATTTCTCTATCATGATGATTTGGTTACAAATTACATATAACTTTTGATAACAGGGTGTGGTGTGGCTTCGTATAAGTGGTACACGTAGAAGGTAAACTGATACCGGTTATCTCGTTATATGTTTTTTTTACTTTTATGTCTTTTCTATTACGTTAATTTGAATTGTTACTAAGTTTCATTGTGGTTTTTATCGTTCTTTACTTTTATGAGTATTTTAACGACTTTTTCTTCGGTTTTATTTAATAATATTTACCAAACTTTTTCTTTTTTAAACTGTATGAAGGGAAATATAACTCACATAAGAAATGTGACACTAATTAAAACATGCAATTATCTATTTTACATTTGTATACAGTACAAAATAGACTACGTGTCTTGAATATATTAAAGAGGAATGAAAGAAAAAGAAAATTATTACATGTAGCTGTGGAGAGCCTATTTTTTTTTTTTTGTGATAGGGAGGAATATCCCTTCGGATCTCCGATCTCCGGTAGCTTGAGGATACAGGACCCAGGAGTATGTGGTGATTCCACAAAAAAAACTACACCGACGGCCAGCCTTAGGCGCTCTAATATAGCGAGAACCCAGGCCAGAAGCTTCCCCCTGCCTATCATTCTATCACTAAATGTTGTGGCCTGATCACATTTTTAGACACCCTACACATATCTCTCAGGATTATAACTTCTCAATAATAGACATACCTCAAAAATCAAAGCTTCCATAAATTTATCTTTTGTTTCGATAGATTGCATCAAAGGACGTCAATAATTTTAATTCGTTTATTTCAGTGGGGCCGCCATAACATATGGTAGTGCCATTATAACTTACCACACTGGGTACGGGTTCAGCCGCTTCACCGTCAGTCTCGACAAACTTGGTCATCGCGGCGAGCGTCCTCTCACCGTTGTAGTCACGCACCTAAGACAATTAATATTTCTTCTTAACTACAAGCAGAATTGATACTAATATTATAAAGCTGAAGAGTTCGTCTGGTTGGTTAAATGCACTAATCTCTACTAATCTAGTTTTTTTATTGCGCATTAGGAATATGTATCCTGTGTCGCGCTAGATTTACATGAAACAGCCACACAGAACACCCAGACGTAGAACAACAATTTGTGGATCACACAAAGTGGTGTCCCGAGTGGGGATCGAACTCGGGGGAACTTTTAATGTTGGATAGCTTAGCTTAGGGGTTATAGAGGAAGGCTATAAGCTATATAACATCAAGATACGACAAATAGGAACCGAGCGTGAATGAAAAATGTTGCAAAAATTGGGAAAATTTACTCCTTTTGAGAGCCGCAATCGAAGTTGCGCGGGTCAGCTAGTCTGTACTAATATTATAAAGAGGTAAAATTTGTGAGTTTGTATGTTCAGGGTAATCTCAGAAACTACTGGTTCGAATTGAAAAATTCTATCGAGGAAGGCTATATAACATCACGCTATGACTAATAGGAACCGAGCATAAATGAAAAACGTTGCAAAAATGGTTAAAATCTATTCCTTTTGAGAGAGGCTATCGAAATTGCGAGTCAGATGGTTGAGAATGAGTAAAAAGTGTAATAAAGGCGGAGAGGAGAGTTTCCAGAATCAACTCACTTTTTAAACAAGCCATGTGTTTTAAAAAAATATCTAAAAAATACAAACCTGGTTATCCTTGGTGTAGTATTTGATAGTGGGGAAGGAGGTAATCTTGGTGTGCTCGAGCTCGTTGACGGTGGCGTCAATCTTAGCGATGATAACATCATCGTCCTTCTCGAAGTGTTCACCGAGTTTGTCGTAGATGGGAGCCAGCTGTTTGCAGTGTCCGCACCTATTCAAATATAAATCATTTTATGAGTTAACTAATTGGAAAAGTAATTTAACCTACAACATTTCAATTTGATTATCAGCCATTGCAATAACATAGTGGACTACATAGTGTGTTTAGCTTTAACATGAAACTAATTTGATACGTAGCGGATGTAATTACTGAATGTTATACAACCGTGAGTTTATTGAATTTATATACGGTTTCTAAGGCAACTATCTAAACGTATAACAATGTTAAACAAGTTTTATTTAACATTATATCAAGTTATCACCTAACACAATTTAGTTTTAAAAAGAATAGTTCCAATTAATTACTCTTTTTAAAACTAAATTGTGTTAGGGGATATCGTAAAATACTCCAAGAGTAAGACCTTTCAAATATTTCAACGCGTGGTTTGCTACAGTGTTCGAACTAATCCGATGTAAAAAAATATTTAAAGTAAAGTCAAAATAAGATTTTTCATTTCGTATTGCTGGTGTATTGTATTGTTGATATTCAGCTAAAACTTACAACAATTAAAGTATATGTTAACAAATGATAACCTGAATTATTGAAACAATATATTTACTTCGAAGGCGGTTTCGAATAGACATATTGCGGAGATGTCTAGTGACGTAACATATCTTTAGAAATAAAACTGATTTTCAATTTAATATAAGTCTGGGTCAGTCTTTTTGAATTCAGTTAACAGCATGTTGGTCTAGTGGCTATTGATCCTGACTGCCAAGTCAGAGGTTGTGGGTTCGATTCCCATCCAGGATAAATATTGCGTGATGATACGATGGTCTGGTGGTCTGGGTACCTATAATATGCGCATATTTGGAAATATACAAATATGTTCATGCAGAAATATATGTGTCCAATTGGCGGCAATAGGCTTGCCACCAATAAAAGAAAGTCGGTAATGTATGAGATTTGTATATGGGGATGATTGATTTTTACACAAGTATAGACTCTATCATCGTAAATTAGATAGTAGTATTGAAATAAATAGGTTTTGTACAATATGAAATTCACTGTTCCGAAAATTTTGATGCGAAACGACAAACCCCATTACACAAACAATTTATTCAGTAATAATCTGAAAATATGTTGCGATGTATTTACATAATGGAACAAATGATCAATTTCCAGGTCGCCGCGTCAATGACAACGATGTTTGGCAACGAATTAATACCAGCTCACTGAATACGAGCTAACGAGGTGCTCAGGTACATTCGGACACTTGTGTAAACTATAATAATATTATTTTCACACATCTGACACACACGTATAGTTTCAAACTAAGAAGAGTCTATACTATCAAAGCTAGATGGACTGATAAAATATATTTTTGTTTTTTAAATACATACATATTTTACATAGAAAACACCCAAACTCCAAAACATTTTTTTTAATAAGTTGATTAATTCAACATGAAGGAGCATTCTGTGTCGTATACTTTTTTAAACGTTAATTATAGGCTTTTTTATACTTCAGGTTGTTAAGACCTATCTCCAATATTGATATTTACAGACCGATAGCTAGATTTTCATTTCAATATATACAAAATAATTAGATACATACTACCAGCTTATACAATTATTCACTCTACGCTTCGAGCTTCACTTAATCTGCGATCTCGTCGAGGCTCATCATCATAAAAACCCTTATAAACTAACCAGAATACTAATTAGAAACAACAAAAAATACAACAGCTTTTAAATACTAATTAAAAACGAAATAATACTCTACGTTACTTAAACAAATCGTTGGTGGAAATTCGTCTAAACCAGCTCATACTAAAGCATTAAACATTCAGAAATACTCCTATAGTTTTAGACACAAGAAATCGTATTAATTTATGAGTACCTTCTAATTTAGATATCTAAAATCTCATGGATTCAAAAAACTACCATGGTCATTTTCACTTATTAAATTTTTTTTAACTTCCGCATTAAGAATATATTATATCCTGTGTCGCGAGGGACTTTACATACATTCATGAAACGGACATAAAGAACACTTTTTAGATCACACAAAGTTGTGTCCCATGTGAGGATCGAACCCACACTCGAAGCGGCGTGGCGACCGCTTAAACCATTACGCTATCCGTGCAGTAGCAGTTCAATTCATCTGTGATCATGCCGCTTGCCACAGTGCCGAAATATCGGAAACTAATTCCCGAATATAAACATCCAGTAAGCTTATCTTTCCATTACTGAATTCTCATTACACAATTATTCATTTTATTAATACATCGAAATGAATCATTTTGTAACCATTGATATATTATGTTACAATACAGTATATTAAATTACATCACATAGCTTCTGCAGTCTGTTATTGAACTCGACCTAGAAACCGAAACAAGCGCCTTTAATAACTTTGCGTTGTCAGCAACAATAAAGTTTGTAGTGCACAGCGTGGGACTCACTTGTTTAAATAAAAATGGTCGTATGAGGTCATTGAGGCGCACGTGGCGTGTTCGACAAAGTGACTTTTATCGTAACATTCGTGATATAATGTATTACAAGCAATTACACCGAACATCTTACCTCTACCAAAGATACTGAATAGTTAGAAGCAATACATTATCCTGGTATTTGCATGTGATGCGATATAGATGGAGATAAGTAAAGGACGACATAAGAAATGATGCGACTGCGTGAAAGAAGATATTGCTAGAAAGGGAGTAAGCAGTGAACTGACGAATGATAGAGGAGAATGGCAATGAAAAACTCATTGCGTCGACCCTATATAAATTTGGGAAAAAGGATACAAAGTGCTATAGCAACTATATGCAGTTGTAACTATGTAGAAAAAGAGAAAAGGTCATTACAAAAACGTTTGGGACAAGTGCTAGGCGTTCCTGAACAAAGTATGAATTACTAAATGATGAATAGGTCAAAATGACAAAGACGACTAACACAATAAGGTTAATTGTAAATACAGTACAATTCAGTTTTATTTCATTGTTCAATGAGAATTATAAAGCATTATTATTTGATCAAAGAAGTCCAATCCTTTTTAGTTATTATGAACATTGATTACATTGAAGACATTTAGGTACAATTTACACAATAAAACTTTGAACAGATGTTTCTATGTATTTCCTTATATTGTTTTTTACACAGTTAGTACATAAGCCGTTGGTAGGTGAGGTCATCTGTCACCCTAGCAGAAGCAGGCCGGGGTGGTGGCGAGACGCGCTGCGGAGCGCGTGCGCCCTTTCGGGAGCACAAAGGGGACATAAGGGTTCTCAGACTGGAGGGGGTCATCTACCCGCCGTAGATGGCCCGAGGTACGTCGGGGTACCAGGGCTTTCCTTTCTAGGGTACACCTGGTTCCCCGGCTACTAGTATTCGAGACAGTGTGCGGTTTTTAGTCGGTTCGAGTCCGACAAAGCAACCGGGGGGTGATATCCGAGGGGATTTCCGCACAGAAAAAAAAAGTATATAAGCCGTAATGCATTCTCTACCATTCAACCTTTGTGTATCTGGTGTTTTTAATCATCACCTAATAAACAAATGTGATGACTAATGCATGACTGTGATAGGTTCAACTCACAAGACAAGAAACAATAGTGCAAATTGTAAATAGGTTAAATTCTCCAAATCATAACTCAACTCGAACAATATGTTTTGTTGTTATATGGACTCATCTGTCTACTACAAATTATATTCATAGTGAGATAAAAACTCTTCACCATTCAAAAGCAATTCAATCAAATACAAAAGAATTTACTTTTCAATTAATCACAATACTTATTATTGAGGATAATTACTTATTTTAACATATCATGTTTGTATTTAATTAGATAAGCATAGATTACCGCTTTAATTTCAAAGACGCTGACGTTAAATTTAATATGGATGACGCATATTGTTTTTTTTTTTGTCCAGGTATACTATATATTGTACAGATAGAAGTAATGAGAATAAGGACAGAGAGTTATGTAGGTTCTAATGTCTTCACTAACGATATTAATCATCATATATAAATACTAATACAAGACTGACGAGCATTGTGAGTGTAAATTAATAAATAATTTTGTCAAATATTTGATGTTCCATTATCTTAATAAGGACTTCGTACTTTATTTTTGATAAACGTAACTTATAAAACCCTTACAGCACGTATTTTAGTTCAACTACTAAGTTTTACTATTCAATTTTTTTGCTACATCTTTAACAATCATGCTCATTAACATCATCATCAACAGCCTTTAATAGTCCACTGTTGGACCTAGGCATCTCATTAACAGCCTTGGATTAAATTTACGAAATTATTGATTTGAATCTTACTAAATGAATTTTGATTAGGTTGTACAAGTAGATCGATAAAAAGGAAAATCCTACAGTAGAAGCAATGCTAAACCAATGGCTGTTCAATGTTCCATAGTCTCAAAATTGACAAAGATTGTACTATTCTTTATAAAACTACAGGCTAGCTCTATCCTGGCCTCAGCAAAAAATAAAATACTTACCATGGAGCGTAGAATTCCACAAGGACTTTCTTGGTTTCATCAAAGACGACTTCATCGAAGTTAGAGGCGACCAGCACCTTAACGGGCTTCGCGGCCCAGTCGGCGGGCAAGTCTTCGCTAAGCAAGTGTTGTTTCAGAGTTCCCGCGAAGAAGGATTGGATGAATTCCTAAGAAAAAAAAAAACAAATTAAGTAATAACTTTTTCTAGCACGATCCCATCCCTTATAATATTAATTTATATTACATTAATTTCCATAATGCATTTTTTTTGAAGTACCTAATTGTACATTATATAATTCTACAAAACCAGTATGATGTACGCAAAGTTACTGGACATTAAACATTGTCAAATAAAGTTATACGTTCTTTTTAGGGTCCCTTAATGATGACTTTCTTATTTCTAATTACTTAAACGGAGCCCATACTATAATCAGTCTATTATTATCGCCAACAGTCATTTGACTTAAAGAATAATACGGTAATATTGCTCGAAACAAATAACAAGAACGCACAACTTTGAATATTTACTACACATTTATCGCAGGTCTATCTAACTACGCTAATTTAAATATGCTTAACTATGTCCATTACTAGAAATACGCGAGCGCCACTTTGACACAAGTACATAACTCTAACCACTCCTTTAACTTAGAACATCTACAAAAGCGTAAAGAATCAATCAAATATACGTGACGAGTGGTCATGAGGAGCGTGACTGCAACATTAAACACGGTTTTACTACTGAAAATTATACGCTCACACGTTGGCCGACCACATAATAAACGAGGAACTTATTTTCTATCATTTATTTTAGACTAACGAATAAACTGAACAATATTGACATAACGGAATTGCAAAATATGGTAAGCCATTTCTTAAGAATAAACTTCTTTTGAGAGAAAAACAAGAAGACCAAGATGGTGATACATAAGACTTATGAAGAAAACATCAAAAAGTTAACCAGAAATTCGCGTTCTTGATGATATCATGATGAATCTATAATTACACATGGGGCTCAGTAAATACGGTAGATAGGGGCTTCAGTGGTCTTGCAATAAGTATCTAATTAAGGAAAATATCGGTTGGAAAGAGTAAGCACGGACTTAAACAAAACATTTCCATCTTAAGTTAATATTATTGATATTATATTCAAAACAGTATTACTTTAGTTCTTACTTAACCTTAGGCGTCGATAAACCATAACTGATCGCCAAAGTAGCGTTAAAGAAACGTAATTGTTTCTGTTTGTTATAAAGCATTCTCAGGCAATGTGCTTTAATGAGTGTATCGATAGCTATCAGCTCTAAGTATTTGTAATAATAATATTCGGACTTGACTAATCATGTTCTAAATCATATTATAATTTTAAGAATATATATGCCAAACACAGTACTTACTAATGCCGAATACAGTACTAAATGTGGAATTCCAAAACAAAGTCAGAATTGTACATACTTCACTAAATAGGCCGTTGAATGCCTGATATAGAAAGCACTTTTCCTGATGTAGGAATGCAAAATTCATGTCAGTATTATTCAAAAAAAGAAGTCTCCTCTAACACAAATGGGCAAAATGAAGCAAGCTGTAAATTCAAATTTTAAATTTCATCTAGAACGTGATAATATTTTATTTCTTATTTATCTTTATTACATAACGTCAAAATTTAAAAAAAAAGTCTGGAGCAGAAGAAAAAGAGCCTACTAATGATACAAAGGGTAATCAATTGGTTGCGGCTTCTAACCCCACCCATTTAACTGGATCGGTCAACAAAAATACTAACGTGTAGGGATTTTTAGAGTCCAAATCATTAGGATCGCTTAAAAAAAATGTCTAAGTAAATTGCTTACATATAAAGTTCGTTTGTTGAGAAGTTACAAAAATCTATCGGTATTGTGATACCCAACCCTATTAAAACACGGAGTAATGGCGTAATACATTATAACTCTTGATCTCAAACTGCAGGGGGTAGAGGCAGATGACGTCAGAAAGGAGGTCGAGTGGAAATTACACGTCATAATATCAGTACAATTTGTGGTGTGTGACTGGAAGTATGATTACTAGGTGGCAATATATCTTATTCACATCACTGTAATAAGATCTTGTTAAGTCACCTATTAAGTATCTGTTATCTTTGTTTCCTTCGCTAATATTCTTAAGATTTATTCAAACGCATTTCTGAAACTTTCTTTCAATTAACATATATTTACTCACGAAATGAAAGTGAATGTAAAAACTGAAATGTTTAATACATACATAAATTAAACAGGAAATTAAAAAATCCGAAAATCTCAGTGAGTATTCTGAATTCAATATCTGCCGGATTTGGATGCCATTTACGTATAAATAAAATTTACTATCATTATCACTGACATGACATTTCAGTGACTTACCTTTAGCGAAATTTTTTAGAGTTAATGTTAAGATTTATATTGGGAAATTGAAAGTAGGTTTTATCACAAAAATAAACTTACCTCAATGGAGTTTGCGGAGAGTTCGTCGCTGACAGGCTTGTATTTGGCCATATCTTGCTCCAGAGCAATAAGGCGAGCAGATGGGACCTCATCCTTCTTCATGCCGAAGAACTCAAGGATTCTGGACCATAGAGAAACTTTGTAAATAACAACACTATCCTTTTTTTTTTTAATGCTATGGTGTCTACTGTTCTATTACATTACACAACCGCATGGCGCTAAAACGTTGCACCTAGCTTAATATTTTTAAATCAACTGCTGCAACGTTTATTTATCATTTACTTTATTCTGACCCCATTTCAACATACTGATATACAAGAAAGTTCAAGCCTACAGAAGCAGCACAGTTTATTCGAAAGTAAATGAGTACTTATAACTAATTATTTTTTTACGGCACGAACCTGTTGAAATTATGACAATCAAGTGTTTGATCGATTTTTTTGTCGACATAATAATTTGAACAAGAAAAAATATATTTACTTCTAAAATTAGTAGTTATAGAAATCAGAAGTCTAAGAAGAAAAACCCTTAGTGCAGTGGGAAATCACAGAAAAAATAGGTTTGTTAGTACATATTTAGTTAGAATTTTTACCTCTGGTGTTCATCCTCATCAGCGTCAATAGCAACAGACATGATTCTGTCACGGTAGGTCTTGGAAACAGGTTTGAGCTCCTCGACGTATTTTTCAAAGTCGCCATTTTTCTACAAAACAATATTGACATTGTATACTATTTGAATAGGATTCCCTTTATAAGGCTCATTGTCGAAGAGTTCAATGAACTCTGCTATTTTTGGTCTACGTATTATCGTCTTGTCTTTGTACGTAAAGTCGTGTTCTCTTTGCGCGTGAATAGATTAAGATAACGGATATTATTGACCTTTTAACAACAACTGATGGCGATTCTAAGTGGCTTAGGTCATTTAAAAAAAGCAACTCTCGAATTAGGAAATTCATCATGTGTCTCAGACTCAGAACAACGATTTGTGGATCACACAAAGTGTTGTCCCATGTGGGGATCGAACCAGCACACACAGCACAGCAGAGGTGACCGCTTAAACCACTACTCCATTCGTGCAGTCATTTTCGCAAAAAGGTTCGTTTTAAAAACTATAAAAGTCTGTTTTTATACATCCCTACTTAGTGAATATAGAAATTATATCGTGTGGCGTAGAAGAGTTCATTAACCGCCGGGCATGATCGATAGCGCGCATGGTCGATAGTAAAATAACGGTGAAAGTGCACATTGGTGGGTCAACTTATCCATACATTCGAATGTCTTAATCATCAGCATAAGTCTCTCGACTGTCATACATGTGAAAGTACATCTTGTCAAACCACTTTCGAGATAGAAACTGTTGCATCGAAAGTCTTTTCAAATTCTACGCATTATATTACATATTTAAAGTATATATGTATTTATATCAGTTGTCTAGTACCCATAGTACAAGCTCTGCTTAGTTTGGGACTAGATGGCGTTGTGTAAATGTGGTATTTTATTATTTAAATTGTCCTTGACTGTCCTTCAGTATTACTTGCTGTGTTTGGTAGGCACATCTGCCTCAAGAAACGTGTTATAGAACAGGTTTCGATTGTAGAAATAGATACGTACCTAGCGTATCGTATTTTAGAGAATTAATTTATATTTGTGAATCCGTGTGGTGACGGACTAAGAATACAGAGTGTCACCACCCTATTCATCCCGTGGGTTTCGTAAGAGGCGACTAAGAGAGCAAACTACGCAGGACAACAGCACTGCAGAGAGAAGGAAAACTTGATACAAACCCTATACCAACCCGCCTGGTATAGTAGGCCAAAACCTCCTTTTTTGGAGAGGCCCATGTCCAGCAGTGGACTATTAAAGGCTGTCGATGATGATGAATTTATATTTGGAATATTCAACATTACATTAAAGTCACTTCGAAATATGAATAAGAATGTAACTGCTAAAATAAACAGCTTTTGAAGATGAACCTAGAAGACACTACATTTTTTTTAAATTGAGAATGTAAATAAATAAATACAAGATTAGCAATATATATTATAGTTGCACCAGAAAAAAAAGTTGTTTCCACACGTTTATCACATGTTACATCATGTTTAACATTATAGAAGCAAACATCAAATTAATTCCAAAAGTACACTCCAACAAATAGAGGTTACGTTATCAGCTATAAGAAAACGAGCCAATGTTTTAAGTCTAAATAAAACGATGATGTGGCAAATAATTATCATCATCTTATTAGAAAAACCCAATTACATAGAAAACAAATCAGCATAAGTCATTTTAATATAATCATCGTCTTCACTAAATAAAGTATTTAGCTATTTTAAATAAACAATAAAGTATATCTAAAGAATAAAATAGTTAGTCATTTAACACGTACCTTGGACAGGAACAAGAGAAGGTGGTATTTGATCTGTCCACCAAAGATCTTGGAGGCTGTCTCGTGAGAGAATTCAACAATTGTGGGCATGGCATTGACAAACACCCAAGTCTTGAAAATATCCTCATCGAATTTCTCACCATCAAACTTGACACGGGGCTCCTCGAACTGTTTGACAAGTAAAATGTATTTAGATTATAGTAGTAGACATTTTAATAACTTTTTTTTTTATAGGACTAAGTAATATCTTTTGTATAGACTCTAACTAAAGTGTTTATTTATTTTGTTTGTGTGTTTTTGTTGTTTAGTGTTTTGTGGATGTGTGGCACTGTCTCTAATGAATAATGAATTAATTATATTATCTTAGTTAGAATTTAATTATTAATCATCTGACAGTGGTCATCACATTGAAAATCAAAATAAAATTGACCAAGTTGATAAGATATTACATTATCACACATATTATCAGTTGTGGATATTATTAGCCATAAATATATACTCGGGGAAATTTTATGCAGTTTAATAAAACTATTATCTACTAGAATGAAAGGGCAATAACCTTTTATCTCTTTGTCACTTGACAAATGACTTTAAAATACATTTTCAAATAGTTTATTTAAAATTAAATAGTGTTTTTTTTTTTTTACCACATAGTTTTAAACAAATATATTGCAAGAATAATCAATGACATTCACATGTTTTAAGAAATTGTTACACTTTTCTGTTTCCCATAAGGTAACTGCATATAAGGGTTATTACTCTAATGTCTATATTATATTGTGCAATTAAAAAATATTATTATATAAACTTACATTCTTGAAAAGAACAACATCTTCATCTTCAGCTTCTAGTTCAGCAATCAGTTTATCATCAGACACAATGGCAAAGACTTGGTCATCTACAGTACTGGCAACAGTTGAGAAGACTTTAGCTTTGTCAGTATTTGAATCAGAGAAGAAACCAAATACAATGACATTGTTGGCTCCAATCATTTCTTTGGCCTGTTCGGCTGATGTGACTTCAATAGCTGGAGGACCAGTCTTCTTCTTCAACCAAGTGATGATGTCATCAGCCTGGCGACCACCTAGCAAACAGTAACCATGATTACACACTTTCTCTATCACTATAAATTAGTGGTTGGTAACCACTAACATTAAATTTAATTACAGTTACACGGATTTCTAAATAAAACACACAATAAAATTTTATAATTGGCATTACTACTAATGGTTAAACAATCAAGGACTGTTATTAGGTGTGACAAATACAGTTCTATCAATATTTAAAGATTTATTAATGGACCATGTAAAAATTGGATTAAAACATGTGATAAAATAAATTTCGCTTCGCCTACCTGAGTAATCAATAGGGCTGCCGTGTCTAAAGAATTTAAGAGTAGGGTATCCTCTGACACCATAGCTTTCAGCCAGTTCCTGTTCTTGCGTGGCATCTACTTTAGCAAGCTTGATAGGCGATTCTTCCTCAGCCAACTTGGTTGCGGCTTTTGCGTATTCAGGAGCGAGTGACTTGCAGTGTCCGCACCATGGTGCATCTGTAAATAAGTATTATCTTTAAAAAGGCATGGACGATACGTGCCGGCACACGCGCTTTCGGACCACCAACCGATGGATTTGTAATAAACATTGTAGCAAAAACTAATTGGATTAAGTATTATTACTGCACAAAGTAAAAAGAAGTAGTACATTTCATAGAAATTCCAATAAAAACTTACAGAATTCCACTAAGATGAAGTTGTTTGCCGCAACAACACTATCGAAATTGGATTTACTTAGTACGAGTACATTTTCTTCTGTGGGTACTTCATCGGCCAAAGCGGCACCCAAAAGGGCTATCGCCGTAAAAATAATTACTTTCATCTTGAAATAGTCAGCACTCCACAAGCTTGCTCCGAAGATGAAACTCTATAAAATGCCGAAATACTGCCACTTCATTCACTCCCGTCTCACTTGACGTGGCAGCGTCGATCGTGTGTTATGCTGTGATTGGTTGGTTTGCTACTTTTTTAAACAAAGAGTGACTAAGATCAAAATAATGAAAGGATTTTAAAAGAAAATAACAATTTAATACAGAATAATAAAAAAATATTATTGTACACAGAATCTCATTTATTTATAAATAATGCAGGAGAATTAAACAAAATAATTATTAACAAATTATGCATTGTTTATTATACTTCTATTTTACTTTCTACTCATAGCTTAGAGAGCTAAAAACTATTGATTACTTTTCATTTGCCCATGAAACAGTCAATCTTAAATCATATAGTCGTTCTATAAATTATTTATTATATCCCAATGAATAATCCCAACTTGACGACCTCCCTGCTACTAAAGTTGAGCTCAGCAACAAATATTATAACTTTCAAGTGTTTTAAGAGCTTCTACTTTTCGGTCATCATAACTTTGTGCAGCTCAGTCAGTAAGTACAGTACTATCAGTGGCGGATAATCCCTAATTCAAAGTAGGCATTGAGCTCGACGGAGGAGAGGAGGAGGAGGAATGGAGGGAAAGACTTGGGCAACCAAGCACCGGGCACGCCATTATAGCGGCTGTAAGACCCGTTATGGAGTATGGCTCTCATACAGGCTGACGTAGGTGATCAACTGTGTCTGATCCACGAAGAACCAATTCCTGAGTGCCACCATTACGGTGGCCAGAGCGAGGACACGGCGCTCCGGAAAAACTGTTATCGGATCCCTCCTATTAGTGTGTGGTTTTAGTTGGTTCGATTGCGAACACCGCCCCATCGCAAACCTCAGTGTTATGATAGCCCATTTACCCACGTAGTCACACCTAAAAAAAGTTCTAGTAAAGAAATGACAACGAAACCTTGAAGTCATCACTATCCCACATTTGGGCGCTAATGAGGTGCAGGGGGGGATGCTTGCCTAGGGCGCTCTTGATACTTAATCCGCTTCTGAGTACTATTTTGTATGTATTTGCTTGCCCTTACATACAATCCTTTGATTAAGCGATGTAATAAGAAGAATTCTTAATCTGTACCGAAGATTTTAAGTTATTTACATTCGGTTAACTTGTTTGATAGAAGCATATCACTTTAACTGTTCTTTTTAAAAATACAAGTTTCCTGTTTTGCCAATCTTTTCCAATTAAGCCAAATACTTACTGGATATCATCAAAAAAGAGGTTACGGCTACTGAAATCAGCGTATACTAAAGCATGCAAAATCAGGTTGCGACCTCGGATGAACGGTGTGCGTGAAGTCATATTTTTTAATATCGTTTCTTCCTTTTGTAAACTGTAACATTTTTACAGCTTTACTAGATCTCTCGTGGCTTGCATTTACCACAACTTTTGGATTTACTATCTCTTACTATCTTTTTAAACGCAACTAGAAATCATGTTAAGCTGATCTGTCAAAGTGTCAAACTTTGTAAACAAAACGTTTGTTGACAAACTTTAAAGTTTTTTGTGTTACTATGGTTGAACGCGTAGAAATCAATTAATATTAAGAAGTAATAAAACCGTCTGATAGTACGATATTAAATATTTAATGAAGCTATTTTGTTTAAAGACAAACTTCAACCATTCCGTATGAAATATGAATACTGTGGATAATTGTCGTTAATTATTATAGACAGTGATAAATTCTCAACATGTTATATTCAAAAAATACAAAAATTTAAGAATTAAGGTACATCAACATCATATTCCAACGTCAGTATGCTTAATATTCAATTATTAAAGTTGACATTGAATCCCTAATATTGCCCAATATCTATAAAAAAATAAATAAAACAACGCTTTATATTCTTTTAATATTATTGATAATATATGATTATACCCTATATAGCATACAGAATTTTCATTCCTATAAGAATACTTATCCACTTATAATAATAAAAAAAAATGACATCCAAATGGCCGATCTTCGTTCACAATCATATTCTCTACTATAACAATATTCTATGTTGCACGTGATCGATATAAATAACGAACAGAACCGAACCATAGTAAATTACAAAAGCTGGCACACATACCACACTATAACGGATATTTTATTTTAGCAGTTTTGATATTGGACTGTTTCCAATTTTTACACATTGTCCTTCCTCATGACCACTGTTCAATAGTTATTTTATTGGTTTTGATAATTTGTAAGAATATCAGACAAAAAGGTATGTTATATTTGCAAATATAAACTTTTTATTAATTAAATATTTAAATTATTTAAGACTGATGTGAGCCCCTTGATTTAAAAAAAATTATGTAATACTTTTATTAGTGCATATGTTTCAGTTTATATGTTACATTTTCCAAAAGGCATTATGTGTTTTCGTTGTAACTTATAATAATGTACTATAAATTAAAAATGGAAGGTGTGTGTGTTGATTAAATAGTAAAAAATATATAATATCAGTGAAGTGCATTTAAACCACATTTAATTTACACCAAGAAAAAGTGAACTGTACAAGGTTAAAAATGTGTAATGAGTTATGACAAAAGTGTGACTCGCTCTACTTTGCAAATGTACTTGGTCATTACGATGATCGCTTTCTTGCCATCTTAGTAACATAAAACTGTAGTTATTTAAATTAATGAAAATTCTGACTTAATTACTCATATAAACTCTAATTTGAATGCATATTTTTGTATATTTAAAAAAGAAAAAGAAAAATAATACCACATGTTTAATATAAAGGTAAAACTATTATCAATCATTTTCCTTTAACAACTAGGCATAACAAATTGCTTCCAAAGCATTAATGTTTATAGTCGTAACTCTGGAACGGATATATTATTACTAACCATGTAATAAAAGTGTTAGTAAGATACTGTAAAATGTCACATTCATGTCGGCCAAACATTCATATTAGATATTTATGAATACATCTTCTTAAATTTTATCCTGTTTTTACTACAGATGCCAGAACTCACAGTGACGTCAGAAATATATGAGGAATATGATTACAGAACTAAAATAACACCAAGTACGGAAGGGAGTAAGTCAACCAAATTTATTAGACTATTTATTTATAACCATATTACTGGTAGACAAATACAGTCTTGCAGGTAAATAATTTATGTGCACTCCAAGTATAGTTAAATAATTTAAAGCTTATAACACATTGGGCTTTTGTTACACTAGGGTATCATTAGGTGTGTTACAAGTATCCCAGGCTATTATAAATTTTAGTGTATGGCTATTGTATCGTTTACACTATTTATGGTAATTTTAGGTTCACGAAGCTCGAGTGGCCAGGGCGGCAGTGTGGACCCTTTCCTTCCGACTGACGCAGGTCCTTTCCTGGCACTGCTGCTTCGGGAAGTATATACACTCGGTCGCTAGGAAGGACTTGAGTCCCGCCTGAGCGATGTTTTACCGCGGGCGCATCCTTCTACATCATTTCGCAGAAGGAGGCACCGGAGAGGGCTCGGAAAGAAAATTTCCACTCAGAGCCAATTCACCGTCGGCGAACTGAGAGGCGGAGATGCGCTTCCAGCGACATATACTGACCTGAGTGTGGCCGCGGTTGGAGCCAGAGTTTTTCCCTCTACCAAACACAGGTGCCAACCGCAAAGACGTGACGTCCGCGTGTGTCACCTCCTCGCAAACTCCTCGCCTAAATGAAAATTGTTACCCGATGGTGGTGCTCACGTGCCTTGCCGTGATGAGTCCGGATGCCTTAATAAAAGCTGTTTCCGGATTCCTCCTACTTACGAGTAAGGTGCATAGTGTTACACCGTCTGGTTTTAAATGGTCCGATTCGGACACACGCCGCAAACCCCGGTAGGGTGACGACCCGAGGGGGATTTCACACGTAAAAAAAGACATAACATTGTTTGGCTAAAAAAATACATAATGTATATGTCTTACTCCTACATTCATTAGAGACCCTGTCTGTGCACTAATCGTGATTCCAGAAATTAACATCTAAAATAGTATAGGTAACATCTAAAAATTTATTTTTTCAGATGTCATTTCAGAATTTCCGTTTTTATTGCCCAAAGATGGTGACGCTGCTACTTTTGATGAAGACGATGACTTAGTCCTAGAAAGACCGCGAAAAGAAGTTATCAAAATTGGTGAGATTTTGTATATTCCAAACAAACTTCGTTAATTTGATGTTTAAATTTAAGAATGACATTTAATTCATGTCCCCTTAGATACATTGCTGATTTCATAGGCTCACGTCTTTTCAGTTTCTCACTTATTAATTTATTTTATTACAGAACATAGTTCAAAGACTAAAATCGCACTAGTCGGCCTCCAAGTATGGCGGGGCGCGTTTCTATTAGGTGACTGGTTGATCCATCTCGGTTTGAAGGGAGAACTCACGAACAAATGTGTATTGGAACTTGGTGCTGGGACCGGCCTTACTAGTTTTGTGGCGGCTTTGTATGCTAAAAAAGTTGTTTGTACTGGTAAGTATTTTACGTATGTATTAGTATAATTACAATTTGTATGTATGAGTGTATGTTTAATTAATAAGTTTTTTTTTTATAATCATGACTAATGGACATCTAATTAGAGAAGATTTGTCACAAACCTAATCTATATAGTATATAATGTTAATTTGGTTTGTGTATGCTTTAAATACTCAAAAAGTTCTGCACGAGCTCGAATTTTGATACGATATCCAACCCGCTTCAAATATGGGTTTTATCTATTTTTCGTGCCAGTTTTGATCCTTCATCCAGTTTTGATGTAGCAACAATGCAACCACAATATATATAGATACAGCTAGTATGTAATGAAAATACAATCAACACATTTTTTTCTTCTAATTTATGTAAAAAATATCGAATCGAATCGAAATCGAATATTAAAAATGTTTAAAAGAAAAATAACTGACCTACATTCGACTTATATCTTCATTATAAATGACCAGAAAACTATTAGAATTTCTTCAAAACGTTGATGCATATAAATTTTATCACACAGTTTTTGTTATTTCTTAGTACCTAACACTAGCTGCCTCAGTATCTAAGTAGGTATAGTTAGTTGTATGTAGTTGCGTGAGGTTTTGTTATCTTACCCTAATAGTATTTATTATTCTTGGAATTGAAAAGAAAAGTATCAAAGTCGGGTATAACGGTGCTATCGATCGATATTGCATTTGTCTCTATAGTGTATTTATTTCATGATGTCTATGACTAAATGATCAGTACTGTAAATGATGATCATCATGATCATCGCTTACAGTATTATTGCTTATGCTCAATAGCGTTGGTCAAGCGTAGGAGTTCCATGAACGTATGCGCTGACGCCATGACAACCACCTACATGATCGATTTGATCAATTGTGCTACTTCCAAACAACTAGTAGAATTTGCTCATTGGATCCCATTTTGTTAATGATAATAGCAAAACAGTATTAAAGTTGTGCTTCCTGGTTGTCAAACTTTTTGATAAATTGATTAACACGCAAATCACTCAAAACTAATGGTAGTTGTGACGTCGATGGCCCAGCGCATGCATTTACCAAACGCATAAGCTAGACAATTATAAGCATGAAGGTACTCTTTAACAGGATGTGTTATCGCCCCACGTGCTATGTCTACTACAATTATAAAATTGATTAAACTATAAACATATAATTTCAGATATTGACCTAGGAGGTATCTTAGAACTTATCAAGTTAAATGCAAAATACAACAGGAGCTTAATAAAGTCTAACTTTAAAGTGATGCCTCTAGATTTCACTGATACGAATTGGAAGCCGCAAGTGCTAGACGAAATAAAACATTCGGATATTATAATTGCTGCTGATGGTACGTAATAGCTGTTTCAATTTTTTACGTCTAGTATTGGGTTGTAGAGGTCTGATGGCAGTCGCTGCACGTAAATAAATCGAAGTTCAGCCATTTAGTTTGGGAAAAGGCTCGGAGGGGAGCTGCCACAATGCCGTTCTCGTCTTTAAAATAAGTAATAAGAAGTTTAAAAAACTAATAAAAGCCGTGTGGTGTCGTGGGACACCCGATAGGAACGAAGTTGTGACGATCTAGTAAAACTGATTCGACACGATTTTAATTACAACGCCATCTATGAAAGCGGCTATTACCTACATATTTTTCAGTTGGTTTCTAATTAAAACAATTTATACATTGGTAAAATCTCCTTGAGAAATGATTTCCTATCCATTCGATAGATGGCGCTGAATAACTGACAAGTGATAATTCAAAATAAATACAGAGATGAAAAGTAATGATTTCCTATCTATTCGATAGATGGCGCTGAATGACTGACATAAAAAGTGTCGTTACAAGTTTTCGTGAGCCCGTTTTTCCGTCTAGCCCAAGAACGCGCGATAAGGAACTTCGTTCCAAAAACACACTTTTGTAACTGGACGAACTAAAAAGTAGAAAAACTTATTATATTATATCATGTAAAATCAATAAATAAGTATAGTACCGCGTAACTACGTTATTAAATAGAAATATATTTCTTATATTATATCAGTATATGTACCTATTTACTCATTATATAAAAATATGAAAATTAGTTTTTAGTTGTGTGCACAAACAGATATTAAGTTATTACTGCTCTCTTCCCCTTTCCTAACCTTTTGTTGCCCGACAGGGTCCATAATGGCTCTGTATTTTTATATTTATAAGACCATTTATATACGTTACGGAACTTACGTTGAGTATCTTTAAAAACACCCCACGCTTTTTATTTTAGAAATTACAGAAAATTATTTTCTACAAAAGGTGCCTTTTTTTTACTATAAATTATTTTATTTTTTAGTACAACAAGGATGTAAGTGACACATGCCTCTTAGTACGTAGCAAAAGACACTACCATATTTTTAGGTATGAAAAAGTAAATTTCACCCAGACACAGGACAAATGACCGTGCTCATCACATAATATTTGTCCCGGGGGGGGAATCGAACCACGACCTCCGGTTTAGCAGTCAGGGTCACTAACCACTAGACCAACTGGCCCGTCCAAATATCTATAGATGGAATATGAATATTCATTTTTAGGTATAAAACACTTAGATACCCACTACCTACAAATTGGTTCACAGGATTTCTTTCTTTCACTTGCACGTCTATTTTTCTCTTATTAATCATTCACGCCGACAAATTTTTAGCATTAGTACGAGACGATTTCGATATATAAAAATGTTTAAAGTTAACCGTTAAGTCCAAACCGTTCTTTATATGCAAGCTAAAACTAAGCGTAGTTACGCAAGGCTTTTGTGGACAGTAGGTCTTACTCATTATGAGTAACTTTTACAGTTTTTATATTCGGTAGACATTGCTGAGCAGGAGGATGCTAAGCCGTGGGTTCGATTCCCACCCAGGACAAGAGTTATTATTATTATTGTACCTACATATGTTATAGATGAGGAAAAACATGGTATTCCTAATTAATTGTATTTTTTTGTTTATAGTTATTTACGACGATGACGTTACGGCCGCATTCATATCGACTATACAAAAGATATTAAACATCCAGCCACCGAAAACTCTGTACATCGTGTTAGAAAAGCGCTACGTGTTCACGATAGAACATTTGGATTCCGTCGCGCCTTGCTACGAAACATTCCTCGCTCTGCTCGACAAAGTCAAAACAGAGAATCAACATTCCACGTGGACCATTCAAGAACTACCTCTAGATTTTCCAAAATACTTTACGTACGACCGCGTCAAAGATCTAGTACTGTGGAAAATATCTTCGACTAAATGCTAAAAGACTATAGTTCAATATATATATATACATATGTTAACTGTTTGTTTTTATTTTATTTAAACAACATTTAAAATTAGCATGATCTTTATTGCAATTTAGTGTCCAAAAGTTCTCATCATTCATTGCTACTTATTGTGTATAGAGCAACCTATTGATAAGATTAAAAAATAAATAAACGACAGACAAACGCTAAATAAATTTAAACAACGTACGAATTGTGTATAAATAAAAACATTTCGAATAAATTATGCCATTTTTGTCTCAACTTTAAAATAGTGCAGTTCAATAATCTCACTAAAGACAAAACCTTTAATATCTAAACTTAAAATTATTTCTGTGTAGGCCAAAATTCGTTATATTTCGTTAGAAAAGTTTTTCTTAGTTCGGAATTTCTCGCCTGTTGGTCCTTCTCTTTGCTGAGGGTTTCCACGCTCTGTCCTACACACAGGTCCCCTGTGAAGTGGATGATCACCACTTGCGTGTTGAAAGTCACGTTTTTGTCCGGATTCTGCTTGCTGTAATTACTGTGTGGACCAAATTCCATCGAAAACGTCAGATCATCTACAACAGAAAAAACGTATGGAGCCCTTATAATTTTAAGTTTTGATTCTTAATAGACTAAGCAGATATTTGACTTCACAAAACCAATAACTGAAAGAACTGCAATTATTAATACACCATTGAAAACACGCCGTGTCATTAACCATGTTTGGCTAAAAATATAGCTATCCCTCTATACAACTTACGAATTGATTAGTGGGATCTTGCATTAGACACAATGGGATGGAAGCTGTAGGTATGAAAGAAAAACTTTTAGATTAAAATGAAAATATGGGCGTCTCTGGATTCTGAATTAGTGGAAACGATTTTATTCACAATTTTGTTGGATCAACATGTTACCTTGATCAGTAATGCGGCGAAATTATAGGAACTGGCTATCAAACAACGAGAAAGATAAACTTTTAGAAAACAATATAAAAATTCTTTCAGACCACTATTCGAATGAATCGTAGAAACATGGACATTTCTTAGAAAACCTTTTGGCGTTGCATATCAGTACGCGTATTGCACGTCACTACGCCTGTGGCTATTGGTATTGGTATTGGTTGTGGGCCTCGGTTTCCGCATTTAGACTCAGAGTGGTCCTTTATGCGTCGAGGATTGGTTGACTAGGTGAGCCAGCCAAGCTCCTTCCAGAAGCGCAGAAGCCTCCTGGGGCGTTCACAGGCTTCTAGGAGCGACTTTATATCAGGAATGATACTTGCCCGTTGTGTGGCCACTCCCTCGCATTCCAGGACTACGTGGACGGCCGTTTCTTCAGCTTCCAGACATCCCCTGCACAGGGGACTGTCTGTCGCATTGATTATGAATAGTTGTCGGTTCAGGGCTAGATGTCCTGTAATAGTTCCGACGACCATTCTGATTTCCGGTCTGCTAAGACTGATCAGTCTGCAGGTGAGTCGTGGTGTGACTTGATTCAGCACCAGTTTGGACTGTCTGCAGCCGGGTGAGTTTTTCCGCCTCCGGTTGTGTGCTTCACAGGTCCGTTGCCTGACCCAGCATCGTATTTGGTTAAACGATATGGGCAGGAGTGGGGTTGGGTCAGAGGTTGGGGTTGCCGAGCCCCTCCTTGCCAACCTACACCACTCTCCGACGCTATGAAGTTCCGCTCACGGAACTATGTCTATCCTGCTAAAAGAGTAAACCGTACAAAGAATTCTTCAGGATTGAAAATGGGAGTGTGCTCGTGCTTCGTGCGCACTTTTATAGTCGGAAGAAGGTTTTCTCTCTTCGTCTAGACATGGTGACCATAGATAAATACCCGCGTCGTCGTAAATGACTATATCCAGCAACATATACCAAACAGAGTTACTTTCATTTATAATATTAGTTTCTTTATGGTACAGGGGCCAAACCAGCAGACGGATCACCTGCTGGAAAGTGACTACCGCCGCCCATGAGAGCCTGCAATTCAGGAGTCATAAGCGCGTTGCAGATCATCAGGGAGTAAGATCTATTCTTACAGGTTTGAAGATCGTATCGGTCCGAAAATACCGCAGAAGATTATTATAATAACCGTTAATAGTATGGATGTTAGAGACATCGAAAGGTAGATTTATATAATAAGCTACGGGAAATATTTCTTTTCTTTTTATTTTTTATTTTTCTTACCAGTATTATATTCGTCGACGCCTCGCACGGTGGAGTCGCCTGTACACTCCGGTCCACAGCGTCCATCCTTTAAAATACCGCGCATCGTTGTCAGTTTACTAATTGCTTTCTCATTACTCTTAGCATTATGATCATTCTTGTGCTTGTCTATGTTGCGCAGAAACTTTTTCATCTAAAAACAAATCAGGCTCTAGTATTTTATAGGATTTAGCGTGAAAACCGCGATTCCATCCTTGAACTTGTACGAAAAAACTCTTTCAACATAACACAAACATAATTTAACTATTTAATGTAATTGAAATGATGAGATATTAGCCAAACACAGCAGCTTAGAATAACAAGATTTTTCTTACCGTCTTTGAAATCTTTTTTGGTGGATCTGGATAGGACATTTTCGGCTCTCCCGGATTACTACCGACGACATATAGTGTGTTTTTTGGAATGTCGAAGTCAGAATATACTGAAGCTTGCGGTCCGTCGATGGGCTCCTTTTGCCGTGGACCCGTTGTTGACTTACTATTAGTAGGCATATAAGACGTTTTTTCTACGTTTTCAGATGGAGATTTCTGAACTGTTGTCTTATTCTTCTTGGCGTTTCTTTTTCGCTGAAGGGGCGGATCATCCTCATTTGATAGGCTTTCTTCTGATGTCGAAGGAAAAACCTCGTTAAGACTCAGCACTTCCAAGTTGCACTCCTCGAGATTCAATGGGTTGTTAGCGTCGGCCACTTGACACAAGTGATCAGTCGAGTGTATACTTATAAACGACTTTTGTCCAGAACACAAAGCACCTTCTTCACTCGATGCTGAAGCTTTCTTAGACACAGTCACTAGAAATAAAACGATGATGATGATATAGGGAAATCACTACGATATACAATGTAGTATACATACGCACCAGCGTACGTGCAGCTCTCGGTGGCGTTACAACTTATTACTTCTCCTACAAATAAACAGTTCATTCATTTGAAATATTTCGAAATTATCAACAAATAAAAATGGACGTCATTGATGTTACCTTCTTCCTCATTTCTGTCGGTTGTATGTATGTCTGTTCTACTTTTATCAGATAATTTGTGTGCATTCTTCGAATGTGACATATTTAAACAACAAATTTCAGTTTGCGAACTTTGTCAAATGGCTTTCCATTTTTCTCTTCATTTACTTGCCCTTGACAGTTCCAATTTTAATATATTTTTTTAATGTGAGTTATCCATAGATATACAACCTTATAATGTAATGACTGAAATAGTACCTAACTATAGATTGCGACAATACTACAGGATCTTTGAGGGTAAGTCTTTTATTTTGATAGTATACAGGGTTGATACTAACTGGTTACGCGTCCGTCACCTGGAACTTTAGTCATTTTATTATCTACTAGCAACCCACCTGGTTTCTAGCGATCAGCAGATCACATAATACTTCGATCAACAATAGCTATTGTTGATCGAAGACATAATATGATGTTTTTATTCGTGTCAGCCTTTTTTAGGTGGAGTAAGGATTGGATTATCATGTCTTATCATAAAATTTGTAGGCACTTGTGTACTCTTAACCTAGGTACCGGCTCTCCGGAGTCAAATAAATGCAAAAAAACTAGTTGAAAATTGTAAATAATAGTCTAGTAATTAAAAACGAAATGTATGCATAAAAGTAGGTATTTTCTTACAATATTTTTTCATAAATGGGTGTGTTAAAAAGGTTAAAATATAATTAAAGCGTGGCCCACGTAGCAAGCATCGTTTCACCTCTTTTGATACTTCGGTTTACATCGCGAACTACACAACGAAGCTACGCTAACGATCGTCAGATATTTTGCAATGTTTGTATCGCGGACGTAGCTTATCTCTGTAGTTGGGGGTGAATTGAAGTATGAAAAGAAGTGAAATGAAACTCGCCCGGCTCGCTCGATCGCTAGCTGGCGGTGTGGCCTGCGCTTAGCTGTGCGCGCCACTATGGCAACCGAAGGGAGTTAGATACTAGGTAGGTACTTATTATGCAGTGTGTGTATTCGTAAACAGACATACAGTTCATATTTTAAAAACCTTTTATCCAGTGTAGAAAAGTGTTAAAAGTATGAAAAATTAGAAGGCAAAGACAAACAACATTTCTAATTAACGTATTGTCAATTTAAATGTTACACCCTTTTTTTATGGAAGAGGAGGCAGACGAACAGACGTGTCACCTGATGGAAAGTGACTACCACCGCCCATGAACGCCTGCGACTCAGGAGTCACAAACGCGTTGCCGGCCCTTTGGGAAAGAGTACGCAGGAATACCGCAGACGATAACTGCACTGACTGACTGAAAAATGACTGCACGGATGGCGTAGTGGTTTAAGCGGTCGCCACGCCGCTTCCTACTACGCCGAGTGTTGTGGGTTCAAACCCCACATGGGACGACACTTTGTGTGATCCACAAATTGTTGTTCTGAGTCTGGGTGTTCTTTGTGTCCGTTTCATGTATGTTTGTAAAGTCCCCCGCGACACAGGATTTATTCCTAATGCGGGAGTTTTTTAAAAAACAAAAAAAAAAAAAAAAAAAAAAAAAATTCCACAGATTGGTTGTGCGAGGAAAAAAAATGTCTTGAAAGCTCACAATGGTGGAGCGCTAATTATCCAAGTGGTGGAGATGAAAATTATGACGTGTGAAACGATGGCGACCAACTTGCCGCCGGTACTAGTCCGAACAATTCCTCTGAGCACTCTCCATGATATATATGATGATTCAACGTCCAGACAAACCTGTTCAGGTTTTGTGACGTTTTACAGCTAACATCGTAATGTATTTTTTGTATCAATAAATGGAAAAAAAAAATATGATAGAGAATGCAGAGTGAAGCTGTTTATAATTATTTCACCAATGGAAAGCTCCTCAGCGAGTATAATAGGCTATTTTTTGCCGCGTTAACCGATACACGCGGGCGGAGCCGCGGGCAATAAAATAGATATATATCAGGAATTTACTATTGTTAATTTTTGTCTATGCACGGGGTGTACCAACTGATCCTAAAATATGACACATATCTGTAACACGTTGTATGCATATAAAAAATATATATCACGCATTTGGTCACTAAGTGACAAGTTCAACAAATGAAGCATCTTTCCACCCGAGACTTGTGGACTTGTCTTTAGCCTAACCGTTTTTCTTACTTCAATGTATCTTCTTCCTCTGTCTCGTCTGAAAACGGTTACATTCCTAAGGCCAGTAACCGGCCTATTGAACAAATTTAATCTCGAAATTTATAGAACTGAAATAGAATCAGGATGGTTTTAAATTTTCTGACATACACAGACGCAGTTGAGGAATTGTTGAATAATGAATGTGTTATATTTTTGTATAGGGGTTTATTACACCTATGGGTAAATACAAGAAAAAAATACACTATTATATGTTGTACCGTTCTCTATTGTGGAGGGATGCATTAAAACAAAAATATTGAAAATAATGTTATATTTCATTTCATCATAAGTACAATTTACTGAACATATACTCAAAATGGAACAATATAAAAATAACAAAATAGTGTCAATGAAATCAGCGCTACAAAATGGAATTATGTTTATATTTATAACTACATTGTAAAAATATTGAGTGTTTATTATATATTATAATTATATTACTAAGTGGAACCATATTATCTATAGATATACTGTTCACATCATGCAAAGATAAAAAATTCCATATTGATTATTGCTAACACTTAAAAATAGTTGTGAACACTGACGATATTCTTGCTAGCCCCACATACGAACAGCAAATTGAAATGAAGTAAGGCATAGATACACCCTGCAGTCTTTGTAATTAATTCATTCCGAAACAAACAACACACACTCTATTTTTAACAATATTGATTTGATTAAAGATCATATTACTTATTTAAATAATTAAGCTAGGTTTTCAATAGTTTGTTGGGATTTCTATGGTCAATATCAGTCATGTAAATATACTCTGTCCATCCGCTTAGTTTTTTAACAGTTACTTGCAAAACTTGGCTATGCTAGAGTTCGTAAAATTAAAATTTAATAATACGCGGAAGGAAAATATGTATACTGTACTACTGTTAGTACAGTAAACGTACGCACCTACATTTTTTAACATAAGTTATTGCTTTATGCAATAAAATAAGCTACTGGCTATTGCACGATTCAATATAAATTTTATAAATCCGTATAAAAAGGTTATAGTTTCTTATAATATTGAAAATGAGGGTAAAAATAAAGAGTTCAGTCAATATTAAGTTATTACTTTTTAATTTCTTGTAAATAAAATCAATTATTATTTTTAACTGAAACTTTAAAACGTTAAGGAATCATAAATTTACTATTAAAAGAAAAGTCAAAATCAAGCGAATGGACAGAACATAGCTAAGAGAAGCTTACATTTATTGTTATACATACAAGTGACCACGACGTACGGTGGTGGAATAATAAAGTTCGTCAGCCATAAAGTCTATTTTTGCTTGCACCGGTCGGAAGTAGCATTCTCGACATTAAAATATGACAATAACATTAGAAACCTGAGCAACACTTTTGTTGTTTTGTATGTCAACTAGTTTCAATGAGGTCTTTGAAAATCATAATTGCCGAACACTTTTATGTGTCTATGGTACATAATCTATTCCTTTTCAATGAGAAAGGCACATCCCTTATTTAGAAACTGTCAATGTTATTGTTCGTATTTGCATACAGCAAATAATCCCCAACTTCAATCAAAGTACGTTCGGGGCAGACATGAGATTTTTTAATATTTTTGGTCTAGAATTAGATCTGACAAAAAATCGGACCTAAAGAAACTCGATTGCTTCGAACACATTATTGAGTAAAAAAGATTTTAAAATAAATTATTTCAATGTTATATGAACTAAAATACTGTGGCAAGGTTCTCATAGCGTATTTCAGTCAAAGGAACCATGGTTCCCATCCTACTGTCAAAAAAGAATCGCAACATTCAACACGATAGATAAAACGCAGCTTTACCTTCCGAGATCAAATAAAACGAGAGGAAACGTATCATACGACATAATTCAGTAACGTACCTATTGTACTCCATTATATGGATACTCGTCAACTAAAAATAGGGCATCGTCACCGATGAGCCGTAACTAAACTAAATTCACCTACACACAACACAAAATCTGACATTAAAAACATTCTCGTTTGATATGGCGTCAACTTTAAAGATTATGCATAACAAACACGCGTACGATCAAACAATTATTCTACCGATTCGAATCTACTAAAACCAGAGTAGTAAACACACCGCGGGTCCGCGAACCTGGCGCGGAGAGTCTGTGCAGCTCGCGAGTGGAAGGTAGGCTATACGGAGCTCTTCCGGCTGCGGGAGCGCGAGCGCGAGCGCTTGCGGCTGGTGAGCCTGTTGGCGTGCATGTTGGACGTTTTCCGGCGCACGGAAGGCGAGGCCTCGACGCTGTTGAGCTTAGCGCTGGAGGGCTGCGGCTTCTGCTCGATGACGACGGGCTGCTGGTACTTGCCCACAGCGTTCCAGTGCTCGCGCTGAGCTCTCAGAGATTCGCGCATCTTTTCTTTGGCTTCGGCGTTGTCCGCCAACATTTGGTTGAGCATTTGTACGGTCTGATATAACGCGATGGGGCTGAGTAGTCCGAAGTCGTGGAGAGAAGCCATGTGTAGTACGAAGTTTCTGTACAGATTCTTCTCGAGGAGTTCTTTGCCGCGCATTTGAAGGAACATTTGGCAGGCGAGAGGAATCTGGCAGTCGCCGACATAATTGTACTTCATGACGTGCAGATTCCACATCTTCATGAGTTCCTTTTCGCCCTCGTTGACATCCGTGAACTCGTCGATCATCATCATAGTTTTCTGCTGCAGCCATAGAGGGTCAGTTTCGCTCTCGGAGTCGATGTCTAGCTCGTTGGGGTATACAGGTAGGCATGTGATGGTGTGGTGATACAATCTAAACAAGATTTTAAATGTTAGGAACTTATTTTTGTGGCATCTAGGCATCTAGTTGCGAAAGTGTAATAATATTTTAAAATGAACTTTAAACAATTCAGTGCTTGAGTCTATGTTATAACAAGCCTTTTTAAATTAATAAAAATCAAGTAATTAAGCAATAATAATGATAATGATCTGAGTTTGAATTTCGACAAAATCAATTTTTTTTTAAATTAAAAAAATTACTATACTATTAAACTTCACTAAAGAAGTTTAGTATAACATAATGTAACGCTAACCTGTTGTGTCCTGTAAGGTACGGTCTCTGTGCATCAATTAACTCAGCATCATCAAGCTCCAAAAATTCTGCAAGACTGTGTCTGTGCGGGCGACGTCTGGGTCGAGCTCTCCAGACGAGCACATGTGTGAGTGAAGTACGTCTCGTGGGACCAGCTCTGGGACCCGAGGAACTGCCTGTGGGCCCACCGGCGCCCCGACCTTGAGCAGCGATCAGATCGTGCGGTGAGCCCGTGTAAGAGCCGTCGTACAGCTCGTTTATAGACACGTCGATACGAGCACCGCCGGGTATTGGCTGTAAAAGGAAAAGAGGTCTGGATAGCTCAAATACATAAAAAATTCAAATACACCAAATTCCCTATAAAAACATCACCATTCTTAGGATAATTGAGTTATAATAATTATAATTAAGGCAAGGGGTTACTTTACGTTTAATAACAGGCCGATTCCAAACTATTAATACTTTAATAACGGCATAAGTAAAGCAGCATGGACATCAATTAATAAACATGGTTTGATGACTATCTACCATTTTATTTCCCCCATTGTAAAATTTCTCATCGCAAGTTCTAATAATTTTTTTCTTGTACAACGTCCGTCAGAAAGGGAAGAACTCACTATCGCGATTGATGATACATATCTATTTATATTTACAGGACACGCGCAACTACGTCTGCGTCTTTGAAATGAATAAATCTTCCCCGTTTTTGTAACATTTTTCATTTATCCTCGGCTCCTAATGATCGTAGCGTGCTGTTATATAACCTATAACCTTCCTCGATAAATGGGCTAACCAACACAAAAAGTTTCTTTCAAATCGAACCAGTAGTGCCTGAGATTAGAGCTCAAAAAATAAACTGTTCAGCTTTATAATATATCATACCCACTATACTATCTAAATTGTACTTACAAAATATGTGAAATTAAATCTGGAGTGACAAAGCTTGAGGTGTTTGAGCAGAGAATATAAGGTACCACAGTCCAGGGAGCACCACGGGCAGTGTAAGTCATCGCACGCCTCTGTTTGTTGACGCGAGTTGTTGTTGTACAGAAACTGATAGATTATTTGTTGACGTTTAGCTTCACCATCGGTTTGTTCTGATTTCTGTTTTTCACCTGAAATATTGAATATATATTAATTTAACGTTATTTTTGTCTGCTAGTCTCGAGTCGCTCTCTTTTCTTTCTCATGTTTAGCGGCACGCGATTGACTATCCTTAATACAAGTTTAAAACATGAGATTATTTAAAGTAGATGAAATGTAGAAAACTAAATACATATTGGGACATCTAACCCTAAATCGATTCCTATTGACTATTAATGTGATAGACAGCTCTTTATGCAGAAGACTTCTCGAAGCGAAAGAAACAGCCGCCCAAGTTATCTTGGACATTGCATTGGCCCCTAAAAGCTTGTGAGCGCTCAGTACTTTTGAAAGGTAGTTTTTTTTATGGTATAAAGGGGCAAACGAGCAGACAGGGCACCTGATGGTAAGCAACTACCGCCGCCCATGGAAACCTGCAACTCAAAAGTCACAAGTGCGTTGCTGCCCTTGGAGTTTGCCCGCTCGAGTCGGCGGGATATGGTATTTGGGCTCCGGTAACCTCACTCACTCAATTAGTAAGCCTAAACTAAACGATTAATGGAACCAATGAAATTAACTATGCTTTTACGAGTATACGGAGAAACGGAGCCCTATAATATTAGCATCACAATTTCAAATTACCGAACCTACCTTTTTTTTATAAAATAGGAAAGCACAATATTAATCGTACATTACGACGACCTCTGTTAGTTAAAGTTTATTTTATTTTTATGCCTTCTTGGTGATTGAGGAAATTAAAAGTGGAAGTGAACAAATGGAATCAAAGGTAATGAGGTCATCAGATTGCTATAAACTAATGGTAAATGATACTATACCATTTTTGGGATCACTATTATTAGTACTAGATTTGGAAGTAGATTGTCTATCTTTGCTTGATTCTTTTTTGTGTCCATTTTCACTAGTCTGTTGGTAAAGCTTAGGTCTGTTCACAAGACCGTTGGTGGGCTCCTGACTCCAGCTTAGCTTCAATTTGAGAAGGGGTCGCACTTTGAATATGTCGAAAGGATTGGCCTCTCCTGGGATGTCGTGTTCCTGCAAAATAATTAAACTAGTTCATTTGCATAAAACATATGAATAACCGGAACTTTATAATGATATGTACATCAGTACTGACAATCTATTTTATGTAAATATTTTTAGGGTTACCTGCGTAGCCTTCAACACATGTGTGATTGTACAAGATTATAATCTATATACATATTTTTTATTGACTGAGAATGTCTGACCACAGCATAGTATTAGTACTTACGCTAGGTATAGTTTCCCACTGAGCCATTAAGGCTTTGTGAGGGGACTTGGCTATGGTAGCGCTCCTTCCGCCCGGAGTCGCATCGTGGAGTACCAGGTCGTACTCTCCATTAGTTAGTAAACAACGATTATGTTTGTCGTACACTATTAATTCACTCCCATACAATTTAGTCCACTTGTTAGCATCATTAGAGTTTAAGTCTGATGATGATTTGAGACGTTTTGTTACCGGCTCTGAAATAAAATCACTTAATCATTCGCCAGAGAGCAATTTAGAACTGTAATTTAATCATCAAGTACATGGCTCACCAATTTAATAAATTTGAGGAAGGAATTTGAATTTAATTTATTAGTTTTCACTCTCTAATGTTTTAGCATTACTGCAGTTATTACAGAATGTCTTTGTATACAATTTTTTTTGCTTGTCACTTAACACATTTAACTAAATCGCCCGCCTAAACTGCAATCTCGTGGGTAATCGAGATAAAAAGTAGCCAATGTACTTCTGGATATATTGCTTCCTAATACTGACATAGGCAATTTTAAAGAAACATTTATATATAATTGAAAGTTACACCGCAGCCGTTGATCATTATTAGCCGTAGATCATCAACCAAATTGGAATACTATAACATTCGCATGTTATCGTCTTTAAGGGTGTTTTGATTGCTAACTTAAAAAAACGGTTATTGTAACTTAATCATTACAGTCAGGTGCAGGGTTTTCTGACCGTCTGCCGCACGCGACCGACAACCGATGCGTATCCACGGTACAATGCTATGTACGGAAATGCTTAGTGATGGATTCTTAGAAACGTCGTCGGCGGCGGACAGTACAACGCCGCAAGCGCAAACCCTGCGCCTTAGGCATATAGCTGTCTTGACTTTTTTGTGGGGAATATAAAAATGTAAACATTGAGTTCATCATAAATAGTTTTCGCAGTGCAGATTTCGCTAATGGAGAAGCTAAATATATGAAACACTATTTAGTGCAGAAAATTTAAATTTCCTACAACATGTTTAATCAATTTGACTAGTCTGTTGGTCTAGTGGTGAATGATAATGGCTGCTAAACCAGAGGTCATGGGTTTGACTCCCACCTGGGACAAATAATTGTGTGATGAGCATCATCTCTTTGCTCTATGTCTGGGAGTAATTAATTTATAATATGTATGTATTTAGAAATATATAAGAATATTTTTTAGCAGTCTGGTGATCATAGTACAGGCTCTGCTTAGTATGTTATCAGATAACTGTGTGTGATATGTGTGAAGTTATTATTATAATTTAAAAATTACATTTAATCGGTTTAAATGTAATTTTTAAATTATAATAATAACTTCACCTTAGACTACATTTATCTAGAAAAGTATACCATGATAGTACATGATACAATTTTCAATGAAATTAAATTAAAACAATACAAACTTAGTTGTGTCATTGCATATTTTCGGATGTTGTCCATAAATCATTAGTATAACAAAATAAACATACCATCACTATCACCATTCGTTATTTCACTAGTGCTTGCACCATTCGTCCCGTTCCCCGATACCCGTGTGACAGTAACTCTCAGCATGAGCATATAGGATTTAACATTTGGCCCCTGTGAGGGACTAAATGTGTCACTGGAGATGCTCACTGCAGATGCCATGGCAGGAGGCTCAGATGTTGAAGGATTCAATGGTACTGAGCAACTGCCAACCTGACAAGCCACAATTCAGTTCAAGTTTATTCACTAACTATATTTTAAACTTCCTTGTTTGATTAAAATAATGTCTTGTGTTATACTTTCAAAATCTAGGTTTTAGTTGGAAATAATCAAAGAAATAACTATTAAGAAATATTAATATTAAATAACAATTAATTAGAATAATTAAATTTTAAAGGTATTAAACCTTTAAAATTTAATTATTCTAATTAATTGTTATTATACAGGTAAAATCAAATATTGGCTATAACTACCATATGTGGGCACACAAGTCAAGTCAATTTTCTTTCTCTTTCAAAAACAAGTACAATATAAGCTGTTTAATATTATAAAAATATGGATATCAAAAGCACTGATATTAATACTACTCTCACACTGTTAACAAAGCACTGAACATTCATTACTTTTTAATTGTAAAAAGTAACTCAGTAATGTGTCCAATCACATCAACAGCCTTCAATAGTCCACTGCTGGTAAAAGGCCTTTCCTTAGAAAGGAGGTTTTGGCCTACTGTACCACATTAGCCAGATATGGTATAGGGTTTGTGTCAAGTTTTCCTTCTCTTGTCCAATGAGCTGAATAAATTAATACATTAGTGTAATATACTTACAGAAACTTCAACTATAGCTGAAGAGCTTTCTTTTCTTTTTTTATGACAAATTTTTAGGAGCAGTGTTTCCACTTTAACTTGGTAGTCTCTTGAGTCGTCAAGGTTTTTGTCATAGAATCCTAGGAATGTTAGAGTCATGTAACCTCCTAAGCTGTTGGGCTGAAGTTCTGTACTCTTTTTTAGAGTAACCTTTTCTAATAAGGTGTCCACTTTGAAGCCTATACGACTTTTATTACTTCTAGACATCCTTCTCTTCATATAGGACAGGGTTCTATTTAAAAAAATTGGCTAAAATGAAAGTAGTTAATGTAGTAATTGTTTGTCTTAAATTATAACAGTATTCCAATAGCGGCATACATACCGAAAGCATATTGCGGGTCCGCAGAAATCTGTATATTTGTGTGGGTTCTGAAAATTTGTTTCGAATCAAAATTAAAACACATTCATATGAAACTCTTACTTACACGGGTTCAACATTATAGCTTACTTTCAAATGCTTGTAAAAACAATTCATGGTCAGCTTGCAAGTGGTCAATTTTAGAGTTTTTATTAGTTTCACTGTCTTTATCTCGCTTCTTGGGAGGCATTTCTAAGGTTTTTATCTAAACTATTAGCGAAACCGCCAAGTTCATCGGTTCGTTGACTTGACAGCGTCAGGTTATTGGGGTTACCATTTTCAAGAATTTCCATTAAAATAATGAACTATTTTCATCGCAGGGTATAACTAATCAATAGTCATTTTAACGTGTAGAATCGTTCTTCTTCAAATTATACAAAAAAAAAACTGGTCAGGTACGAGTTGAACTCGTGCACCAAGGGTTCCATACCTACCCGTACATTTTACGTAGATTTTCGCGAAAATTTGTAAGTACCAAAATTTATAATTTTCAACTTTTTTAATTTTTTGGAATTATTCTTTTATGGTTCTTTAAGACGTTTCTTTTTGCCAAATTTCGGGATTCTAGGTCAACGGGAACTACCATATATGTTATCGACCCGAAACATCACGAGTAAAGAGAAAATTCTGAAAAATATAAAAAGGTGAAAATCTTTTTATCGTGTTGACTCAGGACCTTGATTTTTTTACACCTTATAGGGACCATAAATTTCAACTTTGCTAGGTCTGGAATGGGTCCTGAGAAAATCGGTGGTGACACACGGACAGATGGACAAGAAAGTGATTTTATAAGTGTTCCTTTTTTACCTTTTGAGGTACGGAACCGGAAAAATAACAATTATAGGTTTAATCATTTCAGAAAACTCCAATTGTTTATAATACTAATGATACCAGAAATCCAAAGAAGTGTTTTCATTATTTCGTTTTCTATAAAACCTAATGTCTCTATTCTATGGATGTTTCTTTATGTTCAATCAAAAGTAAATAAATATTTCACTATTTTTGATGTTAACAAGTTAATAACTTCTTTTTTTTTCTCAGACGTCAGAGATTCTCAGAAGTTTTTTTAAATCTTCAAAGTCACTCTACCAGAGGAGAGAGTGGACAGGTGGAACTCACAGAGTCTCTCGGCAGAGAGGTACTCAGCTTTGAAGATCTCATTCGCTGTATGTATGGGACAACAGTCGAGTACCACACAAAGTCATCTCACTGCATAGAAATACCATAAAGGCAGTAATTCTGACAGGCTGTGGCGTCGGTGAGGAAGTATTTATATAGCGTATTCCCATTATTCCTCACAATTACCCCCAACTTATGCGAGTGCAGTGCCCTGTAAACATATGCTTCGCCATAACAATTAACAAGTCACAGGGGTAGACAATAAAGGCTACGTGTGTCGACCTCAGGACAAGCTGCTTCTCACACGGACAGCTGTACGTTGCTTGCTCCTGCGTCATCATTCCTGACTCAGTCATATTTTGGGCTGCTGAGGGCAAAGCTCTAAATTTAGTGTCCTGAGAAATGTTATAAGTGGCGACTGGCAACACTGTATTCTCAATCCGTCACCGCACCGACGGCAAATAATATTTGGTATGAAAAATGACAATGCGGTGGGTTCTTATAAACATCCACATCACATGTTTATGCTCAATTGTTCCCTATTACTATGAATTGTTTAATGTTTAAAGTTTTAATTAACTCGTATGATACAAATACTATTACAAACATTCTATAGAAATTCACCAGCAAAAGAATCTCCAAATTTGGAGGTGTTGGATTCATCTGAATACGAAAAACTTTGTTTAGTTTCTACAATATTTTAGGTGTTTTATTAAAGTGAAACTTTTATTACATCGCCACAAATGTTTTCGACCATCTATCGCAGGCTGGGTATGAATACAAAAGATGCATTTCATTTTTCCCTTTACGTAGGCATGTAACATTTCTATAACATATAATGGAATAGATAATTATTATTTTTAATTAAGGTTTCTCAACAAGTCTTTAAACTAAAAAAGGGGTAAGTAGTGGATCTTAAACAAAAAAAATCGGTTGTCTGTAAAGTCGGTTTACTGACGATAGTTGAACGTGACAACGTCATAAGAAAATACTGATGGAATGGTTGCATTTTACGAAAACATGTAAATGTATTATTGTATAGCAGCTGTCCACGCGGACGCATCGCTCACTCAAGTAGGAGAGAGACAGATGTCAAACGCTGCCGAAGGCGGAGGCTGATTGTGCCTCTTTGTCACTCGTTCCGCGCTCTTGCTTGCACTTTAAGCCTTAAATGGAACGCCTCAGAGCGAGGTAACGCCGCATGAGTAATGTTTTTTCGTGCGTGCAGTCGGCTCCATCGAATTATAAGACGTTTTCACGTCAAAATCTAATAAAGGAACAACGCAGTAAACTTACTTATACTAGTCAAAATGTTCGGTATTACAAGTTCATTATTGCTTTAATTCAACACATTTTTTTAAAATATATAGTTTCATGGAAGTCTGACAAAAAAATGAAACTCCGAATCCTATATCTTTATTACATTATGAAAAATAGCATCATAATTTATTTTTATAATTACTGAACCGCTTATTGTGGAGACCCTTGGAGGAGGCCTATATCTAGCAGTGGATGTCTTTCGGCTGAAAAAATAATAATTGAGAATTATCATCATCAGATAATTCTCAATTATTATTTTTTTACACTAATATTTTTTCTCTTTTTTTTTGAGAATGAAAATCATTCTTCTACGAATATTTATATTATTTCCAAATGATTCAGTTTTTTGGCCTTTCTAAAAATCAAAATTTCCGGATTTTACCTTTTTTCCACTGAGGGTGCAATTTCAAGAGAATTTAATTCCCTGTTTGCATACTTGAAACACGATGATTATGTGATCTGCATTTCTAAACTGTTGCGTGTATGCCATTATTGTCAAATATTATTTATTTACATTACATTACGGCTATGTTTAATCAAAGTTAAATTATGTTTGATTATTATAGTAATTACAATGCGAAAATGCAATGAAAATAACGTTCTTAGAAAACGTATAAAATCTATTCAAAGGAAAGCAATTGAAAGAGGCCTCAAAGAAGGGCAATTAAAGCAGTATGATTATATTTGCAGTTCTTTAAATAAAGTTGAAACTAAAAAGCAAAACCGGAAACTATTTGCATTACTTTTTTCGTCTTTTCTATTATCAGTTATAAGCGTCAATTTTGTGAACAATATTTTAAGTGCCAGATGTCTATTACCTAGTAATTACTTCGTGTGGGAGGCAATGCGGCCTATTGCTGATTGCGGCTATTGTAAGAATGTTACGAAACCAATTGTACTGAGAAACATCACTAGACAAGAATTCTCTGTAAGGCTTTTTATAAGTACACACTTTATTTTTTGGAAGTTCTCTGCAAAATTAATAATTTTCTGTTTCAGAAATATGCTTACACACCAAGGCCTATAATTGTTAAGAATGCTGTACAACACTGGAGAGCAACCAAAGAGTTTAGTTTTAATATGTTTAAGAAACTGTACGAGGAAACAGCTGGCAGTTATGAGAGTCTTGACGAAGGATGTCAATTTCTTAACTTTAAGACTGATATGTTCAGTTTGAAGGAAGTGTTTGATATGCCAGAGGCTAGGGCAAAGAATGAGCAGGGACAAAGCCCTTGGTATGTTGGATGGTAAGTTTTGTAATTGATGTAGATATGGAAATAAATAATATTTATTAAGTAGTGTTAGTTTCAATGTTGTACTTTTTGTAGGGGCAATTGCCATCCAGATATACTGGAAATAGTAAGACAATACTATCAAGTGCCACATTTTTTACCTGAAGATGCAGAATATCCTGCAACAGAAAATATATTTTTTGGGTATGAGATTGGAGCTGTAATGCATGTAGGTATATGATATTGTTTATGATAAAAATGTAAGCTGCATTAAGATAAAATTAGAAATTTGATGCAATAAAAGTACTCATCATCCCTACTTATATATAAATGTGAAAGTAATTCTGTCTGTTACACTTTAACAGCTATAATGCTTAACTGATTTTATTGAGATTTAGCATGGACACACTTTGATTTATTAGAAAGGACATAGGCTACTTTTATAACCCACATAGACTGACCCCCTAGATGACCGACATATGCAGATAAAAGCTAGTAAACCAATATGTTGTTAAGTAATATTTTTCCTCTATTTTATTTAAAATACATCACAGCTCTGTAATTGTTGCTCATTATGTATAGTGTGATCTCAGTTTGAGACACTAAACTTGATGAATCAATGGGGTACAGGGCAGTGGTCCCACTGCTTTGTTAAACGAAGCAGATGAAGTATCTGGGTCTGATACTCGACAGGAGGCGGCTTTTCGACGAGCTTTTCTGACAGCTTGCTCTAAATCTGGTCGGCGCTGCGTCTGCCCTAGTGCGACTTTTACAAAATTTGGGTGGACCCAGCCTCGCAACAAGATGGGTGTACACGGGGGTTGCCCGGTCAATAGCTGGTGTGGGCGGCGGCTCTGACCTCTCAAAATAGGCGCGCCTCTGGCGCCCTCAAATTATATTGGCGGGTAGAGCCATACGCAGCTACCGCACCGTTTCGGTGGAGGCGGCGTGCGCATTGTCCTTTACTCCTCCAGGGGATTTGGAGGTGGAAGTGCTCGCCGAGCCACGATGGCTCGTTGGTCGTCCCGGCTGGAGGCTCCAAGCACTGGCTTTGCCTCCGTGAATGCGCTTCAGCCGGTCATCGTCGAGTGGGCAGGACAGCAGCTCGCGACCCTTTCCTTCCGGCTGACGCAGGTCCTTTCCGGGCACGGCTGCTCCGGTAAGTCCTGGCTCCACTCAGACCCAATTCGTCGCCGGCGAACCGGGCGGCGGAGGCGTGCTTACCACCGCCTCATGCCGCCCTGAGTGTGGCCGCGGGTGGACGGGACGGGGTTTCCCCCCCCCCCCACCCGCCATAACGGCCAGCCGCGAGGAGGCTACGTCCGCGTGTGTCGGACGCCGCCTAAATAGAGAATGTACCCGAAGGTGGTGCCCGCGCTGTTGCTGGCAGACGCTAGGAGGGGTCCGGATGTCTTAATAACAGCAGTTCCCGGATCCCTCTTATTACAGGCGCAGAGTGGCAGACCTTGTGGTTTTAGTCGCGGTTATGATCCCTAGTAAAGACACGTAGTCCAACTAGTTGAACAAAGCAGTTGCACCACAGCCCCATAACCTATTAATGTTACTGAGCGTAGGTGTGAACCAGGGTTGTTGCTGATTCAGGTTTTTACTATATCAGCGGATGCTGATATTAATAAGTTACTTAAAACATGTCCTAGTACAAAATTATTAGCAAGTGACTTAATCCATACTTATATTATAAATGTGAAAATGAGTTTTTTGTTACGCTTTCACGACTAAACCACCAAACTGATTTTAAAAATTCATTCACGAATCGAAAGCTACATATCAGCGAGTAACATAGGCTACTTTTTAACCTTGATATATTTTTTGTAATAATCATTTATAATAACGGTAACGGTTGTTTATCGTTTTTATTTTTATATATAGAAGAAGAAAAAGATCACCAGCATTTTTAAGTTTTTTATAATATGACATTATAATTAATCAATAATGCGCACACTCGTCATCCTGGCCTTGCATGTAATATTTATTAAAAGAAAAAAACGATTATTTATTGTGGGCTGTAGCTCTCACTAATATTGGAATCTAATTAATGGTAAGTTATATTTAAAAAAAGCTCTTAATTATATTGTGGTCTATGGAATACTTATTTTATTTCTTACCAGCTTTTGCCTGCGGCTGCGCCCGCGTGTATGTCGGTTATCACGGTAAAAAGTTGCCTATGTTACTAAGTTTGTTGGGATGCTGATATTAAGAACAATGCTGATTATCCGCTGATACTGATACTGATATTCGCAACAACCCTGGTGTGAACACAATATGTGCTTAGGAACCGCTTGTCTTTGACATGGACAGCCTCTTAGTAAAAATGAAGCCTTAATTAGTTTTTCTTGACCTGAATATGTGGATTATGATGTTAATTTCAGTTGGATTATATATCAAGACTGATGTGGCAGGGGCAGGTCCAAGGTAGCAAGACCTGGTCTCTGGCTCCGGTGCCGGAGTGTGACCATGTGTGTTCCAAGTTTGAGTATTATGTGGAGGCTGGAGATGTTGGTTGGTACATTCTATGACAATATTTATCCTCTGCTAGTGATAGATTAAAGGACATTGTAACTTAAGAACTATTCTATTTGTTTGATTTGCTCAGTACCTAATTTTTAGGAACTCTTATTTATTACCTATTATTCATTTTTCAGTGTTGTTGGACACCCGCATTTGGTATCATGCAACAAAGATACCTAAAGGTCGATTCTCACTCACTGTGCAATCTGAATATGGATGAAATAAAGCAGCTATGCAAAGACTAGTACAAAAGATGTGTTCTTTTTACATATCTCGATGCCAAATTATACATTATTTATACAAGATTATTTTTTAATATATAATGCATGTATGTGCCATTTTGTAATTTGCAATATGTAGATGAACTATATATTTAGCTTCAGCTTGTTTGCAATAAATGACTAAGATTAGTCTTATGTACCAAATATTTTTTACTTGATAAATATTTAATAAATACTTAAAAACATCAGTTGTTTTCTTATTTAATTGAAAAATAAACAAATTTTAAAAAATACTAAGAAATAAATATTCAAAACTTTTTATTTGTCTAATTCTATCATTCAATTTTATGAATAAAAGATTGTACTGAATATCAACTGCTTATAAAAAAAATACATATACAGTAGAATCCGTTTATTATGTCTCCACGTATATTGACCAACCACTTAATATGAAGTAATTACACAGCAGAATTTTATTTTCATATAAAATTCTTTATCACAAAGTAGAATATAATGATATTTCGCTTATCGTGAATCTTCATAATGTTGATCAAAATTCACGATATACTGGTTGACGTCTGTGGCGGCACCTACGAAGACAATTTACTGATGATGAAATATTTATTGCTAATGAAATTGAATTGTTTTACAAATTAAGGCTGGACAGAAGTAAAAAAATTAGGGTGAGAATGGTAGTGGAGGCAAGTTGTCGAAAGACTGAATAACTGTCATGGTAGCAGCAAATATGAGCAGAGAAAGAGAAATTGCTTGTTATTGGGAAGTCACAAAAACCAAGATGTTTTAGCAGTGTTAAATCGTTACCGGGAATGTGGGAAGATTATGTTGACATCGATAGAGCTCTCCTTATATCCGAAAAACGCACCGATGAAAATATCGTACAGAACATTAAAGCTAATGAGCAAAGCGAAACTGATGGGGAAGAGGAAGCCGAGGAAAAACCATTACCTACCACAGAAGAGGCATTAAAGGCTGCAGATTTATTATCACGATTTGTTCATAGCAATATTGAAAATGATAATTTGACCCTAGTGATGTCTTTTCTACACAATAGTATTAGAGACTGTTATTACCATATATGGGAAAAACAAAAGCAAACATTATTGATTACTTATGTAAAAAATGAAAAAATATATGTATGTAAAATAATATTTGATTTAATATGCTGTTTCTCAGTATTAAAATAAATACATACATATATATGTAACAAAAACAGGAGGTTGTTTATTTTCTACAAAAAGCTTTGTTTGACATGCTTGTCATTTCCCTTCAATGTCATTATAAACGGATTCCACTGTAATTACACTCATGATTTCTACACTAAAAATTGATAGGCAAATTTTAAGAGACAGTCATAAGAGATTCAGTCCAAGCCTTTACTCAAGTTACATTGTAAAAGTTCACATATAGAGATCAGGTTTGAAACTCGGGGACAATAAGCTCACGAGCAAGCAGTTACACATTTTTGTAATTACTACAGCAGTATTGTATTTACAGCTCACTGAACCCAAATGCACGAAATGCAAACTTACAATAACAATAAATAATTTCACATGTTTTGACCAGATAGATGCCAGTATGAATGGACAATTATAATTGACATGGCATATTGATTTTATCACAAAAAAATGGTACCATTACAGTGTACCGATTGAAATGGACACATTTACATAATTTTATATTGCAACTACCCATTCGTCTGATAAGAAGGTAGACACAGTTATGGACAGAGAACATTGAGGATTATTATACTTTAAAATAGTTGCCAAACGCCGAGCACTGCGTCCTTGATAGCTTCAATATACTGCGCTGGTACCCAATACACCCAATACCTGGATGCTTCTGTTGGGCCAAGCTGGAGTCCCTGTTACATAAGTGATTTCCTTTCTTAATTGCAAATTAACGGTATTAAATGTGTACAGTTTTGTAGTGTGTTCAATAAGCCCCTTGGGGATAGGGAAACACGAAAGAAAGTAAGTTATCTTCATTTCCTCTGTAGCACCAAGGCACAAACAAGTTGCAATACATAAAGCATGCTTATGGTAATTGTGTGCAGGTATCAAAATTTATAAATGGTTAGAAAAGTTAAATAAATAGCATTCATAATTTTGTTTTTTTAGGGGATAGTAGGTATTTGTAACAATAATAATATAATCAATGTTGCATGCATAATTTTGTTTTTTTAGGAGATAGTAGGTATTTGTAACAATAATAATATAATCAATGTAACTCCATAAAATAATGCTTTCTTATCTCATATTTTAAAACATGTGTGTATGTGCATTAATAGTTAATATGATGGCTACTTTATTTTTAAATAAACATAATTACATATTACAGAATATACTGTTTAACAATTTAGAAATGTTAAATTATTTATTATACATACCATGATATGATATTCTTCATGCTCTTTGATTGGTTCTGATGTGATGCCTGAAAAAAGGTATGAATACATACTGTTAGGTAACGATAATCTAATACTTAGATAAATATTTAAAATACTTTAATGTATACTCTAAAACAAATGAAATAAAATATCGATTGAATTTATTTGATATAATACAAATATATGTATAAAAAAGTAAAGTCATATTTTTTATAATAAAAAAAAATCCATATTTTAAGTTCAATATTTACTCCACTTACAAGCTGTAACTCAGATTGTGACTTGTTGATTGAAAACTGCCAAAAAAGTCTGTTTGGCTAACAATTAAATCAATTAATCGGTTTCAATTTAAAAAAAAACTACTTACTTTTGATGGATGCCATAGCAAGCTTCTCAGTGCGCTCCTTGGTACCAATCCAAAGTTGATCTTGTTCATGTTTGAATGTGAGCCGCACTTTGCCACCATGTTTGTTTAACATCCCGCTGAGAGGTACTGGTGGTAATGGCTCCTACAAAGTTTAGACATACCATTCTGAGTTATGTATGCTTTGGATGGTATAGTTATATTAAATGCTGAATTATTTATTCTAATGTCAAATGTAAGTGATATATTCTGGCATATACAAACAATTGCCACGAATCTTGCTGGACAATAGCATTTACAGACTCAGAATCAGAGCATGCACCGTCGACAATTACCTTGATGCTGATTTAACGAGAGGAGCGCATTGTGCCAGACCTGGGCCTCAATTCTGCTATTTTATGTTTACGACAAGCCAGTGTCATACCACTGACACGCTATTGAGATGCCATCGAGTGGCCAGTGGCATCGGTATAAATATCGGTAGTTGAAAATATATTACGTTTTTTGATGAAATGATTTTTTTATTTTTTATTATAATAAATTATTAAAATAAAAAAGAAAAAAGTAAAAAAATATTAAAATTAATAAATAATTTCCTTATTATTTGAAAATATATTACGTTTTTTGAGGAAATGATTTATTTATTTTTATTATAATAAATTATTAAAAAGAAATAAATATATTAAAATAAGTTATGAAAAATTAAAATATAAAAATTATAAAAAATAGAAATAAATAAATTATTAACATAAAAAAATAAAAATAATATATAATAAATAATATATTTATACTAGCGGACCCGACAGACGTTGTCCTGTCAAATTTGACACTGCGATGGTAGCGCCGTCTGTCTGATCCAATGTAAAACATTCCAAAATCAACAACTACTAATAAATTAAAAATTAATTAAAAAAACATTGTCCAGCGGACAAAATTGTGAATCTAAACCATTCCCAGATCCCCTTGAACACAAACAAAAAATTTCATCAAAATCGGTCCAGTCGTTTGAGAGAAGTTCAGTGACATACACACTCACAGAAGAATTATATATATAAAGATTTTCAAATTATAAGGAAATGATTTGTTTATTTAAATTGATTTTAATTTTATTTTTTTTAATTCATATTTTTTTTAATTCTTTTTTTTATAATTTTATTTTTTTAATAATTTATTTATTTATTTTAATTATTTATTTATTTATTTTTTTATAATTTTTATATTTTATTCTTTAATAATTTATTTTAATTTATTTATTTCTTTTTTTATAATTTTTATATTTTATTCTTTAATAATTTATTTTAATTTATTTATTTGTTTTTTTTTAATAAGTTATTTTAATTTATTTATTTCTTTTTTTTTAATAAGTTATTTTAATTTATTTATTTCTTTTAATAATTTATTAAAAACAAAGAAATCATTGCCTCAAAAAACGTAATATATTTTCAACTACCGATATTTATACCGATGCCAATGGCCACTCGATGGCATCTCAATAGCGTGTCAGTGGTATGACACTGGCTTGGCGTAATAGCAGAATTGAGGCCCTGATTGAAGGCCTTTGCTATGTCTAAACTGAGCACACACACCTCCTTTGATCTTGCTCGCCGGTGCCACCATTTAGTTAGCTATATTATTATGAGAAGATAAGCAGCTGAAAGACCTCAACAGAAACCGTAATTTTGTATTTGTTTTTTTTTATTTCATTATTGTGTTTCTTTATAGTAAACGTTTTGGGTTTATACCATACAATGTTTGCTAATGTAACTTGTGATGATGTAACTAAGCACTTCACTACATTCATAAGGCAAACTATAGTTAAACCGCCGTAAGCTTGGCCCTCCTGATGGTTTGGGGGACGCGGGGCGGGGGTGCATTCAACCAATAAGCTAGTGCGTCGCTGTCCGCCGGCAGTGACTGACGTGAAAGCATGGCTGTACGTGTTATTTTTATTAAGACTGCTACACACGGTATTATTTTGCAACATGGATAATCTGCCGACTCTGCGTCACAAAAAGATTTAAAAACTTGAAGTTCGGCTTTCAGAGGTTCTACTGTTAAAGTTCTAATAAAGAATATTTATTATTTTACTTAATTTTTAAATTGTATCTGAATATAATTTACATGATGAAGATAAGGTGATTTTATTAAAATTATTTTACAGTATTAAATTTTACAATTAATCATAAAAACTTACAATACACTGACATGATAATACATGGAAATAAATTCGATTTTTATTACATCGTGTGTAAATTAAATCTCAAACAAATAAATCTGAAGATATCGAGTTAGTACATCGTGTCATGTATAGCCGAGCGCATCATCCGCCCCGCGTCCCGCAAACCATCAGGAGGGCCAAGCTTACGGCGGTTTAACTATAGTTGCTCTCTCAAAAGTACTTGTGCTCCCAGCCTTAACATTCCTTTAGTGTTCTATCCTTAGAATAGTAATGATAAATTGCAATATTTCTAAATATTAAGTAGCAATATGGTTCACAAATAACTGTTTTTACATGAAAATGCATAAACATATTCACATTATTTGGTATGTATATCAGTGCAAATAATTTAAGAATGTTTATACTTTAATAAACAAGAGTGGACATCTGAAAACTTAGCTCAGACTGATCTAACTGAAGTTGTAGCACTATTTAAGAATTAAAAGTAATATTGCAATATCTTATTCGAAAACCAGACAGCTCCATTTTGTGTTATAATAAATAGATACAGTAGAAACCGAATATAACGACATTGTTTATAACGACAAATCGGCTATTACGACCGAATGGCAAGGTCCCAGCTGAATTCCTATATGTACAATCAATTAAGTATCATATCGCCTGTAACAACATTGGATACAGTGACATATCACTTAAAATTACGAAACTATTGATATTTATTGGCTATAATGACCTTGTTTTGCTTGTTCCAGCAAAACAAAACAATATAATAATACCCAAAAAATAAACAATGTATGTTTTTTTTTTAAATTTATTCTAATCTTTGAAGGAATATTTTGACTTATTATTAGCTGTGTACTTTCTCTCACCCCATCCGAACCTTTTGCACGCATACATATTTAGTGCAATAGTTGACAGTGTGCATGAATTATTTGAAAATTAATGCTGAGGATCCCTCATTCATTCCTACACGACTTCTTTAACCAACTGGCTCCTCCATATTATGATTGCTTCCCTCCTTTCTATCCTTTTCTTTCGAGATTCCTCTCAAAATAATATGGATGATCTCTTTTCTTTTACAGAACTATCCTATGCTCTAGATAATCTACATGATTCCTCTCCTGGTATCTTCTACTCTTTATTCGTAAATACCCCAATTCTTGCAAAATTTTCTTCCTCAGGATCCTCAATGCCATCTTTTATTCCAGTCAAATACATGACTCTTGGAAGACTCAAATTGTTATATCTGTTCTGAAACCTGGTAGAGATTCTTAAGATTAGTCTTCCTATCGCCCTATTGCGCTTTCCTGAGTGCTAGCTAAAATAATGGAAACGTTAATTAAATTTAGACTTGAATGGATTCTGGAACCCATGGAATTATCAGCCAAAAACCAGTAAATCTTTAGAAAGGGTTTAAGCACTTTAGATAGCCTCAGCATCCTTACCTCGGAAATTCGCCTTGCTTTTTCTAGTAACGAGAATGTAATCGGTGTTTTTCTGCAGACTATGACAGGCAGAAAATGCTAAATCTGAGTATTCCAACGAGGATGGTTCACGCCATCCGGAATATGCTCATGTGTCGTCCTACTTCTATTCGTCATCAGGGTTCCTTTCTCAATCCCCTTCTAATTTGAAAGGACCTTTCGCAAGTTCAGTGCTTAGTCCCATCCTTTATCATCATCTTCCTTCTCTACTGCCACTTCCCGTTTAAATTCCGCTCTTTATTACTTAAACGTCTTGGCTATTAGACCACAATCTTTGTCTATCTGTGTCTAAATGGTGTGTACTCGCAAACGTAATATTCCTGATATTAACCTCTCTGTCGCAGGTGAATTAATTTCAATAAAAGATAACATAGAGTTTTGAAAGGGATGTAAACGTTATGCGGGCCCTATCTGGGGTCCGTTGGGGCTCTCACCGCTTTTGCCAAATGTTTTATCCAATGCTATAGTTCGCAGTCAATTTGATTACAGTTTTTTCCTTATAGAACCATGCAGTAAATTTTTTTTTTTTTTTTTTTTTTTTTTATTCTATTCTTCTTTTGTTTATAAAAACAACTCCCGCAAATTGCTCTTTCTAAGCTGCAGCTGATCCAGTCTAAGTGCCTTCGAATCATAATTGGTGCTATGAAATGCTCTCCAGTCAACACTCTCCAAGTAGAATGCTTAGAACCTTCTCTTCATCTTTGTCGCCAATTCCTAGCTGACAGATACTTCTTTAATGCAGTCTAAATTAATTCCCATCCCATTCTTCTAATTTTCTTTAACTTTCTAGTCTGGCCTCTACCTCGTTATACTGGAGACACAAGTCCCTCCCTTTGCTTCTAAACTGATCCTATCCTCCAATTTTCTTTATATCCTCTTTTTGAGCTGGACTACCACTGTTTAACTTTCCTACCTAAAATCTTCCTTGCCTTTGGTCTCAGTAAACATTCTCCAGCAGCCAACCAAAAACTTCTCCACATCATAGCGGAGGACTGGTCTGATTGAGTTACGCTTTATATGCATGCATCAAAACTTTCTCCTGATGCATTTTTGGGTTCTTCAGTCTGGACCCCTAAATTTAAAATTATACTAAACTATAAATGCTCTTCCTATAACTCTATCTTTACAGGAGAATCTATAGTCCTCTCGGAAGCAGCCTCCAATGTGGAATCTCATAAGCTTGACAAGGCCCTTATTTTTTCAAACTCCTTGAGCTGCCTAAAAGATCTTTCAAAAAACCCATTTAAAGCTTGCAATTATTTCCCTATAATTCATAGAATTAAAGAGTTTCTTCTCAGATGCCTAATGTCTGGTATTGAAGTAATGAAACTGAAGACTCCTACGCCAAAGTAGCAGCACAAACTGGATGTGCATCCCACAAATTCTGTTTCGCTCGAGATCTACGTTTGCTAACAAAACTGTCATTAACCGATTCCTGGAATAATACATGGCAAAACAGAAGAATGATCAAGGGTAAATTTTCAAATGTCCCGCCCCGTTAATTTAGCTTATCTCTTAAGTTCATACCCTGTTTATCAAGGTCCTTTACAAGTTCATTGGCATTAACAAAATAAATTTATAATGTTTCCTGATACTTTGACATCCATACTACTGTAAGTTTTTCAGATTTAACATTATTATTTCCTTTGTTCAACATTTTATTTTATTTGTTCCAAGAAATAACCTAAACCCATACTGCATAGATATTTAAAAAATTCTAAACGTACCTATATGACAATCTAATATGACTACATGTGTATATTGCTTATAAGAACTATCGGACATCACATCCCAACTTACATGGTCCCTTCAATGTCGTTACGTCCGGTTTCAACTGTATGGCCAAAAAGCACTGTAGTAATATAATAAAGTGACTGTTAGTCGTGAATACTGGTAATGGTGGTAATACAGTATTATGTGCCAATGGATTTTTGATAAGTCATTGTCTAGAAAAAACATTATATAAATTTAAGAGTTTATAAAAAATAACGAGTTAGTAATAGTATATGACACTGTAACATTTCAGCATTTACCTTTACTCCTTTGATTCCTGGCATCACATCAGGAGGGATGCCTTTATCCAGAACTTTTCTATGAATTTTCTGCATGCAGAGTGGCTCCTTACTTGACTGACTGCTTGCTTTTTCTTCCAACGTCTCCTACAGTAGTGATGACATTGATAATGTATTAATGTGTTATAAATAGTCTAACTAACTTTATAAGAAAAATATTACGAACCTGTGGTCCACTTTTCATAGCTAAAATGTCATCCATTTTAGATCCAACAAGCATCACCTTTCCTCCTTTTACAACACCAGCTTGTCTGAGTGTCATGCTGTCGCGGGCCATGCCCTTAATGATTAATTTTTGCGCCAATTGCGGCACTCCGCATATTCTCTCCAGGTGTGATTTTAGGTCTAGCACAGTGGCGTCATAGGCAAACGTAATGTCATGTTTTGCTTTATTAAAAACTATAGTAAATTCGATCTGTTCCGGAATTTCACAGAGCTCCGTGTCTTCTGTGGTGTCAGATGTGCAAGCCGCACTCTCTGCGGGAGCTTCTATGTGCGTCTTTTCATTCTCTGAATTTGATTTGGTTTCTACAACAGTTTTTGTTGCCCCATTGGCAAGTAAATTAGGATCTCGATTTTCTGTTGAATCTCCCTTCTCTGAAGCTGAAGATAATCAAAACGTGAGTTAGCAAAATTTCTAGAACAAAAGGTCTCGTTGTGCTGGTCAACAAGGACTGCCAATATTATGTTAATTAACTAACTTGAATGAAAACTTACCAATATATTCCATAGTTTTGATTTAATTGTGATTTTGAACTAATATGATAATAAAAAACACTACTCTATCGTAGTTGTTTTGAAAAAATAATTAAAATACAGCCGACTGGCTGACGTGAAGCAACAAATTTTTCGCACAGATAAAATAAATCCAATATATTTATTGCATTACGTTCGGAAACAAATAAAACATTACGTTGGAACGAAGTTCCTTATCGCGCGTTACACGCTCTGAGCGGATGGGAGCGAGAGCGAGACCGAAAAATGAGTATGCCGTTTTGTATTTGATGCTACTTTTTGTCATCATAGAGGAAATAGATGAATAGAGCATGCAAGAGAAGTTTCCTCGTGTCTCACGGTGCGAGAGAGATCGTTGCACGCGAAGGCCCTCTTTATCTCTTTCTGAATGCCCGTATAGCGGCCATTAAGAAAGAGATAAAGATTGCCTCCGCCTGTAGTAAGAGAGATAGAGAGGGCCTCTGCATGCAGCGATCTCTCTCGCACCATCGGACACCTAAAAGCATTGGGTTAGGTGGGATTGGCGTACTCTATTCTTATATTTTCTCTATATTTGTCATAAAGGGGGTTTTTGACACTTACCAGGTCTACGTCAATTAGCCATTTCCAGTTGTAATTATTGCCACTATTATTTAAGAGCTGTCTTAAAATTTTACAAAATCAGATATTTAAGACGGGGTTACGTCACGTTGTTGTGGAACTGTTGCCTCTGTAACTTTTTTATTATTATTTATTTGTTTTACCTTAAAATTATGATAGTGCGGAATTTTGTTGATAGAATAGAATATAATGTTTTTAAACTTAATATAATGTTTTTAAAAACTAAATACGTCATCTAGCATACACATGTCACCATAAGTTAATCTACTCAATTTGGGCAACATTTTGATTGTTTGATTTAATTGAAATCGTGTCTGTTAACCCTTACTACTTTTATAGCCTAACCTGAGCCAGTCCTATAACTATATTATATTTCTATTCTTTATAAATCTGTTCCTAGATGTGGTAAAACCAATTTCAGCTTTTCATTTTTTGAGTCATAGGTCATGGGTTCCATTCGAGTTAAGGTTCAAAATATTTAATAAAGAATTTTACCTTTATCTACGCAATTTAAACAAAATTAATATAATGATCTATTGTAACAACTGTCTTACATTTTCAAAAAGCTAAAGTTGTTGAAGTTTTATAGTTTTTCAAATTAAGAATGCCAAATGCGACTGTTTTATGATAAAGTCACGGTTTAAAAATAATAGACTTCTTATTTAATACACTTTGTATATTTATATTTGGATGCACATCTAATCCACAAATGCAGACTCAGCAATATCACTTGAGTTCCGAAAACATACTTTTCAATACCGTTCAATATTTATTTTATGATCTAAAAAAATGAAATCTAATTCAAAGCTTTTTTAAGATTATTATTGTCATATTAATAATCTTTTTGAATTGAATTGGATTTTTTTTAGTTTTCTTTATTAAAAAAAAGAATCGAGCTCTATGACAAACATGTTCCGTTTCCATAGCGGCCAATTTACAAACAGTATAATTGAGGTAAATGTCCTAAAATTATTGTATGTTGGTTTTTGTGTCATAAAATGAGTTTTAATGTTGACGACCCTTTAGCTGGAATTTTAAGTGACGGTAGTGATGACAGTTTTTTTGATGATGATATATTGGGTAAGAAGAAATCTACAAAAAAGAAAAGTACACCTACGGCGGAAAAGAAAAATGCGCTATTTGATTTAGGTGATATCGATAAACCGAAACCTGTTGCTGGCAATTTAGATAAGAAAGAAGCGTTATTCAATATTGATTCTAAAAAATCTCCAACACCATTTAAGCGTATTGATTCATCAAGGGAATCTATAAAAGTTTCTCAAGCAGAACCCAAAGCTAAGGCAGGGGTTGATAAATTGGATGTAAGTAAATCACCAGCAGCAAAGCCTAAACTTAGTGCGAGTACAGATAAAATAGATATACTAAGCGATCTTATTGAACCAAAAAAAGACACAAGTAAACCAATAGAAAAAGGGAAGAGTTCGCAATCCTTACTTGACGATATTTTGGGAAGTTCTACCACAAAAGCAGGAAGTTCTAGTCAAGTGTCGAGACCAGCTACTGCAGTAAAAAGTCAAGAATTCGACATTGATTCTATTTTAGGTAAAGGTGATTCTAAAACTACGACTTCGCATAAGAGTTTACCACAAAAACAAACTCTTAAAGAGATAAACGAAAAAAAGGAAGATAATCCTCCAAGGAAAACTAAAAGTAGCGAAGATTGGTTAGGTATATTTCAAAGTAAAGAGGAGGAAAATGATTTCGAAGATGACGCTGGTATGCCATCATGGTTGGTTGGAAGCGATGCGAAGAAAAAGAAGGCCGAAGAAAAGAAATCTGTCCCCAAACTAGAACTGATTAAAGATGTACCTAAGAAAGTAACCGAAACAAACGTGCAAAAAGAAGAAACGGCGACTGTGGAAGTGAAAGCTGATATGGAGCCTAGTGTTGAATATTTGCCAAAGCCATTACCGCATACTTCTTTACATGGCAGTAACGAAGATATCACTGCTGAAGGAGCAGCTTTATATATGCAACAACAGGAATCACAGATAATGATGGCATTGCAGTTGAAGGCACAAGAAGAGAAGCTTGTAGCACTGCAAAGTAAGTTTACCTGCTTTTAAACACTATCGTTCCATGATGTATAATTATTGGTTATTTATGATTACGTAATAGGTATTGTATACCTTTAAATTGCTAAACGTTTCGTCTAGTGTTCGATGAGGTAGGTTTTGTTTGTTTTTGAAGTTAATTGCACATTTATCGCTATTTTTATACACCTGCTCTTATACATTAGACCTATGTGGTACTCGGACGTTTGATTTGCATGAGTGTGGAAATATATTTCAGATAAGTTGTACATAGTGTCCCTGAGATAATTAGAAAAAAGATCAGAGCAGGAAAGTCTCTAGACAACACAACGCAATTAGTAGGTCAATTCAGGGGATGAAATTATAGCTAGCGAATTACTTCATGAAATACGATGAAGCGATTTGTCCTTAGTTTGAGGTTTACATATAAGAAGTTAAATGGTCTTATAATCAAACCATTTTAAACGTTGAACATGATACACACTCGTTGGATTTACTTGGATACTGGAATCTAATAATAGCAAGATCTGTTTTCCATAGCACGCCAGAAGGAAAGTCAACGAGTGCAGCGCGAAGCCGCTCAAGCACAACATGCGCAGTTAGATGCAATGTTGCGTCGCCAGGCTGAGAACAGACAACAAATGCAGACCATCATTGCTGCCCATCAGGAGAGGATCACGCAGAGAATAAAGGTCTGTAAAACTCATTCCCTCAAATTCCCTCTTTTCCGAAAGATCTTTTTCCATTTTTATTTATCTAAACACTTAATTTCATGTTTACATTTCATATTTATTTGAATGGAATACTGATTTATCAATTTATAGATGCGCTTATATTAGCATAACATGAGTTTCAATAGTAGTTATTGTTTAGGCTTTATTAGGCACGGAAAACGCTGAGAACGAAGATACAAGTTATCCTAATGAAGATTTAGAATCTGGAGATCGGAAGGAAACTCCACATTCTCGGGAAAAGAAGCAACTATTGCAACTAGTGCAATCATTACAAGAAAACCATGATAAGGAAATAGATTTGATGGAAACATCTTATAGGTAAAGCATGTTGTTCATAAAATACTATACTATGCAGGTAACTACTTGGGTAGGTAGGTTAGGTAAGTAATGTCATCATTTTTTTCGTTGTCTGCTAAAGTTTTTTTTATTAAAAAGACAACTCCCTAGCAATCAAATAGTATGTAAAATGCTAGCAGCAAAATATTTGATTCCAGCAATACTTTTTATCTTCTTTAGAAATACAACTCCCGCATTAGGAATATATCCTGTGTCGCGGGGGACTTTACAAACATACATGAAACGGACACAAAGAACACCCAGACTCAGAACAACAATTTGTGGATCTCACATAGTGTCGTCCCAGGTGGGGATTGGACCCACACCCACCACACTCGGTCACCATCGGGCACTCAGCATAGTAGTAAGCGGCGTGGCTACCGCTTAAACCACTACAGCATCCATGCAGTCTGGCGCACACACGCAAAATTCCTGAAGGTCGCGCTTTGATTCTCATCGCTACATAATTTCCACAGTTCCGCTCGCGTTTTGGCGACTACTCATCTTCTAAATACTGTGTGTGATGTAAAATAATAAAACATAAAATTCGGATACTATTGTTAGGTCTAGAAATTAGTACCATAAAAAAACAACTTTGCAATTTTACTACTCATAGGTAGGTATAGTGTTTGTACAGTTAAGTATGATTTTGAATAAGTCCTTTGTAATATTAACGAAGACATAACTTTTTAGAAGACAATTAGCCTTTCTAGAAGTATCGCTTACTCAATCAGAAGCACGTATGAAAGAAGAAACCGATAAGCTAGAAAGATTTTACACAGAAAAAATGAACTGGATGGAAGAACATCATCTGCTCTACAGAAAGTTGTGTGAAGACAATCTGACTGCTCTCACGGACAGGCACAAAGCGGAAAGTGAAATGCTGAGACACCAGCATTTAGATAATGTTAAGGTGCTACAAGAACATCACGCTGCACTTATGGAAAATATAAAGTAAGTGAAAGAAATAGTTCGTAGCATTGGATGCAACAACACAGGATTCAATAACAGGATTTTGCCCTCGTATCTTATCGTTTAATAACTTTATATATATAATAAATATATTTTATGTTACACATAATGTTGCTATTATTAATTTCTCTAATGAAATCGTACAGTTATGAACAGCAAGAACTGTTAATGCTTTTATACTATCTATATTTAATTCGGGGTTTTAAAATAATGACCGGTTTCTAAAGTTTGTAATGGGCGTGTGTTTGTTGACCCCTTCCTTCAAGTTTTCTTTATGATTCGAATTAAATGATATCCTTTCTTCTTTTGTACTATTAAAGTACAATTAATTTCTTGAAATCAGAAGAGAGAGTATTTTATTTATATTTGTAGGAATGCCGTTAAACACGAACAAGTACTTATTCAAGATTCTGCCAGCTTTTCATCAGACTTGACACGGTTGGTATCAGACGTTAAGGAAAACAAGGTTCACTGTCAAGAACTTGTGGAGAAGGTTCAAGCGCTTGTAGAAAACTCTGAGAGAAAGACTGATAATAGTATACAATTGAGAGAAACGCAAATAAACGGTAATTACCTAACTTTTGTTTGTAAAATCTATTCCAAAATTGTTTGAAATAAAATAGAAAACATGGATATGAGAGATCTACAAAAAAATTAATTAATACTGGTTTCGCGAATATTTCTTTTCATTGCAGATTTGATTCACCAGCTGACAAAGGAACGTGATAACTTTGAGACTGAGAAATCAGAAAATAGAGAGACTATCAAAATGTTAGAAGCTAGATTGAAACAAATGACCACGGTAAGTATGAAAAAAAATGTTATTGGTCAAAATACAATTTACATTTAATAAAAGCTTTGTAATTTATATAGGTGGTCGAAGAAGAATCGAATACCTTAAAACAGAAGAGAATGGAATTTGAGTTTGAAAAAGCTACGTTCAATAAACAGACCGAATTTGCTAAGAATGTACTCAAGAAACAAGATGAAGAAATAAAGGTATGATTCTGTTGAAATTAGCTAGGGGTAAGTTTTAGTTACCGCAAGGTACCATATGGTTAAAGGGTAACCAGACTATAAGCTAGTATGAATTATTTAACAAATAAATTCATAAATGAAAAAAAGAACTATTTTGGCCGAATCTCCGGGTTACATGCCCAAGATTTTTACTTTTACAGGGAAGATTTTTGTTCCGGCTCGAGCAATATTTCTAACTTATGATAAAATCTTTAGATGCTGAGAGAAGATATCCAGAAAGAATACCAAGAAAAGATTTCGAAGGTTGATGAACAGAACATGAAAATAGTAAAAGAAAGTGCAGCACTCGCGAGGGAGAGGTCTTCAGTGCAAAGTTTGAAACAGGAGCTTGAGGTAAGATTAGACAAAATTGATTTTAAATAAATCTTAAGCAAGAAGGATTGAAAATAATTGGATTTATTCTTTAGAAAATGAAAGCAGAACTTCAGGCCCAACTAGAAGAAATTACAGAAGAAAGGTCGAAACTAAACATTGAAAAACAACAGCTTCACATGGAGGAACAGAGAATTCTGGCTAAGTAAGTTCGTCAGTTTTTGCCGCTGTCTGTGTAATTTTTTTCTATTTAGGATGATCAAAACAGTTTTAATAATTTCGAATAAATGTTTGCAAAATATAATATTGACAATTGCAGAAGCCGTGATTTGGACCTACTTGCTAAGACAGCCATTGAGAAGCAAACACAAGCGGAAAAGAAATATTCGGAAGCAGAGTTTATTCAAAGGAAATACGAAGAAAGAATTCGTAGGATACAGGAACATGTTGTATCCTTGAACGCCAGAGAAAAACAGATCGCTAGAGAGAAGGTGACACTATCTAGGGAGAGGTTGACTTTGCATAATGAGAGGAAACAAATTGAGGCTAGGCAGCAATGCTCTCTGTGTAAATCTAGCCAACATATGTCCCCATATTATGAGCCCTCTTACGCATTACCAGAGACATTTATAAACGCAGCTGTTACGAAAGAGTATAAAAGTTCTGAAATGACGACTGCTATGAATGCCATAGAAAAAGAAATGGCACATTTAATGGGACGGAATCTTAGTTTGAGACATAGTGCTGGAATCGGAGATTTGACACTTCATGGGACTAGATTCGAGAGTGAAGGTAGACACGAAGTACCAATGCAGGCGGAGGCTACACAGGTTGAATCTGTGTCTTTCAAAGTAAGTGTGTTGTTATAAGTGGATAATAGTTTTTATTGTGTTACAAAATTGTTACCTGAAATATTACTGTACTTTATAGTGCCACACTGTTTTTAATAAGGTTAAAAGTAGATTTGTAACGAATCTGCATTTCATTACCACGATTGACATAATTTTTTCTTTAATCTTAAATTCGTATGGTCCCAGACCGTGGCGGATTAACCCTAAGGCAAAGTAGGCACGTGCCTTGTCCTAAAAAGGGCCGCTCGCGCAGTTTATTAAAAAGAAAAAATATATGCCTAAGATAAATAGAACTTATGCACATACTTTTAACAATTCCTTATTTCTATAGACAAGTTTAAGGTTGACATCTAGGCTTTATATTACGTAATTGTGAACTTCCATTTTTTTATACCTACGAAGATTGAGGCTAGTGTGTGCATACAAAAATGCAGTTGCTACAACTGCAGCTGTAGTTGATTAATAGACCAGAGTTGTCTAGTCAATGCCACTATACGGTGCAACGGTGGTAATGAATGGCTTGCCGAGCCACGATGACTCGTTGGTCGTCCCGGCTGGAGGCTCAACGCACTCACTTTGGCGCCGTGGAGGCCGGTCCAGCCTGTCATCGTCTAGTAGGCAGGGTAGCAGCACGGGATCCTTTCCTTCCGAACGACGCAGGTCTTTTCTGGGCACGTCTGCTTAGGGAACCTCGATGCGGTATCTGGGGATCGTACTGTGTCGGGATAGAGGATCTCGAGAAATCGAGGACCAAAAATCCCAACTTTGCCGGGTCCTCATGGAGGAGTGGAGGGAAAGACTTGGGTAACAAAGTGCAGCGCCACCACTGCGGTGACTAGAGTGAGGACACAACGCTCCACACTCTGCTAGAATCCCCGACGTGCCGTGGATGAAGCAGGGGCGTGCATCCATCTGTCACCAAAAAATAAGAAAGGCCCGGAATAAAAGCTGTTATTGGAAATTCTCCTATTTCAGGCGCAGTGTGGTTTTAGTCGGTTTGATTCCGATACACCGGCGCACCGCAAACTTCGGTGAGGTGACAACCTAAAGGGGTTTCCACACGTAAAAAAAAAAAGTTGTAGAAAAGATATGACAACTAAAATTGGAGTAATCACTATCAAACTATTAGTAACTTCAACTAGTAGCTATATAGCGACATAGTCATAATTGTGGCTAAGCTCCGTAAATAAACATAAAAAACTAGTAGCTATTAATAATATAGTATGGACGCTAGAGAGGCGCAAAGCGGAGGATTGAGGGGGGCGCCGATGAGATGCTTGCCTAGGGCGCTCTTGATACTTAATCCGCCTCTGGTCCCAAAAATCGATGTTTTGTATAAATTTGCACATTCTGTAACGTCTTCTGCTTATTTTTTAGGAATATATGGATCCGAAATTTATGATGCTTCGTTTGGATGTACAAAAGGTTTTAAATAACTTAGATCAGAGTAAGAAAGAAAACGCGGATATGTTGTTAGAGGAGAATAGCGATTGAGTACAAATAAATTAAGAAATAATAAAAGACTGAATATGTATTAATTGGTTTAATTTACTTTGATGACTGTTATAGCACATCTTCGGTTATAAGATTTATGAACAGTGTTATCAAAATGTACACAAATGCCTACATAGCTACACGCTAACTTATAAATATCTCATTGTAAAAATATAGGTACATGATCTTTCTTAAATGGTATTTATTGTTTTAGGTACTAGGGTATGCAGTTACAGGCGTACATTTATGAATACGTTTCTCTTAATAATGGCTCCAATTTATTTTAAAGATTATTCAGACTTGACTTCCAATAAAGCATTTTGTAAAAGTATGTCACAAGAATCTCTTACGATTTCCACAACTTGCAAAATTACGAGTTATTGGAAATCATTTCCAAATAGTGTAAAATTTATCGCATATTACATACAATTAAATAAGTATCCTACATATTATATAACTACGCACCCAAGTTTAACGCTCGCACAGTCTTTCGTAAGATTTGCTTTAAGTAGATACAGTAAAATATCTTTATGGACGGCCTGGCCTTGTCGATATAATATAATTTCATTTAAATTCTCTTATTCAACAGATCTTTATAAACCCAAAATAAATTATAGATTTATCTTATAATAAACTGAAATAATTGAATGTAGGTAGTATACACCTTTTAGATGATAGTAAGGAGATACATCACTACTAAGCCTTAAGAATGATTTAAGTTATACGCTATACACAATATTTACAAAAACACTACTTCTATGCACGTTCCTCATCTCTGTTTAAAACTATTCCTATAGCATACTGCGTTTCGCACTTTTAATGTGCGATTAAAGAGATGGCACCACATTGCCGCATCGTTTCATTAACTCTCTCTCTGTCTCTTTCTAGTTAGACACTTCTCTACTACTCATTTCTCTTGCAGTATGCTTAGAAAGTAAAATTTATTAAATGGGTTACAATTTCTTCTCTAGGATTAGGTAATAAATCTATTTCCAAATACAAGAAGACTTTATCGCTTTACAATCAAAAAGCCTTTAACGATAATTTCATTGATTATCTTATCACAGTAATAATATCATTTAACATCGAAAAATATAATTTTATATGTTGATAATAATATAAATATATTGTTGAAACATGTCCAAATAAATTGAAAATTTAATGAAAACAATAACGAGATAATTGAAATGATCAGAAATAGATAATACAGATATTTTAGTAATGTGTTATGATCTGGTGTCTCCTGGTTGCTTCTGGTATTTAACTTCAAGTAATTGTGGGTAGTTTTCAACAATCGATAGCAGGATTCCGTCGATATAATTCCTTAACTGAACATTGACATCCTGTTGTTCTTTTAGCGCTTTCTGTAACTGTAATAATGTTTAAATTAGAATAAACTGTTTACACTCTCGATTAGTGGAGGAAGAAACAAAGAGGAGACGTATTTGTTAACATTTCTGCAATTTCATTAAAAGTAGCTTTCAAGTAGGCTGTTCAAAATATTGTTCAAATAGCAGAGCTCTCAAGTTAACAGTAGTGTCTGATTAGTTCGAGTTTCTTTGAGTCGTTTTTTTTTTTTGTAATTTATATATTTTTTTACTGAATCTTCAAATGGTATTTAATATAAGCTTTACATTCAAATTAAACCGATAATGAAACCGAAACGCAATCCATTATTTTAGTAACTGAAATTTTGTCCAAAACTATTTATTACACTCGTATATACTATTGTGCGTGTGTGTGTATACATTTTTGGTTTGCTTTTGCAAATTTTGTAAGTTTTTACGTTAAGAGTTTCGTATTTAAAAGTCTATTTACTTCCGGTAGAGCTTTATAATAATCTCCTCTTTGTTGATTCTCTAAGTAACACATATAGAACATTTTCGTTCAGGGATCACATCCAAGCTTTTTGTGAGAGGCCGGTGTAGTGCGTGCCTTATTTCTAGTATCATATATTTATTTGCCTATTATATAGTCTGTAGTAGGTAGTAGTATTATATTGTTAAGTATGAGTGCAAGCTATCTTATAAAGTATGAAAAAGGTACATTTTAGTCCATGTCAGTTAAAAGCATGCAATTGTTAGCGCTTTTTCCCAAGATTTAATAAGTATATAATACAAGGGAAAAGCAATGAAAAGTGTTAGTTCCTGTTAAATATCGACAAATATGGCTTTGTCTCTTTTTTCAAGCGTGTAAGGTAGATAGTGATATCTCTTCATCTCCTCACACGTGTGCAGTTACCAGTTCACGAATATACAGTTAAGACCCTTCCAATAGTATATAGCATCTATGGTTTATCCTATAGAATACAGTCATGCACAGTTAGTAAAAATATCGTACCTTTTCCATCTCTATGCTGAGATTTGATTGTGTTTCGTTACCATCGAGCTGCAAAAATGCATACATGACAATATAGGCAAACTGCTTGGCAAATAACTGCATCAAGTAAGTTCTTGTTTAATATAAGCAAAGCGTCGCAAAAATATAAATCGATATGAGGGTACTCAGAGTATAAAACGTGTAGAGATAATACGTCGTTGTACGAGCGTGGTCTATGAATTCTTGTGAAAGAATCCTTTAGTCTGTTAATTTTTTTAAATAAAGCGGTGAGATAATAGCTTTAACCTAGACGGCTTACAGTACGAGTGATACTTAAAACGAGCATAAGCTATACTTAACTAATTGTTTTTGTAATTACTTTGTGGATAATTTTTCTGAACACTTTTTATACTCTAGAAGCAAATTTCTAGTAGTTAAATAATTGAAAACTGAGGATGATTTCTAAATTATTTGATATTAAAATGAAGGCAAGCATAATAACCAATTTTTTTAGGTAAACAAGATCTTATGAAAACCATTTTAGAAGACAAAATAGGTACTACATTTCCAAGTGTGTTTTTATCGACTTAATAATTATCGTCCCAAATGACATGTTTTGTTAGTCGAAATGAGAATATCATCAATGAGGTCACGACCTAAATAATGACATGATACGAATTTAAGGTTTTATGTAAACAGTCTGTTTAATTTATTAAGTGGTTGGTATCTGCAGATGCAGATATCTAAAAGTCGGAAAGGTTAGATATATAATTGCTTTATAATTAAAAAGTAATAATATTATAGCGAAACTTTTAAAATGTGCTGAGTGCAACTAAAGCCTGTTGTACCTTTGAAAGCATTCAACTTTTGACTTGACTTTTGAATGGTGATAAATTTTATAATACTTAATTATTTAATTAGCTAAAAAGTTAGAAACTTTGTCTTCTAAACAAATAGGGAATGTGTAATATGTATCATATTTTTTTAAATAGGTACTGAGTAACGTAGAACATAATAGTTTTCTTGTTAACCTTTGTAGCTAAGCTGAAAGCTTGTGTTAATAATGGGTTTACATCTTTGAATGGCTTTGAATGTTTAGTCTGATGCCTTAACCAGTATGCTGATGCAGCTTCTGTGTGCAATAAATGTACGGGAAAGCCTGTTTTCCCTTTTTATGCTTACTACTTCAACTTGCAAATATATAGTAATAATGATTCTAGTGCTAAATATGCACGATATAGTGAAGGTGATGAGGCTATGATTACTGTGTACTTACTTCGTCGTCACTCATCTGTGAAAGCTCGTGCGCGAGCGAGTTGGTCGCCACTAGAGGGCCGCTGACTCCGTCCAGCAGGCTACGGCCCTCCTCCACGCCACGCGTTAATATCTGCGCCTGAAGCTCCTCTTGTGCTTCTGAGAGTGCTGGAACAACAAATTAGTCTATTATTACAACTCCTATTTGGCATCGGTGCAAAAACAAAGCATTAAATGATGATATTCTTGTTTACAAGTTGCTATATCTGTATAAGGATAATTAACAGTGTTAGGGTACGACTATTAAAACGATTTATTGTATTTTCCATTATCAGCTATTGAAAAACAAACATTATTGTTTACGTTCAATTAGAAGGGCAATACAATCAGGTATTTTTAATAGTAAGGATCGATCGGTGACAAGAAATAGAATAGGAATATTGGTTTAAACAGAAGAGATAAATTGTTATCAATTGAAATTTGGATCGAACCTGTAAAGCTGAATACTTTTTAGAACATTACAATCTTATGAAGAACCATTTTTTTTTGTAAATTCCGTCATTTAGGAATTAAATGTCGTCAAATCTCAACTTGTGAAATATTTTTTTCAAAGAAGACGAGCGACGACAGAAAGAAGGTATAGGTTTAAAACAATCCGAAATAATTTCATTTTCAATTTGTATATGCGTATAGTAAAGAGGGTTATTTAAAGAGAATGGAAAGTCTACCCAATCTTAAATAGGAACGTCGTATTATTATCGACCGCAAAAACCTTCCAACGAGAATGTAATAAGGTGTGTGCGCTTCACCTCACATCTGTTTATTTTTTTTATACCAAGCAGTAAAAGAGGATCTGAGGATGTGATCTTCATTAATTGAGTGAAACTACTTCTATATAGGTGAAGTCTATAGTTGTATAGATAAAGTATATAGTTATAAGATATTACTCAGGACACAAAAAGCTACCTACTTGTTAATAGATAATTGTAGACTATTTGTTAGTATTCAACAAGGACTTTCTTCACAGTCGCTATTCTGTTATTTTATTTCAACATGTTGTCACCACTAGAGATGTGTGAAAAAATAATAACGAGGACGCAGATATACTTGACATTATCTGTACATATTGATTATACAGTACTATCGTATCATCAATCATTTACGATTTTAATACATTTTTTTAGATATTGTGAAGTAATTTACTCTGTGGCTAGCCTTGACTGCTGCCTTGAGAGTTTGAGTGCCGTTTATGTTTTTAGAAGGTCAGGCTTTAGTGCCCACATAGGAAAACTGATGTTTATTGTTATTCGCTATTAGCACTGTATTATGTTATGATATGACACACGACTTAGATATTTTTTCCTTTCCTTATTGGTTCATCGTACAACACACGAGGAGGTTTTTGATCTGTTAATTACTAATTATGAGCAAGCCTACGTATTTTATGTATGGTAGATAAAACAATAAGTAGTATCTGGATACACCGATTGAGTTAGTAACAGTACAGCCACTGTTAGACATTGTAGAACTTATGCTAAGCGGTTATTATTTGTTAGACTCTTAAAAGTAGAGGTAAGCTTAGATACACTGCTTAGATTCTTACTTCGTTGACTGGATATAAGTATTGAAGTTAGTTTTTTTTTTCTTTGATTTAAAAAATGTACTTACTTTTATTCTGTGTCCGGAGTAAAGTAAGTTCTTTCCTTAACTCATCGAGGCGGGGGTCTGGCGGAGGCGGTGGGACATCTCTCAGTCTTTGCAGCTCTTTTTTCGCGGAGGCCAACATTTCTGCTGCCGCTGCAGCTGCTTCTCGTTCCCTTCGCTCAGCTTCTCGAGCAGTGCTTAAAGCGGCTGCGAGCTCAGCCACTTGCTCTTGCGCCTCGCGATGTGCTCGAGCAGCCGCTTCGGCGTTAGCTCGGAGGGTTTCTGCCACACCACGTAGGCGACCAACCTTCAAATTTAAATGCATATGTGATCAAAATGTACTCACCTTAAACATACTTTCGCAATACAGATGTACGGATAATATGTAAGATTTTCGGCACACACTTTAGCACACACAGGAATGTAAGTGATTTTATGTTCAAATGACAATGAAAACTTAGAACAAACAGGTTTAGGTAAGTTACAATTTATAGGCCAAAAATAATTTCTACTCGAAGAAATTTCAACACAATCTGTAATCTGACCTTGACATTAACCTTTATAACTGATCGATAACATCAAATCGCAATAACAAAGATTATGTTGTGCTGAAATATAAAAAATAATTTATATCTACGATTCAAGTTTATGTGAGTAACAATTATTTTGATGGGCGATAATGACATTGCAAATTTTAAAACTTACGAGTATAAAGTTAAGTAAATACCGATTTTAATTTAAAAAAAAAGACGTGTGGCACTAGGGGACTGCCGCGGTAAAGCTATTGCATAGCATTTTGTATCAACTTATGCAATTATAATTATTTATTTATTTAATTTATGCAGTATTTCTTTTTCTTTGTTGTTAATTCAAGTTACACTTTTTGAGCGTGGTGACCGATAAGAAAACAATTTTTTTACTTTTATTAAATAAAAATATTGAAGCATATATTACAATTTTTTTTTAAATAAATAAATAAAAAATATTATTATTAAATCAAATGACATATCCATGTAAGATTTTTCTGCATTATGTTGACGAAATTTCCTTTGACGTTCAGCATTTGATTTTGGTACTGTTTTTTGTTTTGTTTTAACGTGAGGTTTTTTTTCGTTACGGAATTTCTGGATTCGGTCCCCGCGCTCAAGGCCCTCGATAGAAGCTATGCAATAGCTTAAAAATCTTGCTAGTCTAAGCAAGATTATTTCTGAAGGCACTTCAATTTCCATTACGTTATTGTTCATTGAACTAGGGAAAAATACAGGCTTGAATTTCAAGAGATGCAAGCAATTGTTTTTTGTGTCATCAATGATGGCCATAAAATTTAAAACTTCGAATTTAGAATCTGGGCTTGCAGAACATACATATATCCTACTGCGATTAAGGACAATTTAAACATTTACGCAACCCGCGTCTTTTTCTTGTACTTTACAAACATTCATGAAATTTACACAAAAAACCAATTTCAAAACGGCAATTTGTAGGCTAGGTGTAAGGCTCGTTGCTAGGCTAGGTGACCGCTTAAACCACTACGCCATCCGTGCAGTCATTTCATAATAAGCTTACCTCTTGTTTAAGCTCCGATGCTTCAGCTTCAGCAGAGCCAAGTCTGTCGGTGATAGCGGATAATTGCGTGTCACGATCGCGCTCCACTCGCGAAATCGCTTCACGACTCCGTCGCTTCTCCTCGGCTATGCTTTCCTCACATCGGCACTCGATCTACACATAATTGAACATAGTAATCAAGCAACATATTTAGCGGAACTGTAATAAATAGTATAAATACCAAACCAATAACAGAATACCGATTAAAATTGCGCGAGAGGGGCAGCTACAACACGTAAGCGTTAAACTGCACAGCTAATGTGAACCCACGTCTGAGGGTAGTTTAGTTTGGTAGGTTGAAGAGCATATAATATATACGTATTCTATGTGTAATAAATTTCATGTCTTAATTTATAAGTATTTGGTTTTACATTCCATAGAATACTTGTTGCATATACAAATCTCCACCAACATTGATAAAAGTTAGTAAGTATATTTGATAAGTTCTGTAATGAAAATGATAAAAGTTTTCTATGCTGGCCGTTTCAGGCAGTTCAAAGGTATGGCTTCTTGGAAAAGTTATTTCTACATACCTCTCGAATCTGTTCGTCCAGCATGTGAACACGCGCTTGTAATACTGCGTTATCTGCTTTCGCCCTTGCGTAGCGTTCGTCCGCCGTACTTTGCGTATCTGCCAGTGAAGTTACTTGCTGTTGCAATAGTTGCACCTGAAGGACAATACGAAACACTGGTTATTACAAAGAAATATATTATAAGGTAAAATGGTAACCTGGAGAGTTTATGATTTCCTTCTTTAGTTTTCATTCGTGAAGTTACCCACGGGTTCAGTAGGTACAACACACCGATGATCTAAGAAATTTGATAAAGCACTGCTTTAGCCAGTTTTTTTTTAAAGATAAATTTATCCTCTTGACGTTGAACATTTAAGTGCGTGAGACCTTTATGGAGAGAGACAGCTGAAATTAATTATATCTAGACAATTAGGTAGATACATGGGCAAAATAATGTTAACATTGATTAAGAAACAGATTAGACGGGCAATACGATGCTAAAGGATCTTGTTTGAAAGTATAACAATTAAATAAATAAAAGATTGACTTTCAGTGTCAATTCAATCAGGGACAATTTATCCTTAAATAATTTTATGAGCTGTCTTATATGTCTACATTATAATGGTACTGGTTCACTGCAGTTAATACTAAACGATACAGTTTTTATCACAGCATGCTGTGTTGGCCGCCATTAATAGAGATAGCAACGCATTATTGCTCCCGCGGAATACAAAGCATTTCATTTTCAAAAAGTATGTTAATCAATGCTCTGCCTTCACAATGGTTTATGTAAGGCAGGTCTGGCATGCGTTCTATAAAACTGTTATCGCATGTAGTGACCGCGATTAAATTGAAACGGTTTTCTATTATAGTCCCTGTCTTATCAAGACATTAACATATTATGTGTAGGTATTTAAAATACCAAGATACTGTATTTATAATGTACTATTGTTAGGTGTTATTTTATTTCGTCTGGTACATAAATAACGTCGAAGTCCTGAGACTCGAGAAATCGAGGATCAGAAATCCCGACTCCGACAGGTCCTTGTGGAGGAGTGGAAGGAACGACTTAGGCAACCAAGCGCCAGGCAGTTATTGCGGCGGTAAGACCCGTTTTGGAAGATTTGCTCGAGAGACATCACGGGACCTTCATACCGGCTGACGCAGGTGATCACTGGGAAAGGATGCTTTGTGGATCACCTGTGTCTGATCCGTAATGAGCCAATGCCTGAGTGTCACCACTGCGATGGTCGTACCGTAGACACGAGGGGACCTGTCTGCTCGTTTGCCCCCTTATACCGTAAAAAAGTAAAAAAAAAGAAATAGGAGAAACGGAAAAGTTCACTTAAAGAATGTGTCAAGTCTAGGTTTTGCAAATATACCTACATATTTGATTAATTCTAGTCCACGCCAATATACATTAGTTAAGGAGTTCTTTGAATGTATTATTCCGATTACATGTTTATCGTCAACGCAAGTTGTCCTTGAAACGATTCCAGATAATGTACCGAGTCTGTGGATAATTAAAGATGGTGCCAGATCACTCGCCACCGCCGATAATTACGGATGGATTGATTTCTACATCGATATCGCAGTAACCCAAATATTTAAAATGTTTGCAGTTCCTCATCAAATTGAGCGAATCAATTAGGTTTCAAAATACAAGTTATTTTATACACATATTCAACCTTTTCCGATATGTGGTAATAGCATGTGTGGCATTTTAGATTAGCTACATAGACACTTCAATTTTTTTGTTTAAAGAACAATGGCGGGTCTGCATACAAAAAAAAATTGGAATCAAATTGCATAGTCTTGTAGAAAAAAAATTATTAAAAATTTCAGCTATTTGTTTAGAATTATATATAATTATATAGAATGTGTAAAACCATTTTTGTTTGGGAAAGGCTAGGTAAAAAGATTTAGCATTAATTTTTTAGTTACGCACCGCATTTTTTTATCTGTGAACTCTAAAAAGTGTCCGCAGATAAAAGGCTTTTATAACACAGCTACATAATGTTTCCTTTATTTAATCACAACCCCTTGGAAACGGGCGGTTGTAGATTGGCACAGGCATATCATAGATTTTGTATAAGCATAATTTTTATTAAAAAAATCCTAACTATTTGACAAAACAGAGATAGTTGCTATTGTGTGTGTATTGATCTACGACTTTAGTCTACATAAAAGACGATTTCAAACATTTTTTTTTATGAAATAAGGATATTTTGAATTTGAATTGAATTTAAGAAATCACGCAAAAAAATATTTGTTTTGAAAGTAGGAACTTTAAAGACGATTTTAAATTAATGAGATATTTGTTAGACTAATGCTACACTATACACGAACTTCATGAAGTTTAAAATTTAAGATACTCTTTGCAGCAGTAAATGCAGCGAAAGACATTAAAGTGGAACCGTTTATTTCCTCATGACACTCATGAGGCAGAGAAGTTTATTTATTTTACTTAACAGCCAACTTTTACGGCAGGCAATTTAAATATAAGCATATGTAATATCTATTACTGGTCGCATTGATTCCTGTCAACATAACCAAAATTAGAATTATTTACGAGCTTTTGATGGGGTTCGCACTTAGCACCTTTTTTGGATGATATTCTTAGCTCTAGTCCTAGTCCTACCATAATGATCGTATAACCATTTTAGACCTAATAGAGAACAAACAAACTCACAATAGAATTTAAATATTGGTTAAGACTTACTTCAGAAAATAGCAGTTTTACACATTACACAATCTACTTAAAATTATTACAATTTATGTCAAATTATTAAAAAAATGTCAAAAAATTTATTGCCAATCTATATAATATTATAATATTTACTTATAACTTATTAAATTAAGCTTTATTGGAATAAAATAAAGCGTAAGATCTATTAAACACAATAAAATTATCTGTTAAATTACATTAGCTCAAAAGAAAATCATATTTTTGAAAAAAATATACGTTGATTATTTAACATACGTGACATAAACAAAATACTTAAAATAGTTATCCAGTAACCGGCCGGATAGGCCATTTAACGGATAATGAGACAACATCCATCTCATTTCTGGTAGTGCCAAACCATACCAGAAAAAAGAAACAAAATTTCATTTTATTCAAGAGGGCGAATCAATTTCTCCAATTCCACTCAGTTGTTGAAAACTACGAATAAATATTTGTCTCGTACAATATATATACGCATTCCTACTTACTTGGAGCATTTTATGCATCAGCAAGTTCTTTGTGGAGGCGATTAACCTGAACATCTCGAACATGTACGTGAATACAGCGACGATCAAGTGACCAATACTGAACGGCCATTGAATTTAGAAAGGTGTTTGTATAAGCGGACTTTTTATACAACACTAGTTATTACCCACGGTTTCGTTCGCGTGATTATAGCTTTTCTTATTTCGGGTTTCTAACTTTAAAAATGACGAACTTCCATACATCAATTTTTCTTATTTTACCCCCTTAGGGTTGAAATTTCACAAACATGCTTTCTTGGTAGGTCCGTACAACATAAAACGTATTTTCAAGTTTGTAGCTCCAGCGGTTTAGGCTCTACGTTAATGATTCAGTCAGTCAGTCAGTGCAAGGATTTTATATCGACTACTACAGGCCTGACAGACTTTGTCACGTACAGTTTTTTCAAATTTGCGTGTGATGGCTTAAGTCCTATATAAAAAGTAGTTACAGTTTCTCTAGAATTCTCCAATTTACTAAGTTTATCAAAGTTTTTTTATTTAAATTATATAAAATATTTATTTCGTAACATTATTAAAAAAAGTCACCTAAACTTTGGATATTTTAATGAAAGGCAAATTTTACTACTTACAGTGATTATTACTCTTTAATTTTAAATTAACGGAATTAATAGCCTTAATTTTTAAAAGCATTTGTTCAAAACATGCAGATATCTTTGTATAATTTACAAATAAAGACTAAAAAATCTTCTATCAATTAATTGATTAATACCTGCTCAGATCGTGAATACGATGAAAGTTCAAACAAGGAAGGAAGCGAACGGGTTCCGTAGTAACAGATAAGTCACTAATGATATTATTTTAAGAAGATGAATGGTCATCTTCATAATTCTCACTAACACGATTGAAATATAATTAAGACAGATGATAGGTTACATAAAATTAATAACGATTCCATGTAAAGGTACGTTTAGTTTAGGTAGGAAGAGATTGATTTAGACTTGTCAATTGATAGTATGAGCGATGATGATAGCGGCGTGACGTACAATGTTACTTAAAATGTTTATGGGGAACTGAAAACAATAACTGTGTTGTAGAATAGCAGTAATAATGCAAAACTTGGTAGACTTTATGCAAAGAAGCTAAAGAAAAGATTAGTTGCAAAGCTAGTTTTCTGATTTTTTCGCAGCAATAATTGATTTTCTCACTCTAAGGTCACTAAACTTAGGAAAATACTTTCCATTTATGTGTGACGATAACATTGTTTATGATTAACAGAAAAGAGTTATTTAGAATACGAAAGAGGTTCGAAAATCCGTAAAACAAACTAAAATATAAATTTCACATAGAAACAAATAAATCATTTTTCTAGAGATACCTATCTAAAATTCAATGATAGTTGACATTATTTCATACGTGAATGATTTATTACTTACTACTCGATACTCTTTTATACCAATGACGCTAATTTGTAAATGTATTCTAAAGTAGAACTTTTATTTATATTCTTCTCTTATCACGCATATTAAACTATAAGTACTATGGTATACTCTAATTATATAAATATAAAAAATACGTATTATTAAAAAAATTATGCGTAAATACAGTAAATACGTGTACAGTTCCATACAATAATGTTTTTAAAATTACACTACACTGTTTCAAATATGATATTGTTTGGAGCGCGGAAGCAATTGCGTCTGATTAAACGAGATGATACCTCATAAAAATAGATTGAATAAAGTTCAATTATGAAGAAAATCAATTTTAGTTATTCGACTCATTGTTACAATTAATGGTACGAAGTCCAAAAGCAACAGAGTTTTATTATTTAGTAGAAGCAATTAATATTAACGAAACAATGTATGTGCTATGAATGGACGCAATCGAATGACTCGGTTTTCGACACTTTCAGAATGAAACATCTGTTGAGGAGAAAGATAACG